TGTGCGCATTGGATAGAAATTTACGAATAGAGCTTTATCGGGGTGACCAAACTTTATGTGCAAATCATTAATAAAAATGATAATTTTCTTTCATTTATCCACGCATTTTCTCTCTAATGAACATATATTTATGCGTGCACTCAGTGAGAAATAAACAACTATTATACCACATTAATATCAGCCGTATTCATCTTTCCTCTATGTTTTTGATTGGCCTTTTGGCTACATTTTTTTTGGCTACAGACTGGATGGGGTGGAGTCACGTCTCCGACATAGGACAGCGTCTTAAAGGGACATGAGACCATAGCCTACCTACACACATCCAAAACCAACCTTTTTTAATTTTTTTGTTTTTTTGACACCGATTATATTGACATGGGCAAAATGACATTGGTTATTGCTGTAAATTTTGTTATCTGTAAATTTTCTGTTTATTTCCAAGACCTAGTATAATCTCTGATTAAGAACCTGTGAGAAGTTTTAGTTAGTTATAAAATGGACTGATATTAACAGTGATGCATCTCTGTGACGTACGATAACAAATATGATCATTTTCATCTAGCCTGACAAGATATCTATCATATATTTTGTCCGGTGAAAGGTTCACCGAAGAACATTCAGCCTCTGAAAAATTCAAATTTTTTGGGATTGAGCAGCATGTGTTAATGCAAACTGCATTTTTTTTTTTATTGTGATTTAACAGGGATTTTTTTCTGCCCTTGTGGTGATGTTCTGTCATATGAGAATCCCGAAACCTTTCCTCTTATTTGTTGATATAGTGAGTACATACAATAATGCAGGGTGTTTTTATGGGCACAACAATATGACATGTTATCATATTCACCAAAAAAATCAGATACCTTTGGAAAATTGAGGTAGGTCTGTTTATGATTTAGAGATGAAGCTTGCTCATTTTCTCTAAAATGCACTTTGTCACCTATTTGCTGAGCTGGCCGTGGGTATCTTAGTTAGGAGGATGTTATTTGATATATACGTGGGCAGGAGGCTGTCCCAGGTTATCACTTGTGCCTCCTCCACTGCAGCTCATCCTCTCTGCGCCGTGAGGAGTTAACAGTGCGCACAAATCCCCGGCACCACTGATAAAGCCAGCTCAATTAGTTCAGGCAGATAAAAGCAACATGACCTCCATTTCCGTCTACCTTGAGATAACTCACAGCTCTGACATCTGAGTCTGTATTGCATTTTGATATTTCATCTAGCAGCAGATATGTTTTCTAGCAGACAGAATCGGTAACTAGAAAATCAAAAGTAGTTTGACTTGCAGAAATCGTAGCTTCATTAAAACTCGCACAGAAGTGGCGCTTTGTGCTCAAACTTAATGTACGATATCTGCTACTTTCATGAGCTCACTGCTGCTTATCCACTGCAGAACCTCTCTGCTGAACTTGGGGTTAAAAGGCTAGCATGATCCGTCCTCCCCTTTATGAACAGTCGAAGTGTATTCTGACATCCCCAAGCTGTTCTCCTGCTGTGTGCTGAGACTCTCTGAATGATTCCTTTCACCACGTAATCAAAATATAACAGCGCAGAGTGGAGAGAAACTATTTTAAACAGTTCACTTCTTCCAAAATCCTGATTTTATAAGTGCAAAGTGCAAACACATATACTCTAACATGAGCGTGTTCATTGGTTGATGGGCCCAGCTGCTTGTGACCAGTGATTCAGCCATTAGTCCTCTGTTGGCTGGCAGCCTGAACCACCGGCTGTGCTACCGACCCAGCCAACTATTTGATGGCAGGGGAATACTGATGCTCAGCTGCGGGGCCCTGTGAGGGCAAACCTCTTGGCTCTTAGAGCCTCCAGGACTTTCTTTTTCTGTTATGCCAACCCCCTTGTTTCTCCATGATAATGGAAGACCAAAGGAAAATAAATTGCCAAATAAACTGGGCCGAACGAGTCGGGACCAATCTGTTGAGAAGTGGCGGGACCTGTTTTTGAACTCTGCACTTGATTGTTTTTGTCTGGTTTTTGGTTTGGTTGTTGTTGATCCAAAGTTTTAAGTTAATTCAAGATTGTTATTTACTTTTTTGCCTGTTTGTGGGACACAAAATCGAACAATTAAAGCACCTGTGAGTGATTTTCTATGGAAATGTAACAAACTGAAATTTGTATTGAAACCTCTACGTGAGAAAGAAGCACCTAATGAGAACATCATTTATTTATATACACTTGTTTTACATAGTTTTTAGTCAAAAATAAGTGTATTACCCACAGGGGATCCCAGTTAGCACCACCCCTTTGTTAAAGGTGGAGTAGGCAGGATTCCATTAAAGAAGCATCTTTTTTTGTGGTGTATATACAAAGAAGCTTTTAATATCAGTCAATAGCTATTAGTTATTGATGACATTTGGTAATATAACGATATCGCTGTGTTTTGTTATGTCTGTGTTGTCAACATTTTAAAATTTCTGAGCGGCCCGCTCTTTCTGACTGCAAACAAAGCCATTCTCCGACCTCCTTCAACCTGACTGGTTGTGAGGCGGATGCTGCCCCTTAGTGCTGATTGGTTGTGAGGCAGACGCTGCTCGCCCGTGTCATTCACAAACCCAAACAAAGTTAGCATGTTACAATATCAGAAAGGAGAAACCAACCAGAATGTTTGGAAAATTGTCTGAATCCTACTTTGGCCACGACTGCCAACACAAGTAAGAAAACGAAGTAAATACCGGAGACTCTGGCGGCTTACGGGCGCTTAAAACAGAGGTAGACCAGACAAGAGCTAAAAAGCCGGGTCAATGGGGGAGGCTTTAGGGATCTTACAGACCCTGAACCTTTTTGCTGGACAGGTAAACCACTTTAACAAAGTAAGACAAGTGTTGACCTTGGGTCCTGGACTATGTCACTTTATCCTAGTTGTAGAAGTCCTGCAAACATTGTGTTTGCTGGTAGTCTGTTGGCATCTACAGTAGAACCAATGCTTTTTACTTCCACGTTGACTGGGCCCCATTTGTAATTATCTGAAGTATTTATCTGCATTATATCTGAATTTAATTGGACCAATACAAACGAGCAGGAGCGTCTGTTTGTGGGCGGGGCTTGCTGAAGCAGGCAAAAACTGGCACTTCCTCAGATCTTGCCTACCCCACCTTTAAGAAACCGACCGGGGAACCAAATGGAAGCTGGACTATCAACCTCAGGATGTGGTCCCCATCGTGTGACTTCACGCTACAAATCAAATCGCACAAGGAAAACTGGGTCTGACTCTCTTTAGATACCGAACATTCAAACAACGTTCACTTTAGTCAGTAGGCTCATTAATAACATGTGGCCTTCCTGTTATCACCAGGTAAATATCATGTAATTCAAGCTCGGCTGTAATTAGTCTGTATTGTTTGTGTAAGCATAATGTATACAGTTTGGAAATCCATCCTACGGGGCAGTACCAGGTAGAGTAAACAGGTAATTTTTCAAAGCCAAGAGCACTTCTGCAGCAAATTCATAATCAGTATGATTCTGACATTTCATACATTTCATTTCAAACTACATTTTTCTAAGACCCCAAACCTGCTCGACCTGTAATCTTGATTTGCTTGGATATATCGCTGCTGTCGACAAAAGAAAAATATACATGTTTCATTTTTGGAAATCAGAGACAGAACACGAACAGGCTGCCAGTGAGCAGCAGTTATAACCAAATGACCGCCCCTGGCAGGAAATTACACGCATGTCGGTCCTGGGCATCACAAGGTAGCACTGACTTGCCCAAAATAGTCCCTGCCAGTAACAACAGTATTACACACAGATCTCTCTATGTGTGTGCAGGTTAAAAAAGCAGACGCTGGCAGCCATTTCTTCCCCTCATTATTTTCATCTACTTCCCCTGCGAAAAAATCCTCAAACCTCTGATGCCATCTCTAATAGCCAAGACAATCAACAAATCACAGACTGATACTCAATAAGAGCCCAAACTTTTAGCCGATGCTGGCAGACCAGAAATGAGATGGATGATCTCAAGACGTATGGGGTGCTGCAGTTTGAGGCAATACGACCCATAGGTAATGGGATGTATATTCTCTCTGATTGGCCAAGTTAAATATTACTCTTTATGTACAACAGAGATTGATTTTTACCCAAAATACATGCAATATTCTGCGTCTCCTCCGCATACATTAGCCTGATGTCATGCAGTAAAGCCCCATTAGCTAATGTGACGTCTCGGGTCAATGAGTTCAAATTGGACGTTTGCAAACTTTCCTCACTTGACAGATTAATTAGTAGATAAAGTCAACAGCCTTGTATAGTCTACAGCTATTTTTTTTATATAAACAATGGATTGTAATGGAGATTTTGTGATTCGTAGGGTTAGGTCATGGTCACACATCAGCACATATAACAGAGGGGTTTGTAAATGCTGATCAAACACGCTTCTTTGCTATTGGTCGAGACTGGGACCACGGTACAGATAATAGGGTTTAAAACATGGGAAGTTGCTCTTTAATGCTGCACACACAGACACAAGATAATCATGCAAGTCCTCTACGCTAATTTAAACTCATTTGTTCATATTATATTCTATTTCTACCCAGTCTGTTTTGACAAATGCTACTAATTACTATGCACTACTTAGTTAAAGCTCCAGTAGGGAGTTTTTAACTGATTATGAAACAGGCCAAAAGTAATATGAATGCTTCTTAATCAACTACAAATTCATGTGAGACCATCAGCACTCCGACTGTTTCTTTGTGGAGATCTATAGAGATTTTTAGTATAAAAAATGTACAGGATAGGAACAAGCAATGAGTTAAGAGGAACTACTTTGCCCACAGGGGGCGCCAAAATAAACACAAACTGAGAGTTCCGTACAGGAGCTTTAAATATTGGTAGTTCTGTTGCTCTCATAGATGCGCTAGGAAATATTGTTTTGTGATTAAATTGTTTTTCTACAAACTTAATAGTGTTATATTTTTCAGGATATCCAAAGGTAAACAAGACCATCGACAAACAGTGATTTTAATTCCTGAAACTGGTGTCTGTGGTGTTTACAATTAGAGTTTAGGAAAAGAAAATAGAAAAGGACTTAGAGGGCAATTTTTGGAGTTTTTTCAAAATCCATCCATGATCTCTTTCCTTCGCTTACATTCAAACAAAAACCAGTAAAACCAAAGTTCTTACAGTCTTGTTTCATTGATAATTTGATAAGTTAAAACCACCTTCAAAATCACGAGACTGAGGAGTCAATTCAGGTTTTTTTTTTTTCTCAAACCTGTATTCACGTGTTTCAATTATTAACACTTCTCTGGTTTATCGAGTGCTTCTATTCTAAAGTTTATTCACTAATCTTCGACATGACCCACTTCAGGAGGAAAAGCAGACAAGGCTGCGGCTCTCAAGAAGCTGAATTCATTTATTTAAACTGTGACCACCCCCTACATGCAACTCTCCGTTTGTGTTCTAGCTAGTTTCACATTTCAGTCTCGCGATGCATGCACTCACCGCGAGGACAAATATACAGCCAAGTGTTTCCCCATTATACTGGAGCCCTTAATGGCCGCATTGCTTATTTTGCCCCACTGCTGAGGAGAACATGAATTGTCTGGGGTTAATGCAGGAACCCACCTCAGCAAGGGCTCAAGGCCGTTCTGCTTTGTCTGCTGCCACTGTACTCCACTCAAGAATCCATATCTGTGGAATTATAATTGAGGATAAATATTATCAAGTGCAATCGGAGAGGGTGTTGTGTATTTGTGCTGGGGCCAAGAAGAGAGAAGCTGTGAAACTGAACACCGTCTTGGGCTCTGACCACAGGAGAGCTTAGTTGGAGGTAGAGGAACCATCTCTGGAGACATCTGGGAATACAGAGGTGAAAGGTCAAGGTGGAAAGTGACGTCGCTTCCACGGCTAACATCTACAGCTACACGAGTCTGGAGAATGAACAAGCGAATGTTGGAGGCGGCCCCGCTCCTCCAGGCTCCGGCATTGTGACGCTCGGCCTTTTCTCCGACTCTCTCATCACCAGGTGGAGAAAAACAACCCATAATACAAGTTCTCTAATCTTGTACAGGATAACTGTCAGCACCTCCATACACCGTGGAAGGCTTCCCCGGCTTGTTACAACACTGGCACCAGCAGTAATCACTCTAATCCTGTGGTATCCATGGTAAACAAAACCTCTCGCACAGTCATTATCTATTCACAGCCAAAGGCCGTCAGATAACAAAGCACATCGGGGAGAAGAGAATGAATGAAGGGAGATGTAAAGAGGCTAAAGAGAGAAAAAGAAAGAAAGAGAAGAGTGTGAGAAAAAGCAAACAGGAAGAAAGAGGATCGAGGGAACAGTATTTAATTGTATTATATAACGCTCTTTGCTGTGTGCCAGGCAGCAACTGTTTTCTCTCTTTCAAAGGAGACTTTTCTGTTGTAAGAGCTCCAGGCTCCTCTCAGCCTTGATGTAAAGTGATACTCGTGTTGTTTGATTTTTGTTACAAGATCCAAACCCCTCCGAGAACGAAAACTCTGGGAAATCTTACATAACGATTTAGTGACATTTATAACTGAAAACACACACGTATTTTTAAAAACAGCAATCTCTCACTCGGCAGAGGGTGGAAATAAGAGTCAGGGGATTTTTAAAAGCAGTATATACACCAAAGGTCAAACTAGTAGGTTGGTTTTTCCACCCACCACTCATCACATTATGAAAAGATCATTTTAATGCAGGACTTGTGGGAAAAACCAGGAGCAAGTGTTGCTTCTGACCTTTGTATATCATTAAAAATATATATTTAAATATGAGATTGTTTGAATCCAGGCAAGAAAGCAGAGAAATTACATGATCTATATTAAAGCTGGTATAATAGGATGAGCTTTGTTGAACTTTTAGAGCTCCCCCCGGTTTTCTTTGTGTTGAATTTGGCGCCCCCTGTGGTCAAAGCAGTAAAATTAAAGGGATATTCCAGCATAAAATTAATCTAGGGTCAAACACACCGTAACACCGATTTAAGAGAGTATGTGAGTTGTGTTTAGTCTCTTTGCTGAAGAAATTAGGCAAAGTTAAAAAGATGTTTGGTGGCTAGTACTATGGCTGGGACCCTATATGTCCTGTTGATGAAGTTAGGTGCTGTTCTGAGCATTATTTGTGGCTAGAGAGTGGTGTTTTGGTTGAGGTTTGTTTATGGCTTCTCAGACTGCTGTGTATTGCTATCCTGCAGTCGTTACTAAAGTTGGTATAACTAGAGAAGCAAGCGGTTGGCAACGTTCATCTCTCGAGGGGGGGTGTCTAACTCTGTGTTACGGTGTGTTTGACCCTAAATTAATTTTACGCCGGAATATCCCTTTAACAAGCAGACTCACAGAAACGACTCCAAAAGACATGCAGAGTGAGGCGCAAACTACTGAATGTTAAATCGCCATAACAAGACAAGTGAACAGAAAAATAAGCACATGTCAGACTCATAACGTCCAGTTTCCTGCATGCTTGTTCTTACTGATTAAATAAAAGTATGTGCACATAGTCAGGAATGCAACCAAATCCTCAACTGTCTGGTTGCAGGAATGGTGCCGGTATGCAGATATATGCCAGTTTCGCAAGTCAGGAAAATCATTCTGCGTTAACTTCAACCAGTCTGTTGGCTTAGTGACCAAAGATGGGGTAATTTCCTGGTTAAAATATCCCAACAGCCACTGCTGTGGACAAAAAAAAAAGGGTATTGCTTCTCAAAATGAGCTCTCAGAGCGTCCTGTGCCAGAATATTATAGCAGAGTTGAAACTACAAGAGAAAACATCACCAACACTTACATAAGAGTCAGTCTCTCCATGCAAAATATATTCTTAAAACTAGTTTATCAGCCAACTCTTTTTGTTTCTATGTTTTAAAAAAGAATATATTGGCACAATAGAGGATTTAAAGCAATCCATATCAGCAGCAGCCATCTTAAATGTCTGCAGCACTTCTGTATATAACATTAGATAATGTGATATTCAAACACCTAATCCAAAAATGCCTCAATAATCATCACAAACACCTAATATGAGCAGGTTTTTAAAACCATTGTGTGGCACTACTTCCAGAAAGATCTTCTGATAGTATACATGCCATTAAATACTCAACACACAACCCTGCGTCTGCTTCTGCTTCTTATTTGGTAAAAGCGAGACATACTCCTGGACTTCTCATCCACACTCTCATCTTACCAAAACAATCTGTTTTGAAATGTGGTTTTATTGTTAGGAAAAGCAAAAGGCTGAGCTGTCTGCCTCTAGCAGACAACTCGATATCGTAATTCAAGCTGCAGGAATGAATCTGGTGCAGTCAGGTTTTGGAGATCTGCAGCACCGGCTCCACCCAGACTGGGGACTAAATATTAAGCAGGAGCCATTTTCAACTGATCAAAGTCAGAAATTTTTATAGAAGACACTTGACATAAGAATGCAAATGAATTAAATCTGCAGCGTTTTTTCCTTTTTCTTTGCACGTACATCTGATAATAATGTTGCTCGGGAACACGTTCACATGCGTGGCATAAAAAATTAACTGACTCTGAAAATCTGAAACGCTGTGCCTCCCATAATCCCATGTGGTATGTTCCCACTTAACTCATAATTGTATTTTCTCTTCACGTATTTAATAGAACAACATGGCAGCAGTGCGGTTAATTTCTTCCTTGTGCTTGGAGGACAACCCAAGTGTTGAGTGCAAAGAGAAGTGCACACAATTAGCTAATATAATTCACAGATGTGCCCACAGAAGGTTTTTTTTTTCTCTCTCTCTCCTTCTCTCCTTGTCTCAACTTTGCACAGCGAGCTCGACGGCCTGAGAGTTTGGACACGGTCTCTGCTCTCACCCCACTGTGACCTACTGGCACATACATTTCAAATGACGTAGTAATTAAAATACACTAATTTGATAATAATGCAATAACAGCAGCACCCTGAAGGGCTAATTTAAAGAAAACATTTTCCCAGACCGCCACTAAAGCGTATGTAATGCCCCATAGAAAATACAGTAGCCTGTTGGTGTGCTTTCAGAGGTCTCAGGAGCATTTCAGGGCACTGATTTCATACCACAATCATTAAAATCTTAGCTCCCTTTTGGCCCAGAGCGCCTGACTGGCGACGGCGCCTGTGAGTGATATTGGATCCCCAAGGTGTAAACGTGATGAATATCTGGGGATGTTTTGCGAAGGGTTAAGTTTGAAGCTCTGCCTCAGATCAAGGCACAGTGACGATTCAAAACTGAACTTTATATTATCTTAACTGGACTGAGGAGTTCATAGGGCATCTCTGCAGGGTTAAAAGACACACAGGTGTAACATAAGACAGGGAGAACTGATTAAGACTGCTGACCTGGATCGAACTCTATGGATTTTTACTATATTATTCTGTGACGCCGTTTACCTGACCTTAAGAGACAGAAACGTAACACCAGCACGGTGTGGTGGATACATATTCCTAGTAGACTTTTATTATTCAGTCTCTAAGAAAACTTGATATAAGACACACTTATGTTCACTTTTTTTATAGTGTAGAATGCAAACTGTGTTCTGTACGTCAGTTTAACTAGAGATGGGACCAAAATTAGGCTTAAAACCATCCAGTGTGAGGCCAGGCTAAAGGAGACAATCAGATACTACAAGAACATAGTTGGCATACTGGTTTAGTCAAAAGTAGGGATGGCCCAATCCAATATTGATATCGGATATCGGTCTGACATAAGCAACACAATAAATACCTGATTGCAGAGCCCACATAAACACGACAACAGTGTGTACTAAGGTACTAAAAAAGTAGCAAGGAGTAGGAGTGATGTCGGCCGTGTGGCAGTATTTTACATTAAAGTCTGAAATAGACATTGCAGCTGAGTGCAGAACTTGCCATGAACAACTTTGTGCTAATATTGGATATATTGGTATCAGCCAATACACAAGGCTACAATATCGGTATCGTATCAGAAGTTTAAAAAAAGTTGTATCAGGACATCCCTAGTTAAAAAAAAAAAAAACACAGTTTGGGTCAAGTGACGAGCAAGGGTGGGCTGCACGAGTCCCAACAAAGTGGTCATTGACAGAAGGCCTGTATGGCACAAGCGAGAGCTACACATTTACACAGAAACAGCTCATTGCTGACAATGATCGAAGTCTTCATGCAGGAGACTATTTCCACATTTTTGACTGATGTGAATCAGTAAATAAAAGAATAATACCTTTAGTGTCCAGTGCAATGCCAAATGGTAGGAAAGAACAAGTTATCTAGTTGGTAGCCAGATTGATTCCAGGCAAAAAATATTACTGTCCGGATTATTATCAAGCAGAAAGCAACTGCATCTTCTTTCAACATCAAACCAGACTAGCACGAATTTTCATGAACTGACGCCAACAATTCAAGATTTCTACAGACCTATTCCTCCAAAAGAATCCACTAAATACACGTTATTTGATAAAATAATAAAAGTTGTGGCAAAGCACATCTATGGCACTCAATCCCTTTTACATACTATAGCTGCAAACTAACAGACTTCATTTCTCCACATCATTATCCACCTTTGTTGATGATTATACCCACATCCTTGTGACCTGATCCTGGCTGTCCATCAAGCATGAATATCATTAAATGTGAGCCACGATGCACAGTAATCTGCCCCTAATTCCTCCTCATCAAGAGACAAAGACAAGAAACAAGCAGAGAGCAGGCGAAAGAATTTGGTCCCTTTGTACCACTGGCATGGCGGCTTTGAAGCCCACAGAAGTGGAAGTTAAAGTGATTAAACTTGCTCACTGAGGCTTGTTCTACAGGACTGAGTCGCACAAATCACGCCTCATGACCCATTTGTGCGAGTGTGATTATTAAATACCGAGCGCTGCGCTTCCACATTTGGGGTTTGCTAATGAGCAGCGAGGACATGGCTTGATAGCACTTGCTGGCATCACCTTGGGATGGTGAAATGTGTCACCATTCATCTGTTTTGGTCCATTTAGTGGAAGAAATACAAACTACAGCGAGGGTTCTACTGGTTCCAGCAAGATATATCAACTGGATTAGCAAAGGACTTGAAAAGTTAGCACTCCTCATCACAAACACATAAAACAGTAAAGTAACTTCATCTGCGTTCTCACGATTCAAGGGTTTGATGTGAAGCTGACTGAGACCACCTCTTCTGGGCAGTCTTGAAATTGTCTTCATGTTTAGTCTAGAAGTTGGTTTTCAAAGAGTCTAAGGCCTAGTTTTTTGCCCAAAACAACAGAAATGGAGGAAGACATCCAACCCACTTCAAAACTTCAACTGCTGTCATCAAAATCTGCATGTTCAGCTCTGAAATGAAGATGTTCCACTTAAGCTTGGGAAATACACTCATGAGGAACCAAATGCAGGCATTGGTGTCCATTGCCAACACAAAAAGGACTCACTTACCTTCAAACAGAGTCTGTAGGCCGAAAACATGAATCCTTGAGGGATAAAGTCCCAAAGCCGGATAATTCACTAAGATAACAAACTGTTTTTGTTAAAATAAAAGGGGGGCACGCAGAGATTAAACACACACCTGGTAATGAAATGCTGGTGAGGTGACACATGTGGCATGTAACCATAATGGAGGGACAGGAAGTGAGGTAATGCACATGTGGTAAATGACAAAATAAAGCAGGAAATGGAAAATGGTCAAGCTCAAACCCTTAAAGTTAAAGTCTGGAAACTCTGCAGGCCTCACTCTTCTGTATTTGACAGCTGATTCCTAGAGGGTGGTCGCCGGCACGGTTTACTTTCACATACCTGTTCTTCCATTTATCATTGTTATGCTAAACACCACTTTGGTACAGAGGAAATTGAATTAAGGAGCCGACCAGCAGCAGTCTTCAGTCTGTCTTGTCCTTATCATTTCCATCGGTCTGATCAGAAACACATTTAGCTCCCACCAACAGAGGGTCAGAGAGTCACCTAACCTTTGGCAGGCAGTCATTTCCTGAGCACTCCATCATGGATAGCCTCTGGTAGGTTTTGGAGTAATGTCTCTTGTAAATAAGGTCAGAGCAACAGTGGTAAGTGGGTGGAAATGTGCAGTTTGACAGTCTATTCAGCTGTAAAAAAAAAGAAAAAAAGAAAGTTTAAATGAATTATCTCTTTTATGGACTTGTTCAGTTTTCAGCGACTTGTGTACGTATGTATTTCTCTTAACGTACAGTAGTTCTTTTAACGTATTTTCTTTTACTTTTTATTTCTCAATGTCTCAACGTCTATATTTCAAGATCTACAAAACCCGAATTCCAGCACTTTAGCTCCAGAATTTGTTATTTAAGCACAGTTATAGGAATATCCAGCAGTAGACAGGGTCGTGAGGGAAAGTGGGTGTTTGTGATGTGTTTCCTTTGTATCCTGTGCTTTTTCAAGAGCTGTACTGTATTCATCTGTATGAAACAAATAAAATATTGTTGAGTAAAAAAAAAAAAGGTTTAAATGAATGTACCGAGTTGCTCCAATTGGTGTAGATTTTTATGAATGAAAAAAGCCCAGATGCAGGATATCATCACTGACTCATTTTGCAGCATAAACTAGATTAATCCAAACTCATGAGTAGACACGCCATATTTATGCTTTTAATTTGGGTATCCAGTCTGAGCTGATGGTACATTCTGAAAACCTGTTCGTATCTGCTCATACTTATACATTATGAGGGTTTGAGAGGACATGTTATGAAGCAGGTGAGCAAAAATATTCAGCTGTCATATCAAGTGCCATGACTGACGATCCTTTTTCCACCAGTTAAAGCTCCTGTGAGGACTTTTTTTAAGTGATGATGCATTTCACTCAGTACTTGCATGACACTTGAGAAAACTGACTCATTGCCTTACTCTGATTAAGACCGGACAACTGAAATGCGTGTAAACACCTTAGTCTGACTCTAATCCGTGTTTAAAGATATTTCGATTGGAGTCTGAGAACTCCGATTAAGACACCCAGATTATGCGATTGGAATTCGATTTTCTCTACCATGTAGCAAGCGTAGTCAGAGAACACTAGAAAAAGAGGAGTAGCGTGCATCTCATCTGCAGAAAAAGTAGTGTGTACATCATGGACAACAAAAACAACACTGTACTAATGCTCCATCTTCTTGCTCCAAAATGCTCAACAGTAGTTGTAGCTACTTCTGACGTCTGGCACGGACCTGCTGCGGACAGTGCTGCTCAAAAGACCCATATCACCCCCTAGTTTTGGGGAGAAGGACTCGTTCACGTCAATAATTCAATTTTCTCAGCTGCATGTATACGCGGATAAGGAAAAGGGACGCGATAACTGATGTGATAAACTCCGATTAAGCTGTGCATGTAAACGCACTAACTGTCAAAGTCAGCAGGATGAGATAACAAAAGACCGCTTTGTCCACAGGGGGGCGCCATAGTCGACACAAACAAAAAATCCCTCACAGGAGCTTTAAAGGCACTGTCTTATGATTTGCCAAAGTGAGTTGATGTTTCTTGTTGGTTGGTCAAGAGGAGGAAAACAAAACTTGACTGACCAGCTGATTCCAAGTATTTAGGTTTTTTCATGTCAACACAAAACACACAAACAAGCACGTAAAAGTTCAAACTCCTGCTTTATTAGAAGCAGTTTTTTTAACAAGCGCACATAGAAAATAATAGATCTCTCAGGTAAAACAAAACGCATGCTGTAATCTGAGAGAAACCAAACAAAGAGGTCGAGGAATGTAGAAAGTGTTCGGAGAAATACACTTAAAAGTTCTTTTAAGGACAGTGTTGGAAAAAACATAGAGGGAAGGAAAGTGCAAACATACAATCATGAACACAAACATATAAAAGAAAGTTAAACGGTGTCAGGTGGGCGTGATTTCAAGTCCCAAGAGTGACTTTTACCTGAGCAGAATTCAGATTTTTCATTTCGCCTCTCTGGAACTGACTCACATTTCAAGTCAAGTATCAACAAGGAAACTTTAACAGTATAGGTACTCATAAGGGGAGAATACAATTCAATGACAGATAATCGAACAGGTTACATTTATATACCAGTAAACTGCTCATGTAAAGTGAACACTCACTGTGTGGCACTATGAAACTTGAAATAGTGCTAATTAAAGGCACAGTTCTTCAGCAGAAAACACTGATTGGACCTCGCAGTCGAACGACTTCATATTTGTGATTGATCATATTTGTAAACTTCATCTGAGGTATTTCACATCAAATAAAGAACTGAAAAGATAAACAACCCCTCTGTCTCAGCTTCACTGTCTCTGTCCTCGCTCCTGCTTGAAGGCCACGATGAACTTCCAGGCTTCCACGTAGTGGCACAGGCAGATCTCTCCGGGGAACAACTCCTCCACATCAGGGGGCACGTCCAGATCTTTGCGCTCCATGTAGGAGATCAGTGTGTCTTTCAAGCTTTAAAGGAAAAAATCAGAAAATTAATCTCAATACTGGAAGGAGAAAAGAGGGAGAAAAGAAGAACTAGATTTACTTTTCATCTTTTTCTGATTTTCTAGTTAAATGATCCACCATGGTCTACCAAGAAGTTTAAGCGATGGTATCAGCTGTTTAATTTCCTTACTTTGGATCATTTACCAAGATTGTGACAATTTAAAGTACTGCAAAACCAGAAACAGTTGCACAAGAATAGAAGATGCAGTCTTTTTGTGGGGGAAATAAAGTTTTGTCTTTCTTTGTCAAGACGTATTTAGCACAGTGTTGCTTCTCTTGGTATCATCAGTCTTTGCTTTGTGAAGTCTGCAATCCTGCAAGCTACCAGTGCATCAGCCGACCTATAACTCTGGTATTTGTAAGGCGATAAGATCCATACTCTACCTCCAGTCAGGCTTGAAGGTGTCAAGTGCATTGGGATTCTTCAGGACCAGAACCAGGAACTCATGCATCTCCAGCAGGAACGTGTCAGCGCTGTTCTTGGAGAAGAAGCCGGTCAGCAGCCGGTGCTCGTCCTCACCGAGGGCTTTTTTGTACGTCTTTGAGATTTCCACAAACGGATCCTAAAAACACACAAATAAAAACAGTGATAGAATCAATGATGAGTTTCTTTTTCACATCTGAGTCATCTACTAAAGTCTGTTTTCATGTCTCCATCTCTAAACCTTACCCGTTTGAGCCGCAGCATGTGTTCAGATTTCAGTGAGATCAGCAGCTGCCACAGAGCCACACAATGCTTCAGATAGACCATGCTGAGAGCCTGCAGGTCAAACACAAATGACATCAAACCGGATTTTATATGAAGTACACGTTTGAATCACTTATTCACATATTTAGGAAGTAAAACTACAGTAACCTGAATGCTTGTACTCGAGGGTGAATATATAGTAACATATTTCACTCAGTGGGAGCAGGACAATGTGCAACAAGATAGAATAACCCATGTCCCTGATAGGCTGACCTTGAAAATGTGCGGCGCCATCTGGTTCTCCATCTGCAGCACCTCCTCCAGGTAGCAGGACAGCTGCATGTGGGGCTCTCCCCCGGTCATGGCGAGGAAGCCTAAGGCCACTTCCAGGGTGGACAAGGCCTCACACACCTCGCTGTAGGAGTGCAGCTCCCCCGCCATGGCGAACAGGGTGAGAGTCTGAAGAGGCTCCTGAGGGGACGAGGACACAGGTGGATTGATGTCATGAAATTAAGTCTCCAAAAACACATTGAACACACTGCCTTTTTTGTGTTTTTAAAATCACGACTTACTTGTTTGACTTTTGCTTTCACATCCTTCAGGATAATCTCATAGTTGCGGTCTTGTCTGTTCACTAAAGTTGGGATTCCCTGCAGAGAAAAAGCAACAACAAAATGTAAATGTGACATTTCTCTTCTTCTCAAACAGAAAAAAGTTCATTTTTCTGCTTTTTTTCTTCTGCTCACGTTCAGAGTGATGAGAGGTTTGCCCAGTAAGAAGCGTGAGATGATCTGCTGCTGGATTTTCTGTAAGTCGTACTCATGAAGAGTCTCCTGGCCTCTCTCGATGCTGTACTGAGTGTTGGACAGAACCAGGGGCATCAGATCCCTCTCCAGCTCGTACCGGATCACATGCAGGTCAGTCAGGTCTGCAGGGCTTACTTTGTAGCTGTGGGATGGAGAGGAGATAAGAGTTTAGACAACAGGTCTAAGTCTGCAAATGTACTTTTTTGTTATTGTTCTCATCTCTCTCTTGTTTGCAATAAAAAAAAGTTATCTTTCACTCTTTTTGATAATCCTTCAGTAGACCAGGCACAATAGAGTCCAGTCTGGACTCAGAGAGAAACATGAGAAAGGGAGAAAAATGGGACAACAGCTCCCCCACCTGGTCTCCTCTCCGGTATGTTTATCCACACAGTAGATCAGGTCATTGTGCAGGGCGATCAGGTAGCTGACAAGAGCTGTGGAGCAAAGGCCTGGGCCTTGTCGCCGTGGTAACAGCATCTTGAAGTCACCAGTGTTGATGTCCAGGTCTCGCTCGCAGAGATCAGCTGGGATCTTGATCTCACCTAGACAAAAATAACTCAGGTCAGTTCCTGATGTTGAAAAGGTGAGTGAGTTTGAATGAAATGATATTTACCATTAGTGGCCAGAGATGCTCTGAGCTGGTTCCAGGTGGTGAGGAAGATCTTGATGTATTTCTCATACCAAGCTCTCAGAGAAACTACGAAGATAAAGAAAAAAAATCAAACTTAATTCAAAGTTGAGGCACACACAGTACAAAAAGGAGTGATTCGAAAAAGGTTGGTTTTTGTTTTTTGTGTGGAAAAGTGCACAACTGTGACGTCCACGCTCAGTTTCAGTACCTGCTTTCTGGCTGTGGAGGAATTCACGGATAGTGCTGAACGACAAGTCGGTGACGTTTTGAAACCTCTTGACGAGATCTCTCTGCAATGCGAGGATGTCAGGAAGGCATCTGACCAGTCTGAGCTCGGCCTCCTAAAAAAGAAACAATCATGTGTCAGCGGTAGTGCCTCTTTAAAACTGTTGAACCTGTGGTTTATACGGACATGTAGGGATATCTATGTATACTTCTCTGTGTTCAGTTTCTTTACCTTGTGCAGGAATCTCCAGAGCACAGGCAGAGCGTCCCTGCCTCCGTTCTGCTCTACGATGTGGGTGAGGCTGAGCACGGAGACTTTGTCCCTGCAGCTCCACACGGCAGAACGATGGATGAGTGAATTTTGAGGGAGTGACGCCAAGAAGAGACGGGGATCCCCAAACAGCAGCTTCATGATTGGATTGGCAGAGATTCGGGAGTCGGCTTGGATGAACGCGTTCACTTCTTTGAGCTGTCTATCCAAGTTCTGTGGGATCCAAGATGCAAATTTTAATGCAGAAGTGTTTGCTATGAGCAGACTATGCTCCCTTTTAGGACATATACAGTCATCTTACCTTCAGCTGTGGTGTGATGATCGTGTTGCTCACTTCCACCTCCCATATATTTCTCGCTTCCTTGGTGGCGAGCAGATTGTTGTTGGGAACAGGCCCTGAAAGCGGATACAAGCTGAGTGAAACATGATCCAGACTGTTTGACTTCTTTTGTCTGTTTGTATTTTTTAAGAGGATTGAAAGCCAACATTTACAAATATTCAATAACTATGATTTCATTATCAAAAGAACATTTGAAAAGCAAAAAAATGCATTCTTAAAAGGACAAAAACTACAGCTCTCAGTTATAAAACCTTCCAAACATCCTGTGTGCGTGCATTAACTCCAAACTGAGGCCTACATAATTTTGACCACTAGGGGGCAGCCTTTTCTATCACTTTCCTGCTGCTGCTCAATTTGCAGAGAAAAAAGCTGGAGAGAGCCTAATTCAACTTTTGGTATATGAGACAGAGCAGATGTGCGGTTGTTCTTGTTTGTGGTTGGTCCTTACATGCTTGTTGCAGGAAGCTGCTGATGAGCAGATGAACGGCGCTGAACGTGTCGTCTGTCCCCTTTCCGAGGGATCTGATAAGATGTTCCATGTCTTTTTGCAAGTGAGCAAGCAGAAATTCACCTGGGTCATGTACTGGAGGCTTAATGATGGCAGAAATAACCTAGAAACACAAGAAAAAAAAAAAAAGACCTTTGGACTCTAACTTATTACATGAAAAATTAGGGTGTTAACAATAACACCCCCTTTGAATGTTTTTACTCTATTTTGTCTCTTTATTTAAAATACGTTGGTTCATATCAACACTAAATACATATCAGATATATTGAAGGCAAAACAACTTGTATAAAATCACAACAAAAACCCAAATCATCATTTTTTCTTTCAATCCCTCCAAACAAGCTGGATTGCACTCATTTTTAGGTCCAAGCTACCTGTAGGTTGCAGCAGGTACCGAGCAGCATGGACATGTGTGTCAGCATGCGAACGATGATGAAAGGGACCTGAGAGAGGCTCTTTGTGTCCAACATGTCTGGATTGTCTCTGCGGCCGGGGTTCCCCAGGATGTGACCTGTCTGTGTGCGGTCGGCCCTGATAAGAAATGAACAAATACACACAAAGTTAAAGAAAATGTCCACTTTTTAACTTCCTGCCATGTTTCTTTTTTTGTCCTGATAAAGCTCACGGTCAACTTACTGTAACCCAACCATTTGAAATCCCTGCACAGGTGCGTGATTTATTCCTCCAATCACTGCACCACAGTCTAAACATCGGCTTTGTTCCATCGGCTGACCACACTACAGAGAAACAAATGCATGAGGAAACAAACTGACTCATAATATTCAGTAAATTTAAGTGAAACAAGTGTTATTGTGTATTCAAAAACGCACACACACCTCTCCAATTGTGCAGGGGTGACCATTAGGACAATCTACAGTGAGAGTAAATAAGTTAGAAACAACATGAGTCCATGCAAAATCTTTAACTGAGTAAGTATCTTCTTTTTGTGTGTGACTTACGGTACCACCGCACTTGTCCCATTGCTTGTTGGGCCACTGCCACCATGTCCTCAGGCATCGTGGGTAAAAAGGCAGCCTGTTTTCCAAAAACATAAACAATTAAGTTGAAAGAAGAAGAAGAGGAGGAGCAGGAGGTGGAGCACAACTCGGAGGAGAAAAAGAGGAGCTAACTTTGGACATACCTGCATGTTGGCGGGTGCCATCGCCAGTTGCTGCAGAGGTGTCAGGATCCCCGGGTTCCCGCACAGATAGACGACAGCCAGGTGGATTGCCAAGTCCACCAAAGCAGACTTGGCCCCAGATGTCCCGGGTTGAAGGACCAGCGTCTGGAGTTGGTTGGTCACCAAAACTTGAGCAAACTTCTTCATCTCGGGACTCGGGAGGAATTTGGAGGTCTGGATGTAGGCCATCAGGACTTCCAATTGCTGCATGGCGTGCAAAAAAAAGGGGTTATTTCATATGTATTCGACATGGTCTGAAGTACGTTTTGACTTCATCCACACTGGGATTTTTTCAGGAGTTGTTTGTTTTGTTCACATTTCTGCGGGTTTTCTAGAAGCTCTCACATGTATGAATCACACATTGTAGTACAGCTGCAGTCTGATGTGTTGAAAAAATAGTGCAAGCTAGTTCAATAATATACAAATGAATAATGCTGCCTACCTTGGGCTTGGGATGGAAGCTAGCATTGGCATCTCTGTAGAGAGTGGTGACTTCTCTGTAAAGTGCCAGCAGGAGATAAACCGTCTTCCACTGAGGTTGGCATCTGCACCCCTGTGAGGAAAACGCGACGGAGGAAGTGTGAGCACAGAAACAGAGCACGTTCAGACCTGTTGATGAGTTAAACCAGCAGATACCGGATGTGATATTACCTCACAGCTCTCATCCAGTCCGTCCACTTTGCCTTCCATCACCACCTTTGCAACAGCATTTCTCACAGTCTTGTAGTCCTCCCCGCACACAAGGTACTGGTCTACGGGAGCGGCCTCTTCACTCTGAATAACAACATTTGAACTCAGTTATCTAATCACTGCAAGCATATTCAGGTTAAATTCCTGCTTCTCTTTAAACACTAAATGGAAAAGAGGATAGCTTCACCTTTCCGAGAACTTCTTCAGGGAAGAGCCAACGCATTTCATCCACTTTCAGGAGCTTCAGGACAAACTCTACTCCATGCTGTCTGCAGATTTTTCGGATCAAGTAGACACGATACCAGCTGTTCCCACTGCGTCTACACAAGCTCACCACGCTGTCCAGGAAGGCTGAGGTTCCATTCTGATGGCTCTCTGGACAAAGTGAATGCAGATTGATAAATTTGCAGATTGAAACTAGTAATTGGCCAAAACTCGCCTATTGTCGCCGATATTTTCAGAATTAAAATGGAGAGAATAAGATTTGGTTTCACCTCGAAAATGTTCCACCATTTCAAAAGTTGCCCAACTTAAGGTCCTTTCACACTGAGACCATTTTTGTAGTGCGATTATTTCGGATGTCAATATTTTTTTTCGAACCCGTATCTTGTCAATACAGGCGTTCACATCAGCGACGTTTTCCCGTCCTGCGATATTGCGGCCTTAATTTTTTCGGATCATGGTTGATTTTTGTAAGTTTCGCATACTGTGTGTCCACTTCTGACCAATCACAGATTGCGTGTTGTTGTGACGTAAGCTTCACCGGTATATCCAACATGGCCGACCGGCTGATTGTTTGTGTCTGAGAACAGAGTGTTTTATGATAAAAGACAGTATTACAAAGATAACGACCTGAAGGACAACTTGTGGAGAGTCATAGCGTCGGATTTCTCATATGACGATGGTTTGTGTGCTTTAACAGTTTTCTAAATGCCTTTGTTTTAACTTTCATCTGTGCTAACGTAAGCTAGCGGCTGTTACCATAGTTTCATGTGCTTATCTTATCGCTTCTGATTGGCTGTAAGTGCTAACCGTTTGGCTTGAGCGTGTGATGACGTTTCCAGCTTTTCCAGCCAATCAGAGGCGACGCAGGCGGGACTTCCCCGGGAAAAGTCTCATAATCGCATTGGGCTTGACGTGTATAGTCAGGCACGTCAAAATTCGCCCCCGAATATTTTATAATTTCGCGTTCTATATTTGCGTCGGCCCCTGTGTGCCAGGACAGCGACCTCATGAAAATCTTCATTCACTAACTACCTCACAGCACAGCAGAGTGACGGCTCTGAAGCAGGCAGCTCAAGGGCGCACGGAGGAGAGTGGTCCGCCTCAACGGTGAAAAAAACAGTTTGTGAAATACACAATAAGTCAACAAGTCTCAGTTCAACCGACTTCACGATGTTAACCCTCTGTGCTGGTCTCGGTCACGCCGAGTTAACGGTAAAGCACCATGTAATTAAGCTAAAGTTAGAGTTAGCCATCTGCTATTTGCCTTGCTACACTGTTAGCCGTGCCAGTAACGGTAGAATAAACAACAGTACACATTACGTGGTCGAGCTGCTTCTCTTACGTCTCCAGATGAGACCGGACCGGAAATGAGTAACGTGAGTTAAGACGCTGAGGCACTGATCGGCGGAGCCACCGATCGGCGGGGGGTTAGTTGTAAACGCTTTTCTGGTCCGAGTTTAATCAGTAGGTCGTGAAGAGCAGTAGCCTACGGTATATTTACAGTATATAGTATAATGTAGATATCTACATAATATATATATTTTTAATAACTTTATATCAAATTTTTGAAAAATCAGTCAATTAATCAGTAATCACCCCCCCCCCCCCCCCCCCAATAATCGGTATCGGCCCAAAAATCCATATTGGCCAGGCCCTAATTGAAACCCTCACAAACATTTTCATTGAAGATCTAGATTACACACCTGTGCTGCTCAGGTTTTCCACGATAAGGCTTGCAGCCATATCCAGGTCCATGCGCACTCTGGCGACCTGCTGCAGATAATCAACAGTTGCCACTTCGGCAGCGTGAGCCTGCGACTGCAGGTATTCAGCCAGGAAGGCACTTTCATCCTGCAGACATACCTGCTGGTCTGCAGGGGATCTAAACTGCAGCCTATCAAACATTGAGTCCTGCAGAAATGAAAATAACTGATGTTCAACTGCAAAATGCCTCAATTAAAAGACTTGATTTTTCATGTATGTTTGCATACCTCCAGGCAGTTTATGTACAGTAAGTACAGCTCAGTTTTGTCAGACTCCTCCAGGATGTTACTCTGCTCAACTGCCACCAGGTGCTGCTGCAGATAAGCCTTTACCTCATCGAAGCTTTAGAAACAGCATAATTTAAGTAAATGTGAGACAGTGTGCCAAAATTTTACACCAGAAACCTTTATTGTGATTTGCAACGAAACACCTCACCTGTACTTCAGCAGGAGTTTGAGCACCACTGACCGAATCACAGGATTTTTATCCACAGAGTCATCGAACGGGGAGAGCGCCTTTGTCAGGACTTGTTGTTTACCTGCCAAAAAAGGACAAAGCGAAAAAAGGGACATTTAGAGGAGACAAAATAAACACCAGGGAATGTTTCTGACCCATTCCAGCACAGTGTCCTACCCCTGAGGATGGGAACAGTGTTGGCCTCCACCATGAGGAAGGACAACAAATGGAGGATGACAGCTCGACTGGGGGGAGAGTTGTCCTTGAAGCACGCGGTGGACACCAGGTCAATGAAGAAAGCATTGCACTGCTTTCTGAACTGTGCATGTTTGTTGACAAGTGCCCTACACACACACAAAAGAAAAACAGTAGATTAGTCTGGGCCAGTAGACAGACAGGTAACCAACAGCTTGCTGCTCTGATCCAAACATTACTAACCGAATGTCCTCTGAGGAAACCATCGGGAAGTTATCCTCAACTGGCTGCATGCAGAGAGGACAGTACATCTGACCAGGACCCAACCACTGTTTGATACACGCTAAGCAGTACATGTGTTCACACGGCAGGCAGATTGGATTTTGGGGGTCTCCCATACACACTGGACACTGCGTGACACCGAACCTGGATTAAAAGTTAAAAGAGAAGAGGACCTCAGAGGAGGCAAAGTTCAGAAATAATGTTTTTTTGTACAACTCAAAAAACAAAAACTAAAGTCTTTACCTGAAGAAGATGTTGACTGCTTTGTCTTTGCAGATTTTGAGCAAACCGATCACAGCTTCAAACGTCTGCTTGGTCTTGAGGTCTGAATTTTTCCCCAGCACCTTAATGAGACGGAGCACATGATATTTAGTTTATTTAAACCCTCTGTTATCCTTCATTCCTGTCTGCAATCTCTTTAAGGTGAGTCTTGTAATGAACCAACCTGGCCCAGCCCTCTTGTGTGCTCCAAAACCAGGGGGACAAGCTTTCTCTCGATCTCCTCAACGCCCAACAACATGTGCTCCACAAACAAAGAGAGAGAAAATATGCGATTCCATCCGTCTCTAAAAGTAAGGACCGTAAACCAGAAACATTCAATTCAGTAAAACTAAAGGGGTTACTAGATAAATTCCTAAAACTTCAGCATATACAGCTCAAGACCACTTTCATGTAATTTCCAGAGCATGGCTTACCTGACTCTGTTTACAATAGTCTTGCTGCGCTCTCCGTAGCGTCTCACACTGTCCTCTGAGCAGATCAGCTCGATGGGAACTTGAAGTTTTTTGACCTGTCTCAGCCAGATTTGTCTCTGAGCGTCTGTGTCTAGACCTGTAGGCTCCAGGTACTCTACACATGCAAATGCAGCATACACATCCAGTACCTAGGACACAGGGGGAATACAACCACAATATAAAAACAGCAACATAGAATATATTATGACTTAAATGATGATGGGAGCTCACCAGTTCATTCCCATCTGTGGCATCGTGTCTCTGCAAGAGCTGGTGTGTCACCTGGGGCTCTAAACAGATAATTCTGGAGAGGTTCTGCAGCCGGTTTTTGAAATCATGATAACCGGCATGGACCCATGAAAGAGACGTTACTGAATCTGTGGCCTCAAGCTGCAGTCGCAGCTCATTGACACAACAATTCAAGGCACCACGCAGGATCTAGAAAATAAAAAATTATATGCATAGGACCACAAAGCATGCACAGAAGAGGCTTTAAATCAATACCTAAAATATCAAAGTAAATCATGTTACTGTCAGTTTACCTGCAGGTCTTCTTGGCAAGTCACATTCATTGTCATGAGGATAAAATCCTGAAGGTAGCGTTGAAAAAACTCCATCTGCATCTCAGGGTCTGCATTTGCAATGTATCGCCCGAGTGGCGTCTTCCAAAAGAACTCATCAAACTCCAGCTGAGTGTGACCTGAAACACGTTCACATTCAGAGTCAAAGTTAGAAGGTGAAAACATAACAGTCGCAATGATTGAGCCTGCTCGATAACATGCCGTTACCTTCATGCTGAAGAGCGTGGACCCAAAGTTCCTCCAGGTAGTTCTTGATCCTCCAGCTGAAAGGCATGCTGCAGCTCATGATCTGGTCCTGGGCGATGTTGTTCTGCACGAGGATTGTTCTTGTCTCATTGCTTTGAACAGAAAATACAACACAAGCTCAAGACAGGCAAGTATAAAGTATGATCTGTCTACTTAGAGGAATTTGTACAGCATTTTCACTGCTTACTTATGATCCAGTGTCAGGTGTGGGATTTCCAGAAGTTTATCATTGCCAAAGATATCCAACCACAGCCTTTTGACAGATTCACTGCAGTCTCCAAGCAAGATGTTCAAGTTCTGGTCCCGGTCAATGACTGAAACCAGTTGGGCGAAGAGGGGCACAACCACAGCCTGGACTCGCTTCCACAAGGTGTTCCTGTACAGACCCACAAATATTAGTGAAGCTGTTTAAACAGGAATGATAGGAAGACAATCATCATTTTTGTGACTGAACACCCACCTGAAAGTGCCACCTTCTTGCAGAGCGTCAATGTTTGACGCCTCCTTAATCACCCAGTTGCTCTTGATAGATGAGAAGGTGTTCCCATCATGAGACGACAGCAGTGAGTGGAGGTGTCTCTTCATAATTTGAAGGAATTCACCTGTTAAGAGTGTGACGTTATTAAGAGCCCCGCAGCTGCTGTAAAATCACTTTAAAGCTGTGTGTACCTTTGATTTCATCGTTGTCACTGAGGAGTGCCAGCAGGATTTCAACCCTCTGAGTGCTACGGAGACCGCTGTCCACCTGGTCTCTCAGCATGCCTACTGTACTCTGCACACAGCTCCTCAGCAGCGCCGTGGTGTCCACAACATTATCCCGGCCCTGCAGTGAGAAAACACCCAGGTCAAAGGTAAGTGTCACAAGTAACACAGGCCAGAATTGTACAGGAAATATATTTTATACTCCAGTTTGAGGATCTTTTTTTTACAGATGTTACAAGTTAATGTTGAAGACTTACCTTTTCCTCAAGCTGCTCATTTCCTTGAGCTGCTTCCTCCTCAGTCTCTGTGTACATGTCATCAACTTCCATGGCTATAAAAAAAAAACATTTTCATGAAATGAAGCACCATAAACATTTGCAGATGAGAAAAGATTTTAGAAAATAGTCTTAATATTAAGGTATTTGAAACAACAATTTTTCCATAATTCATTTATGAATTTGTTACCTTCAGGCTGATCTGTCTTTGTTTCAAACATCTCACTGATGGTCATTTGTTGCAGAGCTTTGATATCTCCAACGATGTCTTTGGACCGTCTGAGGTCGTCAATGTGAGCTGATGTCCAGGGGCCTGTGAAAACCAACATGTCTTAGATAGTCTCCTCAGCCTCAGATAAACTAATGGGAACATTTAAGTACAGTTTAAGTATATCAGTATAGCCTCCTTACCTCCATGAAAGCCAATGTAAGAGCTTCCTCCTTCCATTCTTGGCAATCTGGTGATGAAGTAGACAAACACCCTGCTTCCCACGCCCTCCTGAGTGATCTTATTGATCTCATTTATGGATGAATACCTGAAAATGAACAGTTAAACGTCACATGACAAAGCCACTCGCACATGCACAGTTAGTGGGGGGGACGACTTACTTTGCAGATGCAATGAGATTGGCACTTTGAGACACTTCAAAATCACACTGGATGATGAGGATCTTGTCGGAGGGTCCCATGTGACCACCCCTGTTTTCAGCTGTGAGGAAGTTCCTATAAAAAAACAGGAATTTTATATCTTTAATGAGACTGTATGTCAAGATAAATGCAGTCATGAGCATATTATTCTTTCATAGACATCTGGAATATCCTGGAAGGAGACCTATGGTGCTGATCTGTATTTTGATTAAAAGTATAAAGTTCATCCAGCTTCTCTGAACTTTGCAAGACTCAAACTGAGTCTAAAGTCAGGATATGGGTTCTTTGGGACAATGATGAATGACATGCCCACCTAATAGCTCTTCATAATTCCCCCTTGCCTGGAAATTTAATTCACCCTTCAGATTTTTCCTATAAAGTGCACTTTTTTGATTCAGTACACCACAGAAAGTTGCTTAAGAGTGTTCTTAGGGTTGAAAATGCCCAGCTAATTTCCCGTCCTTAAGGCAAAAGCATCAAAAATAGTGTTTTTACGCCCTTAAGCAGGTGCCAGTTAGGGCTGGACAATTAATCCATTTTAAACTGTAAAGCTGTAGCTAACTTTGAAAATCCCTGGAAAACAGTAAAAACAGAGAATCAAGGGTTTTCAATGATTCTGGTATAGTATGACTGAGTTTTTACAGTTGTAAAAAACTCAAAATTACTTTGTTGGTAAATTAACAAACCTGATCTTCTTCAGGAAGGACTGCTCTGTGTCAAACTGCTGGAGTGAGAGGAGCTCAACACTGTGCAGCATTTGCTCCAGTGGTTCCAAATTGGACGCAGTCAGCAGCCTGGAAAATGTTGTCACCTGAAGTTTGACATGACATTCATTAGTGAGACTTTCTAACGGACTCAAAAGTTCTCCAGTATCTCTAAACTGTGACTGTTCGATAGCTTTAAAGTTACCTCTGTGAAGGAGGATTGGCAGTGGGCTTCCTGAGTTATGTGAGCAAGAATAAAGTCAGCTAAACAGCTGTTGCTCTGCTCTTCAAAGTAGACCCTGGACAGGTTTTCACTCTCCACTTTAGGGAGGTGCGTGCAGTCCAGTCGTACCACTGAGTCTGGGGTAGCACATTTGAGCAGGATGAGCTTGGCCTGGTCTAGAACTCTCCTCTCTGGGTCTGACATGTCTACACTGTCCTTCTGCTTCTCGATGACTTGAAGCAGCACAGATGCACATGTGTCCGAGTGGTAACCAATGAAGACATCTGCTGGTTTGTACTTGTATGTCTGAGCTGCTGCGGTACGCTGACTTTCGACAGTCACAAAGACTTTTACCCATCTTTCTAGTTCCTCCACCAGCCTTTTCTGCTCTGTTCTGAGGACAGTTTGGATGTCCAGGTAGTGTTTCTCCAGCCTGTTTATGAGAGGTATTGGGAACTGTTTGTAGACCACCTCTCTCTCCTCTATGACGATCAGCCTGAAGTCCTTGTGCACTCTGCATTTTACACGGTGGGTTCCCAGTCCAAGATCAACATATTTCTGTCCTCCCAAGCAGACATAGTACTGGTTGAGGGCATCGTAGAGGCTTTCGTAGAGGTTCTGCAGGTTAAGAAGCACAACTGTTTGACCTGTTTCCATGCAGATCTTCACTCTGTTGATGTTTCTGCAGATTTGGGTGTACTCTTGGTCTTTTGGGAAGCTGGATCCAAAGATGATCTCTGGCTGACCGCTTTCTGAAAAGAAGGTTTGCTGAAGAATCTGGAGGGCGGCATAGTTTTTTGTCAACACCAGCAGGTAGCGACAGTCTTCTTCTTGACCAACTGCTTGAATGTTTTCTCTCACAAACTCAATGGCACTGATGTTCTCCAGATTGGGTGTAATTTTCAGTCTCTTGGAGAAGACAGTGACTGCATCCACATCATCTCTGCCACTGAAGTTTCTCAGCACTGCCTTCATGATTTCTTCAGCATTGGGTTTCCGGTGAGAAACCTTTGCCAGCGCGAAAATCATCTTGATCAAGCTGTAGTAGTCACGCAAGCCAAAAAACCCTTTGCCCTGTTTTGTTTGTTTGTGGCAGATGTTCAAGTAGGCTCTTGCAAAAGGCTGGAAGAAGTCCCTGACCCTCTCTAAAACCATTGCATCAGATCTACAGATGCCTTTAGCACTCTCAATGAGCTCCTTGTCATCAGGGTCACCACGGGAGACAAAAATGCCTCTATTCATCTTTGCAGGGTCCAAAGCCCAGTTGGAGATTCCAATGAAGCCGACCTTTTTGTGTGGAAGTGGCTCATCATCGATGCATCCTTCCTCTAGCAGGGGATGGAGAGTTTTCAGTGGCATCTTTGGAGAGTCTTCAGCAAGTCCAATCTCATCAAGAACCACGACTGAAATGTACTCATCCAAGTTCTTTCCTTCCTGGAAGCGTCCGCATTGCTTGAAAGTATTAATGATGCCCTCTGGTGTTGAGTGTGGGCTGCACTGGAAGGACACCAAATGGATCTGTTTGAACATTTTGTAGAGGTCAGAATGAGAAGCTTGGCCCTGCATCGCGTCTGCCACCAGAGTTTTTGACAGGGATTTTGAGCTCCCAGGTTTACCGACTAAGAAGAGAGGGATTCTCAGCTCAATGCAGAGGACCATCATGAAGACATTCTCTTTAAGGGCACTGTTTCTTGCGATGGTATCCCCCATTGGCACACCGCTCAAAAGTACATCCTGCATGAGTGAGATCTCCTGCATCAGCTTACCCGGGGTGTATGCTGGTGGAAGGCTTTTGCTGACTTTCTCTCTGTATTTATCCTTTTTCTCTAGGCAGGCATGGTAACATACTCCAACGGCCATAACCAGAGACCAGAGCACCGGGTCTCTGACCTCAAGCTGTCTCTGAGTCCTTTCACTGTTCTCAGCATGTTGATGTCTCTCAAACTTCTCGAGTTCTGCAAACAACATGACGTGATTCTCATAGAACCAGACAAAAGACTGCATGCAGCGCTCGACATCTCTCAGACTGACGAAGCTGCACTCATCCTTCCTGGTGCGCATATACTTCTGAGAAGCTGAAAGAACATCAGTGATGCACTTGAGGTACGTCTGACTGATTGCTTTGTTTTCAATCACTCTCTGCACAATCTGCTGGATGTATATCTTCTCTGTTTGATCATTCAACTGCCCAAAGTCCCACACGAGGGGGATCATGCTTGGTGGCAATGCTTGAACTCTATAGACCAACTGGCGGAGAGGGATAGACCCAAGCTTTTCATCCGTCTCCTCAGCTCGAACTCTGTACCCAAGACCAGCCGATTCTAGCCTCTTGATCATCTCGTCGGTGTGTTTTCGGTAAGGGTTGCAAGCTGCAATGATCTGCAGCCCAGAGTCCTGTGCCAGGCTCGCCCCCTTGACTGTCTTGTCACAGAGGACCTCCTTTATGCTGCTGATGGCCTCTGTTGTGTTGGCCTCATCAAAGAAGAGGACAGAGCCAAATCCATAGTCTTGCTTGTTGATTGAGGCAATATCCTCAGCTTCTCGGACTTTGTTGTAAATCATCTCTGAGCTTGTCCCTCCATGCACTTTGACCAGTTTCATGTTCTCCGTGGCAACACCGCTCCTCCGCAACTCACAAAGGAATCTGATCAGCCTCGTCTTGCCGCACCCAGTCTCTCCCATGATGATGACAGGAATGCCACATCTGAACCGCATATGGATCGCCAGCATCTTCAGGATATTATCGGTTGTTAGCTCGTATGTTTCGTCGGGGTCAAGAGGCCACTGGATACCAAGAACACTGCAGAGCCGCTCGATTTTCTCTCCTCTTGGTAGGCTATCAAAGTCGATGTTGAATGGGACTCTCTGCAGCTTTAGGCCTTCATACAATGCTCGTGTCATGACATTCCTTTTAATCACTCTTCCCGAGGTGGGTTCAATTGCGTCAACATAGTTCTGTTCATTGAGCTGAAGATGGAAACCAATGAAGGTCATAGACACATGGTCGTCATTGAAGAAGATGTACGGGTGTGGCTCTGTTTCCCATCTCTTTCTGATCAAGAAAGGGGCCAAGTCCTCATCTCGGACACCATCCAGGTTCGTCGTCAGCCTGCCTGGGCTCTGGTCAGAAATACTGAGTGATGGAGTGGCAAAGTCTTTAGCCATCAGGATCATGAAGTCCACCACAAAGGTTTTGAATCCAGCCAGCGTGTCTCCAGTAAAAGTGGCATCACAAAACACAGATGTCTCACAGTCCTGCAGCTGCAGGTTGAGGAACCAGGCAAAATTTCTCAGCTCAGCCCAGGACGGGTCCATCATTCCACAGTACATGAGAAACATCTGCAGACACTCCACATGTGAACCTTCAACACCTTGAAATGTGAACACATCAAGATCACTGTGGTTGTGAAAGCGTGTGAGGTACTGGTATGGCCGTTGAAAGGCTGCACTGCGGAATTCTTCATCATCCATCAGCGGGTTGTCAGTGTTTGCAAGGGTGGGATCTTCTGCCTTGCTCATCTCCAGCATTAGGACCTTTTTGGGTGGTTGGCAGAAAATGTTCGGAAACACATCTGTGAATGTACTTTTGACGGGTTGAGCCTACAAGGAAAACAGAGTTAGAAACTCAACGAAAAATTAAATTGAACAATAAATGACTGAAAATAAAAAAAACTTGTAAAAACTCTCACCTGCTGTGAGGCATTTCTTGCGTGCTCTAACATCTCTACAAGATACAGCTGCTTGTCACTGCACTTCCACATTTTTCCTTCAGAGTCCATCAAATAGCGCAGAACCAGCAGTTTGAAAAGGAACTCATGGAGACCTTTCTGCACCTTTTTCCCCAAAGACAAAAACAGAGTCAGTTAACACCATATGTCAGCTGTTGAATATGACTCTGATGCACCGGGACAAGACTCATCATTACCGATGATGTGATGTCGAAATGAAACACCACCAGTTCGTTCCTCTCTGAGGTATTCAGAAGCGATTGAAGGATGACGTTCTCATCGACGCAGGGTTCAATCAAGCGGATGCATCTCAACATTGTTGACTTTTTTGTAGAGAGCCTGAGCTTTTCATACAGCCTTTTGATGTAAAGAGATTTACCTGTAATATATCAAGTCAATAACAGATTATGATAATATACGAACTCAAGAATTTAACAAAGCTGAAAAATATATTTAAAGTATGGCAACTGCAATTGTGTGCATGCCCAAAAGTCAGTCATCTGGCCTGAAACACAAATTCTGTATTTTGTCATATTGTAATGCAGATTGCAGTTGGGAAAAAACACAGTAATGCTTTTTTTAATACTGTGAAGCCCTGGTATTTAACATCAATGAATCCTCAATGTAATATACCCACCAACACCGGCTCTTTCTGAGGAGACGACACCAACACGCAGTCGGTCTTTGAAAGCAGCTGCAGCACTGCACTGCTCTGCTGGGACCACAAAGTGTTTGTGCAGGTATCTCTGGATCCTGGCCAATGGCTCCTGGGGAACCATGTGCAGCCTGTACTGACTGAAGGCTGAAGGAAGGTAGGCGTGTTCTCTCTCTGAGCTGCAGAGAATAACAAGCCTGTAATCCCTCCGGCTCTGCATTTTCATGCGTTGGAAGAAGTTCTCAACCTTCGAGCTCACATCATACGAGAGGAGATCTCCATACAGCAGAGAGTAGATCTTCTGTCCCCTGTAGCCTGTGCCGAGACAGCGTCTGAGAAATAACTCCACCTGTTCATAAGGTGTCGAGGAACTGCAAAGGAGGACCTCGTCATAGGATGGAAGCGGCTCGCTTGCACTGCTCATGTAAATGGAGATGCAAGATGTCAAGACATCATCATGTGGACAAACAATGAGGTTTGGATTCCCTGCTGCAAGACCTTTAGGTAGCTGTCTCATTATGAGACCTGCGTTGTCAGAAATGTCTTCTTCCTCGTCACTTCCTTCACGTTCATCTTCTTTGTTGGCCAATATTTCCAAAAGCCTCCCCAGATTTTTTATATCAAGAATTTGTGGAAGAAAGTTTTTCATGTCTTGCATGTAAGTGTTCCATATGAGATCAAACTTTTGGGACCCACTGGCCTGTTCCACAAGGCTTGGCAACGTATCAACCTCGTTGGTGAAATCTGAATCCATCATCTCGGTTTGTGGCACTACAATGAAAGTCTGGAACTCAATGTCCTCGTTTTGTTCTTCTGGCTTGGTGAGGATTTCATACCGGAGTCTGTGCCAGACCTTCCTCAAGTCTGAGGCTGTGCAATTTGGCTTGACAAAGGACAGCATCATGAGAACTTGGTGATCAACTTTGGTCACATTTTCCTGACAGAGCTTGCTGCAGAGGTATACAATCTGTTCAGCTGTGTAGTAGTTCAGATAGTAATGCTTGGATCTCTGTTTGTCCACAAAGTCCCTCCAATAGTCCAAACACTTCTCCATCTTCCTGCAAAATTCAGGAAGCTGCTCCTCTATGCTGCCCTCCACAATGACAACGCTGACAACACTACCAAGGTTAAAGTCCATCATGATACTGGGCTGCTTGTTGTTAAGAGAACAGTTGATTTGTGCTTCCCAGTGTCTGAATAGAGGATTCCCAGCAGTGTAGAGGGCAATGAATGCCTCAGCAAGTCTTTGGACGCTTGCAAAAACCTGAAAAACAAAAGCAGGGTTGGTTGACCTTATATATGTTTTTGGCATGTGCACTTTTTTTACAGGGCTAACAGGTGTCCTCAAGCTAAATGGGTAAAAATGAACACAATTCCAAAAAACTATGCATTTCATCTGAAAGGCTAATGACAACAGCTTTTCATGAATTAAACTGCGGTATACCTCTACAAAGTGATCGACTTCGTTCTGGCCTTGATCTCCTTTCCCAGACATGAGCATAAGTTTGTTCTGCAGCTCCCGCAGGTCCTCCAGAGAATAGCAGCGCATCTGATGACCTTCATCATGCTCCTCTGGAATCTGGAGCTTTAGGGCTGTGTCCAGGCTCAGCTGGATTAAAGAGCAGAGATGCACTCAGGAATAATCTGTGGCAACCTTTTTTTTTTCTCTACCTTTCTGCTGCAAGTCATTGTCTTTGGTGTTTTAAGTTACCTTTTTTACATCTTGTGCACTTATCAGGTAGATGCCTTTGCTGTTGATGGATGATGCAAGAGACAGAGATGACAGCTCCACTGACCCATGACTGTCCTTCACCGTCTTCAGCCATTCCAGATGCCGTGCACTGTCTCGCTACAGAAGAAAAGAGCATGTTAGAGGTGATGTCCAATATCCGGTATTAGGTGATTCACTCTTTGCTTTAGAAATTTGAGATCCTCATCCTCCTCATCTCTGATGTCTGTGATGCAGAAACATTTGATTTTCAGTAAATCAGAGAGAGTCAAAGTTTGCATCCAGTTCTGTGAAGTAAGCACACCTTGGGAGAGTCTGTCCAGGTTGTGGTGTAAGTGAGTCAGTCAAAGTAGACTGTCATAGAGTAGGCTGTACTGTCAGCCGTCCACTGTTTGTCATGCTGTTAAACCTCCATTGCTTTTGTGCTAAAATTTCAGGAAGCACTAAACTTGCTGATATAACTGTATTTAGTTCAACCTCCAGTAGCCAACAGAGACATTATAACAGCTCTAGTAAAGAGAAATTATGAGTTCAACAGTGGAGCTCATCGTACCAGCTTTTTTGGCAGGTTGCAGTCATTCTCCAGGGCTCTCCACAGCTTACGGAGCACCTCTTTGAAGACCTGGAAACCAGAATCTGGTTTGAGCTCATACAGCATCGATGAGTAGCCGAGGACCGCATCGTGGAAGCAAGCGACTCGATCCACGTCCATGTCATTCTCTCCCGCAGAGATGGAAGCCAGGTCGACAAAGACCTTCAACTCGTTGATATCTGTAAATGAAAAGTTATAACAACTGAGACAGAGGCCACTATAGACTTGAAATACTGTTTTCCCAGAACCATAATTTAATGGCTGTCTTCTGGGAAACTCTCCAAACTGATATACATGCTAGTTTAAATAACTAGACTCTAGGAACTAAAACTTCATTAATTTTTAGAAAAAAATCAAACTTCTGATTTTAAAACGTACCTTCCAGTGCATCTTTCACCCATTTCACAAAGTGTCCTCTGAGTCCCAGCTCCTGCAGGCACAGTCTGCGGGGCTCTGTGATGTCCACCAGAACTTTCTTGGCCAGCATCAAGTCGTTGTCGATGCGGCTGAGCTGCTCGTTCTGAAAGTCTGCTCGGCTCTGATGAGATGAAAAAAAAAATGAAGAGTTTTGACCCAATCTGATCCATACTTCTATATTTCACTGTGTATTCACTCTCCACATCATCCAAACCACTACCTTTACAGAGATATGATGATCCATCAGTGTGTATACACTGATTCATTCATGGCATATTCAATATCACTGATACAAATGAGAGCACTGATCTCTATCATACTGTCATCAAGGGGTGGGCGATCAATCAGATTTTTAATTCTGATTACCAATATGATAGCAAAGATGGAACAATCATTGTGCAGCGGCTGTGTTGCCCTGTTTACATCATATGAGCTGAACAAAGTGAGGGCACGGACCTTTCCCCTCAAAACGCTCTCACTTTCACCTCATCATAAGAGCTCAGATCAATGTGAAGCAAAGTTTAATAGCATGAGGAAGTTGCAGCTCCTGCTATGGTTGATGTCTGCCATTAAGTAAGTGAAGCAAAGAACTGACGCACAGTACCAGAAGGAGTACATTTGACTTTCTAAAACATTTATATTATCCAGTTAAATGGACAGACATACTTTTATAAACAAAAAAGTTTCTGAGTATCTTTGAGTTGCGTAAATGTATGACCGTAATATCAATCTCCATCAAAGTAATCATGATTAGGATTACAGCTCTAGTGTCATCTCTAAGTTGACTCAACTTATCTGTATATATTAAAAAAGTTTGCCTAATTTTAATATCAGAAAAAGTTTATGTTTACTCCCAAAGTTCAGCTGCTTTCAATTAAGTCTTTCATTAAAGTTGTATGGTAGCAGACTTTTTGTGATATCAGCCAATATAGACTTGTTTTTCAACACATCAATCATTGTAGACCTTGAATCAACCCCACTGGTTTTATTCCCTGTAGAAATGTCACTTACAGCTTCAGTGAGCGTCTCCAGGACCCTGAAGTCTCCTTGAAGGTGAAGCGTCTCTTTCACCTTCATGATGATGTCAGCCGAAGCCACAGCCAGATGAAGCTCGTGATACTGCTCGATCTGTTGCACCCTGCTGTGGATCCACTGTTTGTCGGTGGATTTATCGATTCGGCACATGATTTCCAAATCTTTTGAAAGCTCTTCGTAGTTTCCCTTGTAAGCACTGAAGAGCTGGTTCACCTCCCCGAGTCGTATACTGCCGTTCTTCAGACAAGTGAAGTTTCTGAGTGTCTTTAAGTTGCGTAAATGTATGACCGTGATATCAGTCTCATCGTGTATCAGCTCCGGTGTTGCCATAATGTCAGGTACTTGCTCAAGCTCATCGGGATTATCCTCATCTATTTCGTCAGAAGCCACGACAGTCTTTCATGAAAGTGTGCAGGTTCTCGGCCATGTTTCTGATGTCTTCATCCAGACAGAAGTAGGTGACAACACCCGCCATGGGAGAAGGCATTTGGTCGATTTGATGGACTTCCATGAAATGGTTTAGGGGCATCATCCCGATGTTGATCTGCTGTCTTTCCTCCAGGTCGCTAACAAATGTATTTCACGGCAGTGAGTCATTACGATTGCTACCTACCGGATCCGTACTGCGAAGAGCTGGTTCACCTCCCCAAGTCTTATACTGCCGTTCTTCAGACAAGTGTAGATGTCGTTGTAATTGGCAATGCAGGGCCTGAAAATCTCATCATGTATCAGCTCCGGGTTTGGAGGAAGCATAGGCTAGGTGATCACAGAGAACACCTCGGTACTACTTGATGGCAGTGCACGCCCCCGTAAGCCACGACTTTGGCTTGTTTCTCCCAGCACAGATTGAATATATAACTGTCTTTGAAAGTGTGCAGGTTCTCGGCCATGTTTCTGATGTCTTCATCCAGACAGAAGTAGGTGACAACACCCGCCATGGGAGAGGGTATTTGGTCATCCAATAAGGGGACTGTCCCTGGAAATCTGGGACGTTCGGTAACCTTACCCACCCTTGTACTTGCTGTAAAATTGCAGAACGTAAATCTAAGAATGCTTTGACACCATAGACTGTAAGTTTGATGCCATTGACCTTGTTGCTACCTGATCCGTCCCGTAAACCCGATTTGTACTGTGTATGAGCGAAACGTATGTCACTTCCTCTCTTGGCATTTAAATGTAAATCGGGACATTGCCGGGGTCAGCTTTAGCCAGGGACAGGTCATCCAATTAGGGGACTGTCCCTGGAAACCCAGAACATCTAGTCACCTTACCATACCTTGTACTTGCTGTAAAAGTGCGGAACAGAAATGTAGGAATGCCCTTGACCGATGTGCTTTAGCCTCGATAGTCTTATAGTCTCCCCTTCCTTACATATTTCAATATTATGAATATAACCCTCCACTGCATATTGTAACCCATTTTGCCTCGATCTTAAGGATATTGTGCAGGTGTTGCTCCAAAAAATGTCACTGACAGACGCTGGAATACTTCTCCCCGCCATGGTAGTGTATTGATAGTCCGTCAGCTCCAAGAAGCTTGTCGGACCTAGCAACAGTAACCAAGGGGGCATGGTTTCGCGATACATCAATTAAAACTAAAATGACGATACTGTCCTGTCCTGATGAGACCGCCATACCTGTCATGTGTTCCTCCAGTTTGTGGCTCATTGTCAAGAGAGTGTCCACAAGCTCCTTCTCGTGGTACACAGCTGTCACTTCATCGCGCCTGCACTGGATGAGCCTCCTCATTTTACCACCGTCCCTGTATTGCTCTTTGTCAGCAAGGCAATCTGATCAAATCAAATCACCAACAGACCATGTTTTCATTTGTCCTTTGTATCTCATTGCATGAAATAAACATGATGCTAATGCATTTTATCTATACATTGATTCAATGAAAAGAAAACTGTTGTTACCGATTTTTAACAGATCCAAGAAGGCAGTACTCCTATCCAGGATGATGCTAAGCATGCTGATCTTAATGTCTCCACAGACCAGTTTCTCAGTCATGGCTGTGAGTGATGATATAGCTATGGCAATCCTGTCCATGGCTTCCTGTGAGAGCTTCTCAATCAGGTTTTTATCTGCACCTACATTCACAAAATATTACACCCTTGATTTATGACCACATCAAAGATCCCCATGCTTTAAAAATGTAACTGCAAAAGGAAATTTCTCTCTGATGTTTGCATGAGTTACTCATTTATTTTGTGGGGAAAAGGTACCGTGAAGTTGGAATATGTTTTTGGCGGCAGTCCAGGAGAGGAGGTGTCGGAGGACCACTTCGTCATCTTCCTGATACTTTCCCTGACCGTCCTTTGGCCAGGATTTCTCGATGATTGCAGAGATGAGTTTCCCAAACTTCCAGTTTATCTGAAGCCTCTCAAACAGTCTCCCCTCGGACTTGTTCTGTGTGCAAAGGACAAAGAAGTCATCAATATAACTGTATGTCTTTTCAGCAAAGATACCTGTGACTAAGTACTGTACATTGCTAAAAATTCTACTTGAAGGTTTCAATCAAACCTGTTCCATTAAACACTGCTAAAAAACAGACTATCTCCTTCACATCTTTATTCGACATTTTTTATTTATAACAAAAGCAGCACTTATAGCTGCTGCACAATATATATCTGCTTCCAAATGTACTACACTCAGATTCAAATGCCATGGTTTCTTAAATGCAAGCATGTTGTGCTCATGACAGGATCAACCACTGTGGGGTGGCTATGACAAAGAGTCAAGTTTTATAGACTCACTAACATTTAATCTTGCCCCCCTGTTGCCGTGGCCCCTGTTTGTCAATCAAACAAACGTATACAGCTTTTATTATAAACTATAAAATTGTTTTCTTTTTCTTTCCAAACCTGGCACAAAGCTGTCACAGCCTCCAGAGCACACTTCTCAATGCTCGCTGCAATATGAGGATGTGATTTACTGAGCTCCTCTGTCTTTGTGCAGTAGAATTCAATCTGATCCAAAGCAGAGTCCTAAACACAGACATATAAAACATAATTAATGCTTTCATAGTTTGATCCTAAAACAACAAAGTTTCAAAAAAAGATGCATTGCATACCTTTTTGTACTTGCCCTCAAAATCGTTTGTGAAAGTTTGTCTCCATTCTGTAGTGATATCATCATCTCTGAAGTTCATGGAGATTAAGTTGCTCCACACCTATTAAAAACAATCACAAATTCATTGTTGGGATCCACTTGTGCATTTTTGTGTTTAACATCTAAACAGAAGTACTCACTTCAATCTCCACTGTGGCCTCAATATTGTACAGAGATGTCACAGATCTGTTGAGCAATCGATACCTAAAGGATGAACTCATCCAGTCTCTCAAATTGGCCATGGCATAAGACATCACTACGTCCTTTGCATGTCGCTGCTCTTCCCTCCCCTCTTCTGACACCTGGAAGGATTATCATCAGAATTACTCAATCCTGTTGGATATGTGTACAGCTTGTGATTGACTTCACACTCACACACCTGTTGAATGTTGCTGTGAATAAAGTCAGACACCGATGCAACCAGTTGCATACAAGCCACAGGAATATTAACCCAGCTCTGGCTAGTGGATGTCAGTCTGACTGCTCTGCAGAGTTTATCCAAGAGTCTTACTGCTGTTGATAGGCACAACCTCCTGTAGGCCATGTTTAAAGCACTACAAAAAAAAACAAGAGCAGAGTTAAGCATCATTTTTATCAAACATGATGTCCTTTTCTAATTTGAAAATATTAAATTTGCCCAAAAAGGATTGACAATGAAATCAACAAATAAGGAAGCCAATCACCTGTACTTTTCCTCAATGAGATGTTCTTGGATATATGACAAGATGTCAAATACTGTCTGTGGAAAAAAAAGAAGTAAAGTCATCAAATTCACATAAATATTCATCTATAAATACTTTCATGACTAATGTAATAATTTATTATATTTTTTCCACCACACCTGGAAGTTGGTGAAGGTAATATCTGTGGGAGCTTTGTTGGTGGAGATGTGAAGCACGTCCAGAAGCTCAGCATGGATATGTGTGAGACATTCCTTCAGGTCTTCAAAACGCATCAAGTACAGGACTGATCGTACTAAAAGTGCATCCACCTCCATCAGGTGACTGTGGCTCTTCATCAGGTTTATCAGTGCCCTGAAACCACAGAACAGACCGTTTGTAAGAGCAGCATCCACCTGTCCCCAGACTAATGAACTGAGGGATGTTTTGTAGCTGTGACTTATCTAAGATAGAGGATTCTTACTTCCTATCTTGACTGTTCATGAAGGAGCTTGTTTCAAGGCCCAGTAAGCCTGCCCAGGATAAGCCATACTTGGAGTTCCCAGAGGCTGGTACTTCAAAAGGCTTTGTGGTGCCTTTAAGGAGGTGAAGGAGCGGCAGGACCAGAATCCATCGAGGCATTCCTACTCTTCTTACAGTGTTTATCAGTGTCACCAAGTTTTGTTCCAAACTATAACAAAGATCATTTGGTGTCCCTTTTAATATTCTTATTTTATTAAGTAAGTTGTTTGTGAACTTGACTGAAAAGACTGAGCACTTACTTCTTGAAAAGAGGGACATACTCTAAGAAATCTTCCCAGTACTGCAGGAAGTGTTCCTTGTGCATGTTGGGCAGACACAGTGCAGCACAGAGCCGATATCGTTCGGCATCTTTCATATGGAAGCCATACTCATTCCACAAACAGAGCATAATCACAGCAGCCCTCATGGGATCCTTGACAAAGAGCATCTCCTTAACTCCATCCTCAGACACCTGAGGAATCACCCTTTCCAGCAGGAAGTCCTTCAGCATCTTTTTCACCTGGGAGATGGAGGTTATTTAAGATTATATGACCTGCATTTTACAATGATAGTTTGATGCTACCATGCAAAAAGTTTATGGGTACAAAACTTACATTGTCTTTTCCATAGTCTAAGGACTGCCTTTTTCTTTGTTTGTCATCAAACACAAAAGGGTCACTGTAAACCTGAAAGAACTGATCCAGCTGGACCAGGAAACTTTTCACATTGGCCACACTCCAGCTCCTGAGTAGATCAAAGATGGTCTCAAGCATAATATTCCCCGCAATATTTATGCCCTGAATTAGATCCTTCTTCTGGTCACGCCATAGGGCATCTTTTAGGGTATCTGTCCAACGTTTGAGCACGTTTTTTGATGGCTCAGCACAAACGATGTCATCATATTGATGCCAGTCCCCTACATGGAATTAAGACATATAATCATTATTTTAAGATGTCGGGATTAACATGTTTCCAAACAAAAAGCTGCACAGGATTTACCTTCTTCATTGAGCATGTGGGATTTCACGAACAAACATCGGTTGACAGTGTGCTGGCTAGCAGATTCCAGTTTGTATATGAACTCGAACTCATATCTTTCCTTCTTATTCTTGTAGACAACATATTTATATGGTATCGAATGAGACACAGCATCAGATCTATATGTTGTCAGACTGCCCTCGACCAGGAACCCGTGATCCCCAAGATTCCTACAGGAAAACAAGAATTGAAATTTACAACATAGTACAACAGTGACCTGCCTCTGATTTCCTGCGGTCAGGATAACACGACAGGCCTGTTAGTTCAAAGGTTTCAAAAGAAAAAAAAAGTACCTGGTTACAGACAGCTCAGCTGCATTGTCTTCCCATTCCCCAATGATGCATCCAGCTCTGACAAAGACTCGATCTTCATTCGGATCAAATTTGAAATCCTTTGAGAGGACCGCATGGAAGTAGATGGTGAGCCTGTCTGATGCAGCTATAGTCTTGTTCCTGGTTATCCTAAAAAACCCAAGAGAGACAAATATTTACAAACACACACACAAAGCGACATGAACATTCATATTTGTCTTAACTAAAGAGGGATTCCCTCATGTCACTTGTGTCCTGCTCTACCTTTGACCGTGTCTGAGGGCCAAAAACCCTCTGTCCAGAGGCTGCAGTCTGATTCTGTTTCTGCTCCTGCTGGTTCTTTCCCTTCTGTTTACTTTGACCTGTCTGGTTGGGACTGGTCTCTGCCACCTCCCCGCTCTTAGACTGCTGATCAACCCTGTTAGTGTCCTCTGGGTCCACACTTGAGCCTGTCTGTTGAGTCATCATTTAACATTTATGTTACAATACATCTGACATGAACAGAAAGGAATAAAAATGCATAAAATACTATTTTTTGTACCTTTGACTGAGTCTGAGGACCAAAAACCCTCTGTCCAGAGGCTGCAGTCTGATTCTGTTTCTGCTCCTGCTGGCTCTTTCCCTTCTGTTTACTTTGACCTGTCTGGTTGGGACTGGTCTCTGCCACCTCCCCGCTCTTAGACTGCTGAGCAGCGTTTTTGGTCTTCTCTGGGTCCACATGTGGTCCTGCCCTGTCACCCTGTGGAGGAATCATTTCATATGTTTGTTGAAAATACATCTGACATGAACGGAAAGGAATAAAATGCATAAAATACTTTTTTTTGTACCTCTGACTGGGTCTGAGGGCCAAAAACCATCTGTCCAGAGGCTGCAGTCTGATTCTTTTTCTGCTCCTGCTGACTCTTTCCCTTCTGTTTGTTTTGACCTGTCTGTTTTTGACTGGTCTCTGTCACCTCCTCGCTCTTAGACTGCTGAGCAACCATGTTAGTCTTCTCTGGGTCCACATGTGGTTCTGCACTGTCACCCTGTGGAGGAATCATTTCATACATTCGTTGAAAGTACATCTGACATCAATGAAAAAGTATAAAATGCATAAAATCCTTTTTTTTTTTTTACCTTTGATCGGGTCTGAGGACCAGAATTCTTCTGCCCAGATGCTGCAGTCTGCTTCTGTTTCTGCTCCTGCTGACTCTTTCCCTTCTGTTTGTCTTGACCTGTCTGTTTTGGACTCGTCTCCTCGTTGGCATTCTGGTCCAGTGTAGGTTGTCTGGTGTCTGCAGTGTCTTTTCTGTTCTTAGAGCTTTTTCTTTCATTCTTCAGATCTTTGTTGTTGGTGGTCTTTGTCCCCTTGTCTGCAGGTGTCTGAGATGTCGCTGTCTTGTTATCCCTTAAAGGGGGTCTTAGTGTAGGAGTGTCTGTATTCGGGGTTTGATCCTGAGCCACTTTACCTGGATCTTCCTCAGATTGTGTCACAGGTGCTGCCTCTTCTTTTTCAGCGGTTGCTCCACTCTGGTTGACTTGATTGTCTTCTGGCGGTGCAGCAGGAGTGTCGGCCTCCGAGAAATCAGGCTGGCACTCCATGGGGGAGGCGCCCTCCTGGAGTGACTCTGGTGTTTCATCCATTGCATTATCTGAGCTTTCGCTGTCGGACGAGTCTCCTCCACTCTTGGATTTTAAACTCTGGTCTCCTCCCACAGAGACGTGGGACATGTCAGATAAGCTCTGATCTTGATCCAGTGACGAGGTGCCATCTTTCTTTTTTTTGTTTTTCTTCCTCTTTTTTTTCTACGATAACAGGAATAAGGCAATCAATTTTCTAAAACATTTTCATACGATACCAAGGGACAATATAAAAGTGTAGCAATAGAATTTGAAATGTCCTGAAAAAGTTTATTTTTCCTCATACTTTAATTAAAAAGTTGAAACTTCTATATGTGCTCATTGTTTTTGATTTTATTTCAGCGGTGGTGCTGCTGTGTCCGTGTCCAATTTTCGCTGTTACCCACTCTCTTGACGCTCAAGGACCTACGCTCTTACGTTCATGTTATGTTACCCACGCTACTCGCAATATATGATGAGTCAAAACAAGTAAAAAAAAATAACCATATATATATATATATATAGACCATGTATTAGCTTGAACATTACCTTTCACATTGATAGGAAAGGGCCTGACAGGATTTGATGCGCCCGTGATGACTCAAAACAGGTTGAAAATAACGTTGTGTGTTGTTGTGCGAGTAGAAATCATTAGTGGCGCATTGATATTAATGATTATGTGAAATTTCAGTAGCGGCGCATGTAATTCAGCAGCAGCGGTGTGCTTGATTCATCGCACACAAAGTAAAATATTTTAAGACTTTTTGGTTAAAATCTTGATGATTATGCCAAAAAAAAGGTTCAATCTTAACACTTGCAAACATTGTGTAAAAGTCCAGTTCCTTGTCAGTTATTTTAGTCCTGAAAAAAATCTGTTTCGCTAATTAACAGTGAAATCCTGCAAAGGTTAACTGAGCCTTTACTCGCTCAGTTTGAATCCACACAACCACAATCATGGGGGAGACTGCAGACTGACTGTTGTCCAGAGGATGATCATTGACTTCCTATACAAAGGGCTGCAGTGATGACTGCAGCCTTGAGAGGACTGTCAAACAAAGTAGATGCAAAAACTCTGAGGAGCTTCACAAGGAGTACGTAGACTGAGGCTGGACTCAGAGCATCTAGATCCACTGCACACAGCCGAGTAAATATTCAGATGTTTTGAGATAGTAGATTTTTTAATTCTTTCCTGACAGAGCACCTTAAACTCAAAGAAAATAAGGCATTACAGCGACAGACACACTCACCTTTTTCTTTAGACTGCTGCTGCTCTCATCACTCGGTCGTTTTGGAGATTTATTTGCTTCTTTGCCTTCATCAGGTGAGGCTGCTTTCTGTGGTCCTGATTTCTCAGCTGCACTTTCAGAGTCCGCCACCAAGGATCTGGGCTGATCCTCTGTATCTGGATAAAAAATGAGGTATACAAGAGATAAGGCTTCACTAATCTACCTGAGAGGTATGTATGTTTGTGCATCAGAGTCAATCTCTCAAGAAAAATCATTAACTTTAACAGATAAATAAACTAGTGTGTGCACACAAGTTCGTCATCATCTATTGGAATAAATCATCTTATCATCTGGTGTCTCTACGGTATTCACTTCTTCTCTGTGCAAAAGTCTAAAAATCTTGTCCTGCGAGATTCCTTTGTTATCCTGTGAGAATGAGTTAAAAATATTATAAAAACATCACATTTTTTTAAAAACATGACATGACGGTTTTTAACATGTCTCAGTCTGAGAAACAATAGAGTTGTCTCCTGTTTGTTATCTGTAAGTCTGTCCTTAAGTCATACCATTTGCTCACCCTATAATGTTTATTCAGATTCATTTCCTCTCCCTCCCTCCCTCTCTCTGGTCTCTCTCCCTGGTCTTTATCTAACAAAATATCCGGAAAACACCTTTAAACAAGATTATTCTATTGTAAATAAGATGCATTTTATCCCAGTGGAGTAAATCCAGACCTCTAACTATTAATCGTGGACACATAGATCCTTTTCCTGCAGACTGAGTACACAGGCGGGTGCTGTGAGGTCTACTGGCATCCCTCCTGTACCTCCATGAAACCTTGAGGATCGCTCACACGTGTTTTATTTCACTGCCTGGACTTTGTGGTGCATTTTTTGGTCTCTGAGAAATGTCTAGGTACAAGTGGTACAATTCTCTCTCCTGCTTTCCTGCTGTAATTATATATAAAACTATTGTAACCATCAGATTGTGTGATTTCTGCTCTCCCATCTGGGTTCTTTATTTTCTAGTTTTGTTTTATTCTCGGTTAAAAGCAAACCAAACTTGCTCCATCTAGTGAGAGTGTTTCACATACAAAGCAGCTCACAGATAAGACATTCATTTTTAAGTTTTATCATTTCATTCAAACTCTTTCTCCAGTGTGTGAACACACAGCGCAGAGATGCTGCCATCTTCAGGTCAGGGACCCACATTTATTATGGCAGTCTGTAATTTTGTTGTCATGTGATGAACACTCATATCATGAATCATGATAATAAACAGAGTGTAAACAGTTTGATTCTCTTTTGTTCCTATATCACCTTCACAATTTCACAAAAGTTGTCACTTCTTTTTAATTTAGGGACATGTATTGTTACAATTTTATGTGAAACCCAGACATAGTGCCAGATTGTTACTGACTGATCAAGAGCAGTAAATCTCACCTGACCTCGTAATGCTATAAAATTACATTCTCATTATGAATTCTTATTAAACCAGCTCTTAAATGAATCTACTTACCTTGTGTGTTTGCTGGTGGGGCACGCAGGTGATAGCCACACTCACTACAGAACTTGGCTCTCTCCCTTTCAATAGCATCACCACAGTTTGGACACTTCATCTTCAGACCTCTGTGATCTCTGTAAATGAAGGCAGAACTATGAGCAAAAAGCACCGGGAGAACCCACCCTGCTGCATATTCCTTTCACTTTCAATTCTGCCCATTGGAGCCTCGTGAGACTCTGCTTGGCGCAGCAAAACAACCAACCAGAGCAGAGTTTAAGTTTTCATTTGGACTTTGAGCCTTACCTAACACAATGTCAAACAGACATCTCTGCCACATGCTCAGATGGAAATTGCCATGCAATAGTATCACTGACCTACACACCCACCTTCAGTCCCGGGAACTAATATCCAATAATAAACTCCATTCAACCAAAGATAACGAAAAATTAAGATGGCTCACTTTGTGCAAGATTTAATGAATTTGAGTTTAACACTTAAACTAACCTTCCTCCAGTGTTAGCTTTTACTACACACCCACCATGTTAAGGGTCAGTTTTGACCTGTGTCTTCAATCAGCTGTAAACTACACTAAAAACAATTCTCTATCATCCAATTTGGTTCTTATTTCTAGGTTACCTTGTGCAGACCCTAACACAGGAGGAGGGTTAAACTAACAAAATATAGATCATTTAGTAAATGACACTTTATTATTTTCATTTTAGTATATTTTAAATTTGAATAAACCTTTCTGAAAATCACTTGAGCTTTGGTATTACTTGCATCGGCCAATATATTATACACTTGATGTAAACTCAGAGTCCCTTGTAGGACATTTCAGCAGGAAGTCACAGCTCTGCACCGTCTTTGATTATTTACCAACACACTCTGGTCACACCCTAAAGGAGATACTTGGCTGACATACATTAAACAAAGAACCAGTTTGGTGGACCTAGATCAGTGATTTTTAACCTGTGTGCCGCTGCACACTAGTGTGCCGTGAGAGACTGTCAGGTGTGCCATGGGAAATTATCCAATTTGTAAATAATTTGCCATTGTCAAGTGTCTGTGCTGTCATAAAGTGAGTGTCAGAATAATACTCTATGTCTCAGGGTGGCAGCAGATGGTTAATTGCCTGTAAAAAATAAAACTAAAAAAGGGAGAGGCTAAGAGCTGCTGAGGAATAGCTCAGTGCGTGTCTTTCTTCCTCTCCTTCCAGGATATCACCTTTGTGCTCATTTAAACAAGGTCAGGGTTCACACTGAGCGAGGATATATAAATTTAGAAACTATATCACTAACTATATATACTGTGTTAGGCTATAGAGTGTTATTTTGGTTGGTGGTGTGCCCCAAGTTTTGTCAATGTAAAAAATGTGCAGTGGCTCAAATACATTTGAAAAACAGTGACCTAGATGATATTTTGAGGGACACTTAAGCCTGTGTAACAACTACGTCACAGCCAATAATCATAGCTTGGACACATTTTGTGTGATTAAGACTTATAACTATATTATTCCTGTACCATTAAGAATATCTGGGGGAGTCCCTCAAAAGTGAAACGAAAAAAAAATAAAAATTATGCATATTGTTAAGATGTTAGGCAGGAAAAACTGTTTAAACTTGGTATATTTCAGAGATGCTTGTATTAATGCTCCAAACGCTGAAACGTAATAAAATTAAACAGTATATTATTTCTAATTAACGTGGGAGGTTTTAAAGATTGGCACATGGCAAGCAGCAAAGTCGCTAACATCTTCTCTCTCACCGAGTGATACATCTTTTCACGAGAAGATCTTCGGTGGCGCGTTTCGTCCAATCACGTTAGCATTACTGTGCTGCGTATGTAGTCACTTCCCGTTTCGTTTGCAAAAACATGAGAATGCTTACCAGAAACAAACTGTAGCTGTCTCTCAAATGACCTTAACGTTGTTTAGAACGTGTTAATTCATTACAGGGACACCTCTCTTTCACGCAAAACGAGTGTATTTGTATTTACTCTGCAGCGTGTTAGCTTGCTAACTCGCCCCCAGCAGCTTGTCTGTGTATGTTAGATAAGCTGACAGTCTCTGGGTCAGGTCCAGATCCTTTTTTTCCACTAACACACAGAGTCATGAGACATGCATGTGTAAAGATAGTTGTCAACCAAGTTTTGTGACTAATAAACTCAATTTACGCCACAGTTACTCCATGGAGTGTAAGCTAACCCACCAGCTAATAAATAAACATGCTGAGTTCATATCAAGTTTATCCTCTGGTCCGCTTCTTATCATATTTATCATCGCCTAACACACCTGTACTCACCTGAGCTGGACGTCTAGAGACCCTTTGGTTTATCTTGTAAAGAGTGAAGCGCTGGAGTCATCCCTGGTGGACCTGACAGGCACCGGTTCAGACTCACTTCTGAGACCCGCTGACTTCTCATTTCCGCATGTCTTTGCAAAGTTTCGTTTTGTCAGAAATGGGCGGAAACCAATAAAGTTCAGTTACTGAATGATACATATCGGAATTTTTCTTGGCTATAGGTGGTGAGGAGGCAGTTTCTCCTGCACAGGTGTGAACAGTAACTAATGAGGACAGCCAGCACAGTAACCAAGGACTCCCTCTAATGACCACTTCTAGTCAGGGGACCTTTATATTTCACTGCAGGTTAAAGTGCACATGAAACTGGATTCATATTGATGTAAACACATTCAAGATAAGTAGGCGATCATTTTTATATCGGCTCCGTTAGCGAGGGATATTAGCTATCCAAAAAGATATGGAAAAACATACACAAGACTCAAACTACTGTAGGGGAGAGTGGGGTATGATGAGCCATTTTTCATATTTCGGATCACTACATTAAGGCAATCATAGTTTTGTCTCTAACTAGTGTATCTGCATATATTTCTAGATGTTGTGCATCCCTGCAAACCAACAGAATGAGTGTAAACATAACTGTCTTGATAATATAGCATGCCAAAAAAAGTGGTCTCTTATGGTCAACTTACCCCGTGTATGGGGTAAGTTGACCTGTATCCCTACTACCACCCCACTCTTCTTTTACTGCATATAACTGCTAAAAAGCTGTTTTGTAAAAAGTAATTTTAATGTAAGTGATTCAGAACATTCACAGCTGTATTTTTGAAAAGAATAAGTAAAACATTTCAACAATCTGAACTGAAACTCTGATCCTCTCATCACACTCCTTTACTTTCTCAGTTGAATCACTGGCTCAACTTACCCCAGAACTACTGTTATGACTTTATTAGTCCTCTAAGCTAAAATGGTGGACTTTTATTCTCCGTTTTTGACCTCATGTTGTAGCATATGATACCACAATTGATGTATAAAACTAATTTAAAATGTTCTTTTTTGGTCCGAACACAATTCTCATAAAACTTATGACAGACTAAATTCACTTTCAAGAGTGAAAAAATGTTTTTTGTATCTGCATATATTTCAAGATGTTGTACATCCCTGCAAACCAACAGAATGGGTGTAAATATAACTGTCTTGATAATATAGCATGACAAAAAAGTGGTCTCCTATGGTCAACTTACAGGGGGTGGCTCAACTTACCCTCTGGCTCAATTTACCCCACTCTCCCCGACAGTAAGACAATAACGTGACTTAACTATGGAAGCCCAAAATTGGCAATGCATTCATACATTTTATTTAATATGCTTTTCAACTGGTACAATAATTCTTTTTATTGCATATAACTGCTAAGAAGCTGTATTGTAATGAGAATGCCTTTAAATGATTCAGAACATTCACAGCTGTATTCTTGAAAAAAACAATAAGCTGCTATAATGCATGATGTGTGTCTCCACATGCTGTTAACAAAACGATCAAGGGAAGTGTGTGGTTTATCAGAGTTTGTCATACTGCAGCGCAGAAATGAAACTGATTTGTCTGATGACCACACTGATCTTATTACCACAGAGCAATAAAAAAAACTGAACTCATCTCAGGGGAAAAAAAGTGCATAATACAAAATGCATGGATGCTAAATGATGATTCCATATAAGAGTTGAATTATATGTCATGTGTGGTGAACCTTAAATTAAACCATCAGCTCATTAAAAGAAAAAAAATCTTTATAAACTGGAGGGTAGTTGTTGAAAAGTGGCAAAGACAATGCTGCTGAAAACCTCCTCTGATATTTCTCTGATTTACTGTAAGAAAGAAACTTAACCAAGAAACTGATTTGAGGAACATGTCAGGACAAGCACCCACACTCATGAGAGACTAAACATTGTATTATGATGCCATACTCTTAAGCTGCCAGCAGAGGGCAGAATAACACTGAGATAAGATATGCTGCAGCAAAGTCCTTCACAACGGTTTTTTGAAACATACTAGATTGGTGTTTTGGGAAGATGACTGTAGACCCTCTTTTGGCTCCATAGTTTCCTTTTGTACTGCTGCTCAGTCTCAGTAGGAAACCGGACTGCACTACCAGCTCAGGGGTGTTACATTCAGGCTGTCGTATCCAGGGGGATTGAAAACCTGGCATCACCATGCAACTTGAATAAAAGACACTGTGGCACAAAACTAAGCCTCCACATGCCTTTATTTTCAATTAATTCAAGTTTAATATAATGCTGTTGAAATAAGAACAAGGAGGACTGTTTGTATGGATGTCAAAACCTCTGTGGCTATAATGGATGTCTAATTGTGATGCATCCTAAATAAAATGATCTACATTTTTGAAACTAGGAATATTTTATTATAACAAAACTCTTAAAATATTCAGAGTAATGAGCAGATATTGGGCTGATTAAAGAATTACCAACAATTGCTAATGACTCTCATCTATGCACAAGTCTATGCACTGCTGCTATAATGCATGATGCATGTCTCCACATGTTGTCAACAACACAATCAAGAGAAGTGCAGGCTCATGGTGCATGTTACCCCAACCTTTATATAGAAGTAGAAAAAAGTTGAGTGGCTTGTTTACACATATTTAGTCATACCCAGAGCTGGTAAACGTATCTACTTTAATATGGTGACACAATGTTGCACAGAGCTGCTCTGTGTTCAGTTATTTCCTCTTGCTCTCCCTTGGTAGATGTGAGTGTTAGTTTCATACTCTATATTTCACGTCTTTCACATCACCTGATTTGTACCGCTTTCAAACCGGTTGCACGAGTTTCCAGGTGCAGTCATCACCACAGACATAAACTCTCATCAACTCAGAAGCCAAAAAATACTGAAGAAAATTAACTTCCACCTTGCCAAACCACTGAACAGAAATGTATGAGTTGTTACACTGAGCACAGGATGACAGCATAAAAACATCCAACTGGTGCAGATACACTCTCACATACTCAGCCAAGGTTCATCTTTACAAAAACACCAAGGGGAGTGACAGACAGGAAAAGGTGTCATGTGACAATGTGTCAGCAGAGACTCGGTTGTTTTTGTGTGATCGTCAGGCATAAGACGATGATAAAAATGGCATGTGGCCTCAAGAAGATGTATCCCCTATCTGAGATGTTGGACTAAATTTCCCATGAGGTGATTTGTTGATGCTACGTCACTTTTACACATCGAATGAACAACACAAAATGAGACTCCAGGCTGACACATGCTCCAAACGTCAACTTTATTCCTTCAAACCAAAAGGGATTCAGCTGAGCTATCACTTAGATTAGTGTTAAAGGTCCCATAAACCGCCAACATAGTGTTTCCTGTGGTTTTATGGGCATTCCACTCTTAACTTCATTCCTTGAACAATTCCTCCTCCTCCTTTGACATTATTGTATTTTGCTTCAGAGTTGCACTCTAGCTATCAAAAGTAAGAGTCAGATGTACCAACTGCTTCGTAATTAGTCTAAAAAAATCAATGAAAATCAGTGACATTCTGACCCATCATCAGGGTATTTTTAACACTAACCAGCTGCAATCCGCGTTAATTTTCTAATCTGTGTGAGTCACTTCATCTGAGACGGCTTCACGCAAAAGGCAAGAAAATAGGAATATTGTTCAAAATTCAATGTATCAATCTGAGAGAAGCTGTTGTTACCATGACTACAGCATTTCAACAGATTCTAAATCAAACCTGCAGTGTCCTGGTGCAGGTCCTTGTCGTGTCTTTTTTGGGTGTTTCCCCCCCCCTCTGCATTTTTCTGCACACACCTCTCTCAGACATTACTTCAGCAGCCAGTCAGCTAAGCACCTCATAACAGCACCCCCACCCACTCAGATCACTGAGTTTAGAAACTGAGAGGCTGCAGATCCTCCAGTGAGGCTGATATGTTGTGTTTTTTTAACTGAATTCAAAACCTTGCTAAAAAGACACATGGGATATGTTTGACCTTTGAGGGAGATGTGTTCAAACGCATTGTTTTAGACATTGTTGTCTAGTTAATATCAGTGAACTCCCACAGGAAGTATGTGTGGTTTATATTCCCAAAATTTGATATCTGTATTCTGCAAAGCGTCCGGTGTTTGATATCAAATCAGGAAGGCTCAACATATGAGGGGTTCATCAGCTGGTACCTGAAAAAGAAGATATTTTTTGTACATCATCTATTTTGTAATCAGAATTGTTGTTAAATGTGTAAATCTACAGAGTTTTACCTGCACACTGTGCTGTAAATCACACCATCATCATCATCCATGGGGCCTGTCTGCTGTTCCCTGCAGGCGATAAACTCATTCAGCTCACTTGCCTCTAATGTAACAGATGAAATAAACTCGATATATATTGCATGAGTATCTTACATATCCGTCGCGTTATCACTGAAGTCAACAGTTGCATAGATGAGTTCTGTCACTTCTCCAGGATGACTTCCCTCTTGTGTCGGGTTATAATCACAGCTCAGCCAGTTGACATACTCTGTATCCTGCACACAGGGAAAGAAAAAACACACAATAAATGAGTGTGGAAAGCTGAAAGATATGAGTTTTATTTCCTTTTTATCCCCTGAAATCAGTTACAAATGCGCTCAGTTGTAAGCTGTCACTCTATCATATAGTCTGTTTAGTGAAAATGTCTGAACTGGTTTTGCTGAATAACAAAAAAGACTCACCTGCACTTCCTCCTCAGAGTCCACCCTTGGTGTCCATGTCAGTGTCCATGTCTTTTTTCTGTTGAGTCTTGAACAGAAAAACACTGATGACATGATCATTGCTTAAATTATAATGCATCACAGTAACAAACCCTTCAAAATAAAAGGCGTGATTGGTACAAGGTACAAATATATGTTTTATCAAGCACTATCTGTTACATATTTTCTAACAAGTATTTATTTTCACCTCTTACATTTAAATACAAATCTGTCTATTTTCTTGCTATACTTGTTTTAAAAACTTGCTTTTAATTGAATTCATTTGAGAAAAATCCTCTATTATCATAATGTTGCATTATTTTGCACCATCCAGTGGTGTAGTCAATGTGGTTTGTAGGTTTACGCCATGCACCCATTGAGAAAGTGAGCAAATTTCTGTAAAATGGGCAGTAACAAAACTGACCGAAAACATTTTATTTTATTTTAAACATTTTAAAACATGTGTGAATGATCAAAAATCAATATTATTGGCAGAAATAGGGGGCCCCAAAATCCGTCTCTGACTGTGTGGGTGAATCGTTTAGTTCACCTGCTATGTGCTCAAGATTAAAATATACACAGCAGTTTGGTCCTAGTGCAAGTGTTTAGTTACACCGACACGCTTGATGGTTTCACGCCTAGATCCCCTCAGATAAACCTCAGTTGTGGTGGCCGTGAGCAAAGACGTGATGCTAGCAGGAGGAAGCAATAAATGTGTGCACCTCAAGCTTGGTCTAAAGGGGAAGAAGTACTTTCCTGATATCTAGTGAGAGGGTTCAAAGGGTATATCGGGAGCTGATATGGTGAAATTGAGTTCTTTATGTAGTCAGAAGGATTTCAAATGCAAGATTTCCTTGTCTCTATACATCACCATACTGCTCATGTTTCTCCCCATAACCTCAGACCTGCACAGCTCCAAAGTTGCAGCCTATCACTACGCTTTATGCACACTCTCACGCTCACACAGGTTAAAGAAGTATCATTACGGTCTCGTAATATAGCTGTCAGTGTCACTAACCAGGCTGCTCCTAGACATTAATAAGTATCTAACTCTTCGAGACCACCAAACGCCCACGCTGTGCGCTTATTGAGCAGGAAAACGTGGTCAGATGCCCTCGTTAACTCTGCATCATTTACTCGAGACCCTGCGGTTTAGCTGGTGTAAAAGGCTCATTTTGAGCATATGGTGGTTCTTGATGGGATGTGAGCGTTGGCGGGGATGCCAGTCAGTGTTTATCCACCACAAACTAGACTACACCACCGGCACCAGATTCATTTTAAAAGATTGGGGGGGCTGTGTTGATCTATTCAAGCAAACAAATTTTTATTTAATTGCATTTTAATTTCCAATTTCTGTAGTTTCCCAAGCAAGACGTTTAGTCTATACCTAAAATGTGAACAGAGTAACCTATTATTTTGTCAGGTATCTGCACTTTTCCTAAAGCTCTTTAAGGAAGTTTACTGTTTGTGTTGATTTTGGCGCCCCCTGTGGACAAACCCTTTATGCCGTGTTTTGAGAAAATAGTCAACAGAGGCCGTTTCTGAAGGATTCAAGCTTTATCTGAAGCTTGCCCCGCACTGCTTGTGTTAAAAGTCATTATGTGAGAACATGTCTAAAAGAGCTTTGAACACAGCTTACCTTATGACAATGACGATAGTGCCCACAATTAGCAGCACAACTACAAAAGCAACGATGAGTAGGTTTCTGGTAAAAGCTGCCAAAGTTGCTGTGAAATAAAGACATGAGTCAGCGCCTCAAACAACAGCTTAAAGATGAGAGTTGCCTTGCGTTTTATTTTTGTTTATTTAATCACTTTTCCAGACATTATCACTGATTAAAAGCTCACATGCATTAGCAACTAGAGCAACATACCTTTAATCTGGACTCTCACAGTCGTGGAGTTTCGACTTCCATGTTTGTTGGCAGCGCTGCAGAAATATCGACCACCTTCAGCGGGGGAAAGCACAGACTGAAGTCCAACAACTTTATAATCCTCACTCTCATCTTCTCTAAACCAGGTGTAATTTTCCACTGGGGGGTTTGCGTGGCTGTTGCAGATCAGCGTGAAGTTCGTGCCGGCGTGGACCAACACTGATGTGTTTTTGGGGGCGTCTGAAAGAAAACCAGAAGTGTACAAATTTGATCAAAATCGTAGTTTTCTTAATTCCTAAATGTGTAAACCGTTAATCTTTTGTCCCATACTCACACTCAACAGCTATTCTTATGGCTCTTGAAGCTGTTTTTGGTTGTGTCTTTATGGAGCAGGTGTAATTTCCAGAGTGTATGAAGGATATGTTGGTTAAATGAAGTGAAGATCCCTCACTGAGGAGCTCTCCATCTTTAAACCAGGTGAAAGCAGATGAAGAGTTCCCGCCATCACAGTCATTTTTGCAGATCAGACTGACTGAATCACCTTCCTTTATCGTCTCGTTCTCACTGGGTTTCGTCGTGTAAATTCTCAAATCTAGAAAAGAAAGGAGCGTCTCAGTTTCAAACTCTTATTAAAACTTGTTAACTGTTCTTTAAGGGGAGAAAAATACTCACCAACAACTTTTAATGTAGGACCGTCACCTCTAGACAGACCGCCTTTGACTTTGTCCGTATAGAATCTAACGTTGTATTTCCCAGCGTCATTTCGCTCCACTTGGTCTATTTTCAAAGAACAATTTCCATGTCTGTCACCAATATACTTGAATCTGGAGGTGACTCTGCTTGAATTACTGTCACAGACGAAACCTTGAGATTCTCGGTGACCCCACTTGACTCGCCTTAATATCTGCAAGCCAGTAAAGTAGAATTTACACGAGATAACGGCGGATGAGCCCCTCACTGCGCAGATCTGTAGCTGTTTATACTCCACTCCCCATGGGTTGCAAAGAACACCTAAAAGAGACGTTGATCAATACTTCTACAGAGATAAAATCCTTCTAGCATGTCAAAAATCAGGTGTTTGAGTAATACTCACCTGTGAGAAATATCTGCATAAGTATCCATTTCAGGTTTCTGTGTTCACTGCCCATGTTTCCTTGTACAACTGAGTCAAAAAGTCATGATTGGGATCACTTCTGCTCATAATACTGTGTAAAATGAGTGAATCACTTTCTCTGACAACCTTATCTGCTAACCTGCTTCCTGCCAGAAAGAAAAAAATGTAGGTTTGCCCAAACAGAGCTTTCCGTACGTGAAATAGGTCACTAACACCGATGTATAATTTCCCACAACACTGAGCTGCTTCAGCTTTTTTCGATTTATATGTGACATGCAGGAAACGGCCCCCGTACAGACAAAAACCCATGTCCTGTGCATACTGCAGAGAGCCTGGCTGTGCTTTGTTGCGGTCAAAGCACAATGAGCGTTTCAGGGTGCTACCGTTGAATACAGTGTAAAAAGCACATGTGGGTTCAAACTGTACTTCTGCTACATGATAGTGATGAAAATTCAAAGTCTGATGACGGTAATCCAGAATATAAAGACAGATAATCTGGGAGTGGAGATGTTGGTGAGGAGCACAAGGACACAACCGTCCGCTTGGGAACATGTGAACATGCAGAGATGAACCAAACACACCAATCCAGTCTTAGCAGATGACTGTCTAACATGAATTTGGTTTCTGCCTGGTCAAAGTAAGTTCTTTTCTCATGAATGTGACTTTCTAATTTTCTTTCTGATTTTCTTTTCTTGAACAACTTCTGGCATTTACTGATCGCAGTTTCAGAGCTGCTGAGGCCGAGTCTTATCATGATTTGGCTCCCATCAAAGTGGCTCACAACCGTACACTGCTTCAAATACATCAGCTCTAATGATAAAATGTTCACTTGCTGTCCGACAGGAGCTACTTTAACCCTAGAACACTATCGCCGGGTGATTTTCATGTTTACATGATTTTCAGTATGTTGTGTTTGTCTGAGTATCATGGGTCCCTGTGTAGCTTCAGCATTTCCTTTGACATCTTTGAAGGCATATTTGTTTCCCTGATCCAAAACCTGCTTTTTCCTACAGGCACATGTTCGGGTAAATTTCGCCCAGCAATAGTGATAGAGGGTAAAGTAGGTTTATGTGGATTTGATAGCTTAATGTATGGAAAATAAGGTAAGTAAGAGTGGTCCTGGAATTTGCATGCTATCTTTATTTAACGCAGTGGTTATGAATAACTATCAAAAAGATGTGATTTTAAGGGAATACATACAGTGATAAGAAATATTTTAGTCTTTTATATTATTATTTTACTCACTCAAAATCTGCCATATTTTGGTTCTCTCTCCTGTTATTGTGCCAAGGACCCTGAGTCTTCACCAGGGAACACTCACATGCCCCAGGAATGGGTGGGAAAAAAATTAAGTTTAGAGTTTCTATATATATTCTTTTTTTAGTAATTTTTTGTTCATGGAGACCTAATTTCAGTTATTTTGATGCATTTTTATATGGTCCCCTCATGGCACCGTTTTTTCCTCCCTTTGGACATCACACAGTTAAAAATAAAAGAAACTACTCTTATTTGTCATATATTGTCCTATTTTGATATGATAATGACTTTTTCTTGGGTATATTATTTCAGGTAAAAATCACCCAGTGATAGTGACGGTGTTACTAATTTTAGCGATAGTGTTCTAGGGTTAAGATCCAGTCTCATTTTTCTCAGCATAACTAACTTGAAGAAAAATACTTAAGGTAACATTTCAGCTTGTCATCTCGAGAAAACAGGTTTCTATTTATTTTGTAAACAAAACAATAAGTTGCTATAATGCATGATGTATGTCTCCACATGCTGTTAACAATACGATCAAGTGAAGTGGGTGATTTATCAGTTTGTCATAATGCAGCGCAGAAATGAAACTAATTTGTCTGATGGTAAAAATGATGGTGTTACTAATTTTAGGGATAGTGTTCTAGGGTTAATTCAATAATGATCAGTGTTATTCACACCTGTGGTCATAATTTTTACACTGATGAGAATATGGAAAGGTCTTGTGTTGTCACTCAGTGGCAGAAGTAAAATATACAGATGTCTGAGGTTTTAATACAGTGGGGGAGTTTACAGCACACAGCGCATAGAGAAGTGGATATAAAATGAAATCAATATTTTTATTCTATTTTTTTTTTTTTTTTAAGTTTAAAAAACTGTCAATATCAACTGTCAAGGTTTTGAATTAAAAGAAAAGAAAAAAAGGTTTTATGGTGTTTTCTTCAACACTGGATCCAAAAATACTGATGTCGACATGGACAGAGTGTAGCGCATACAAATCTCACCCAGTGAATTTCTCTGAGGTCTGCACATGAATTGCTCACACGCATTGACGAAAGAAGTGGGAATGATCACGGGGTCCCTATAAGTAGACTCTGACACGCTGGTACGGGCAGCGCGCGCTGACAGCGAGGAGGACCAGTCACACCAAGTTCGGACCGATCTACAGTGTGCTCGACATGGAGGTGTCTGCTAAACTCGTGTTCCCCATCGTGATCATCTCCGTGCTGGTCGCTCACAATCCGACCGAAGCTTGGTACAAGCAGGTGGCCGGTCCGACCTACTACTCTGTGGGCAGGGCGTCCGGCTTGCTGTCCGGTATCCGGAGGTCACCGTACGTCAGGAGAGCCGAGCAGACAACCGAACCGTCAGACAGCGGAGAGGCGGCAGCGAGCAACAGCGTGCTTCCTGATCTCAGTTCACAGAGTTTCCTCCTGAAGACGATGGTCAGTAGGTCACGATTTGGCTTTAGCTGTATGGGTTCACCTTTACGCATTACGCACGGAGACAGCTTTGCGCACGGCAGCAGGAGAGTATTATGATCATTTTCACCGTTTTAAGCTTTAATTTAGGGCACCCTCCGCTGACATACGAGTTGATACTACCTTTTAGGATTTAGAAACCAGACATCCTCTTCACGTTTATTACGGTTAGCTTCTTCAAGAGAGACAGCATTAAAAGTTTTCTGTGGGTAATGCATTTTTCATAGTAGCAGTAATAGTTTTGGAGCCATTTTCCCTCCATAAAATACAGAAGCATTCAAATTGACAACATTAGAAGAAATTTGTTTCCATTTGCAGATATCAAGTCATGGATTTTAACTGATAAATATAGTGGAAAAGTGTACAGAAACACATGCTTTAGTGTTGTTTAATCTGCCAGATATCCAAATGACTAAATCTGTCTGTTTTCTCTCTCTCTACAGTCAATCTGCGTTAAAGATGTTAAACCTGACCTGCAGAGCTGTGAACTCCTCCTGGAAAACAAGAACTCCTTCAAATGCAAAGCAGACGTCTTCCTCTCTCTGGACTCCTCAGACTGTGCAGAAAACTGAGCGGAAAAGCAGATGAAGCAGCCTGAATATGTGGAAACACAGAAAACTTTACATTCAAGTAAATCCAAGTCTCAATTGGTGTTACACAAGATGGTGAACTTGCTTGTTTGAAATGTGTTTATTTTAAAATGTGATTTATTCGTTCTATGATGATATTGTCTTTAAACTTTGAATTAAGTTGTACATATCTGATCTGTTTTCAGTAATAAATTATTTATTGCAGCCCTTTGTTGAAATGAAATGAAAGTATTCCTCATTTTTTATTCTCATTTGGAGATTTTTTGGGGTTTAAATATTAAAAGGTGTAAAAAAAATTGGAGCCAAATGCCAAAAACTTCGGTGTGGTTCAATTTATGATGGAAATGTTCTTGATTGTACATTTTAATCTTGAACATGAACCCATTTTTCTTGAGCTCTTTAAAACTGTTAAAACAAACACACATCATTAAAAATGACCAACAAAATCATGAATAATTAATTTATTTACATTATTATAAAATAAACTGTAAAAAGTGCGGTTCATACACTATTTTACCTCATCATTAAAAAAGGCAGAAACAAAACTGTTTACGTTAAAAATGTAAAGGTCGTCCGCAGACTTCTACAGCAGCTCCACAGCCTCCAGGTTCTCCTTGATCATTAGCTCCCCCACCATGTTGAAGACCACCTGTACGTTGTTGGTGTCTGTGGCGGTGGTGTAGTGGTGGTACACGGGTTTGTCGGGGTTGCTGATACTCGACGAGAACATGGCGGTAATGTGGTGAGCTGCAGCAACCGCGTCACAATCTGCTCCTGTCGAGAGGAAGGAAGAAGAAACGAGTCATTACTTATTGACAAACCACGACACCGACTTCCCATGAGGATATGGACTCCAGTTTTTCTTCTTCATACTAGAATAACAAGTGACACTGGGTTGCACTTTCTTTGCAGTTTTTCAAATACTGTATGTGTGACCATGAGCCAACCAGAAAGCATGCTTCACACACAAACAGAGGACTGTGTCTGGATTGAAGGACTTTTGATTATCCAACAGACAGATGGGACTCAGCGACCTCTGCGGCAAAACCGTGCAGAGACACACGCAAACAATTTCTGTAGGGATTTCAGATTGTGGAAAAATATCGAATTTCTTTACTTCCCATAAACTGCCTCATACTGAAAAATGTGATTGCAAACAAAACAGCAAATATACAGTTATGTTCATAATAATAGCAGTGTGTTTAAAAAGGTGAGTAAACCTTAAAATTCTTCAAATAAATTGTATTTTAATGGAAACAAATGCATTGGGGACACTGCACATTCTATTTCAAAAAAAGAAAATTGGAAAAAGAAGAAAATTAAGAAATAAAATGTAAAAAAAAAATAGCGGTGTTGATATCTTTCTTTACAAACTCAAAAATGTCTGTATAAACTAAGAAATGCTTGAAGATTTAACTTTCCTGAGAATCCTAAACTAATATTTAGTTGCATAACCATGGTTACTGATAACCGCTTCACATCTGTGGTACATGGACTCGACCAACTTCTGGCACCGGTCAACAGGTATTGCAGTAAGATGAATGTGGGGCCAGAGCAGACCCTCTCCAACATTACCTTTATAACCTGGAAGATAAAATCTCAAGTGTCTCCCAGAGTGAAGGATCTTCTCCTTGAAGAGGTCAGTTTTGTTCATTAGCAGAATCTGCAGCAGAGAGAAAAAAGTTCACGATAAAAGCGTTAAAAAGTGGACGCCTTCTGGTGAAGTTTGTTCATGACTCATGGATCTGAAATGAATCACAGCCACAGAGGAGCGAGTGGACAAAATGACCTAATGTTAGCTGTTGTAAAAAAAAAAACACAGCAGCCAAAAATAACTGAATTTATCCGAATCGAATTGATCCACTCACAGGGGGACACAGAGCAGAGGCGATTTGCTCTGCAGAAATGCACAGGCTGTGGTTTTCTATCTCTGGACTTATTAAAGTGTCGATTCACAAAAAAAAGCTGCAAAATCCTCCGTAAGAGAATTACATTCAGACAGAATATCTTTTATTTTATTTTTTTTCAATTGATTATATCAAGTAGCTTAATTTATTAGAAAGTCATCATCATATTATTGGTTTAAATAAAAAGTAAAAAAATAAAAACATCGTCTACTGTGACCATAGCTGTGTGGATTCCAATCAGAATTTTGTGCTATCAAATTTTATTGTATGGAAGTGTTCACTTCAGAAAAAAATCTGGAAACCAAAAGAAATTTTAATTCATTATTCTAAAATATAAGACGATGGAACAGAAAGAAAGAAAGAAAGACAGAAATCAATCAATCAATCAATCAATGAAGACAGGACAGATAACAAAAAAGGAAACAGGGGAGAAAGTGAAAAAAAAAATGCAACAAGAAAGTAAGAAGTAAGAAAAGAAAGAAAACAAGAAAAAGAGAAAGGAAAGAAATAAAGGAAGGAAGGAAGGAAGGAAGGAAAGAAAGAAAAATAAATTAAATCCTTTTAATAGATGACTTATAGTTGAATCGAATCATAGTTTCATAGGAAGGAAGGAAGGAAGGAAAGAAAGAAAGACATCAATCAATGAAGAAAGGAAAGAAACTAAAAAGGAAACAGGGAAGGAAGGAAAAAAAGGAAGAAAACAAGGAAGGAAGGGAGGGAGGAAGGAAGAAAGGAAATGGAATGAATAAAAGAAGGGAGGGAGGAAGGAAAGAAGGGAGGAAGGAAACAAAGAAAGAATAAATAATAAATTTTAAAAAATCCTTTTAAGAGATGACTAGATTGATAGCTCGTTGGTGGAAGTTTGACAGAAAAACAAAAAAATCTATTGGAATAAAAACTCCTGTAAATATATTTACTGACAGAAAGAACACTGAACATTTCCTTTACTTCATTACCGAGGGATCAAAAATGTGAAAACTCTCAGCCAGCCTGTCCTTGAATGCAACAGTTCAGATCCTGGTAAACAGAGCGATGGAGTGAAGAGACGTCTCTAACTCGTGTGCATTTCTGTGTTTACCACTTTAGTACAGAAACTGTTCCTGCTCAGGGAAAACTGACAGCCTGCCTGGACTCTGAATCACAACCAACCACAAATAAGTGAAGAGAGAAATCTCAGTGAGCTGAAAACAATAAAGATAAAGACCTTATATGTTCATCATTGCTTTCTAAACAGACTCACCAGTGATACTCTTTGAAAAACTAAGTTGGTGCAGATGGATTGAAAAAGTTCAAGACTTTCCTGCAGCCGATTCTAATAAAAGACAAAAAAATATGAGAATAAAAGTCCGACTTTTAAAACAAAAACTGCTGAGTAAAAAAAATGTGTGCTTTCTAATCGGTCAGTCCTACCACTGAAGGGTCCTCCACCGGCGTCACATCGTAGCTGCTGAGAGCCACAACGAACAAAACAGCCTGAATACAGTCAAAGCAGCTCAGCCACTTTCTCCTCTCGCTCCGCTGGCCCCCGACATCGTACAACCTGTCGAACGAATAAAACCATTTATCATAAATTATACTGTAAAAAGAGGGGAGTGGAAATAAACTTGATTTAAGAAAACTACATTACAATATAACAAAACAAACCCATTTCTAATATAGAGGCAATCTTTCTCCAAAATACAAACTGGCTCTAAGTGTAGCCCAGGGCCTTGGTGACACAGGTAATAAGTTCCAATTCGGGGCCAGACGGTTTCCAGGTGCATGATTGCGGTACTCATGTCAGAGGCGACGAAGCGTTTCTCCCCTGGGTCAAGAGGCAGTTGTAACAAGCTGGAGGACAATAAACGCTAACTGTGGCGTTTGACGGAGGTAGCTCCTGCTCTGCACGGGAGAAAATTCGCCACACATGACAGAGAGAGGAGCTTTTTTGTTTTTGCAGAAGAGGAGGGAGAGAAAGAGCCCACCTTAGCTTGATAAAAAGCTGCAAACTCAAAAGGAAATACAGGATTTTAACAGAGATAAGACAGATGTTGATATTTGTCTTGTTATTATGTGCGTCGAGGAAATTTATTTGGCAGAGAGTCATTAAGTTGCCAGATTCTAAGTTTTGTAATAAAGTGAAACATGTTGCTGAAGTTCAACCTGCACAGAAGCCACAGCACATATAGTATTTATAAATTCTGGGTGTATAGGATACTGTTTTCATGCCGTCACAGCGCATGGAGAGGCCACGAATGTTCCGGAAAGAAAAGTTGAAAGGGACGCGGTTGCACAGGGTTTCAATGATTCATCGCTACGCCTTCTCCACATGTGCGTTATTGTCCCTGGAATAACTTAGGATGCAAAGCCATCAATATTTCATGTCTGAGTCACGGCCCTGGTGGCTGCTTCTCGGGGTCGTGGTGAGAGATCCTTCAAATGTTGGTGAGGTTTTCAATGAGGTGATATACAGGACAGCAGCACGTGCGACAGGAACTCTGAGGAAGAAGAACTTTTCAGTCCAGGAGTCCTCAATGGTCTCTTGATTGCAGGTTTACTGTACTGCTGTTTCGTTTTAGCCTGACGCTTATTTGCACAACATTCATTTTATTCATTATGTGCAGAAAGACGCCACCTGTTGCCCTCAATGCGAGTTTTCCTGACATTTTCCTGCTGCTTTTGCACGTTAGTTCACTTAACTTGTGTACATTTAGAAGGGGGCGAGGTGCAAAAAAGCCAGAGAAGTTGGAAAATTCCGCTTTGCACAAATGCAGCTCATCCTGAAAGCTGCAGAAGAAATGTTGGAGTTTAGTGCGTGTGAAAACTGCAACACTAGCTGTGTTTACATGGACAAAATTTCTTGATCCGATGAAAATTTTGAGGGATTGGATAATCTGAGTCCACTGTTTATATAGGTGCAAAATCAAATAATCTGATCATGAAGTTTTATTCAGATTAGAAGCATTCGGACATATGCAGAGCTGTCTGATTTCGCTAAAACAACCGCAGAAGATGAAGAGTTGTATTTACGCCTGTGCTGTCAACAAACACGGTAGTGGTTCACTCCATCCAGTTCAGGAGTTTTCCCTCTGTTAAATCTTGTCACTAGATGGTGCCCTTGCATATTTATTTTACCGTTCTGTCAAAGGTTGCACTGTGCGTGCAGATGTGACATCATTACGCTGTATTTACGCCTTGTTATGTTATCGGAGGAACAGACACGACACCTGCGGTTGAGTTTTATGCCAGAGTATTAATAATGGGAGAGAGTCATGATCGGAATAAGTGTTGGACATGGACACGTTTTGGAACAACGATCGGCATAAACCACCCCTCTTGATCGGAATATAATTTCTTTCCGATTAAGCCGAATTGGATCAGAAATCTACTTGCCTGCGACCCCACTTTACCTGTTGGTGTGTCCTTTTAAAGACACATCTGCAGGTACCACTTTAAAACATACACTCATTCACAAAATACTTACTAAACATGTTCTACACACTGAATTTTAATACTTTTCAGAGTCTGTTTTTTTTACATATTGGAGCACATGTGTGAAAGCACTGATCTTATCTACACACATTCAATTCTCAGGATGTCTTTATTGGTGTTTTAACCATAATATGTCTAATTTTTCACTTCTCATGATTTTTACATTCAAATTGGAAGATAGAAGCAGTTTCCATGGAGGAAGGTGAAATACTGTTTTAATAAAACCGTGCATGTTCAGAATTTTTAATGTCTCGAACCATCAAAGTGAAAGATGACGTCTTTTTCCTCCACCGTGCTTTAAATGTGACGTATTAAACTAATTTACTGTTCTTTATACATACACGCCCATCTGTGTGTGTGGTAGAAATGGCACATTGAGACGAATCTTACCGAAGGATCATTTCATTTAGTTGAAACTGCGTCTCGATGATGCCACAGGTCCTCACCCTCACTCTGAGGACATCCATCTCGGTGGGGACGTATTTGGGAGCGATGATTCGATTCATGCTCTCAAAGAAACTAAAGAGGGGGAAAAAAAGAGGGAATTCACCAACGTGTGACATCTGACATTTCAAACCATTAATTATGCAGGTAAATGTCCATTTTTATGATTTTACTTTTGAATCTGACACCAATAATTCACGGACAAGTTTATCAATAAATAATGAGCACACTAGCTGTACAGTTCAGCATGTTTCACTCAGTACTTGTGTCTCTTCAGCATCTGAAATAATCCGGAATAACAGAGTGTACTGTTCTTTTTTAATACAAGGTCTTTTGTCGATCACATTTCACTTCAAAGAAAGAAAAAAAAAAGAAAAAAAGGCCACGGATCACACGATTGGCGGTCAGATTGGGCTTCATCTGGTTTAACAAATGTTGCAAATGCATGACCCTTGTCTCTATAGCTCATATAGATGGATAAATGCAGGTAATTCAAACTGTTTCTAGTCTTTCGTGTGTCTGGTTTCCTTTTTTGAATGTTTACTCACAGAGGGTTCCTCAGCAAATTGGAAAAAAGTGTTCAAGTCTGACTGTAGAGGGATTTGAGTGAAGTATGATAAAATCTCGCTTGGTTTCCATCCCGACTTGAGGCTAAAGGCCAGAAGTAAAATAAGTTTACTCATACAACACCTCTGGACGTGTACAGTATGTGAATGGAGGCCGGAGGCACAGTGAACACTCTCAGCATCAGGTTTGGTCAATGTGGAGGGATTTAAAGAACAAAACAAGATGATGTATCAGGTTCTTCTGCACTGATTTTCAGTTATTTATTCTCCACTTCTTCTGTAACATCACTTCACATTTCTAAAATCTCCAGATCCTGAGGTCAGAGGTTATGTAGCCTGCAGGAACTGTTTCAGTCCAACCTGCAACCTGAGACGCCAGAACGAAATCCTCTCAGAGGACGATGTCCGTGAGCGGCTTGGTTGCTGCGTTTATGCGCATAAATCTCTTCAGAGGATGTTTGAAAGCGATCGTTAGATGACAGTAAGTTTGTATTACACAAATGCAGCCCTTACATTTGCTCCTTACATGGAGAGTTTACCAGCATAAAACTAAAGAGAAATCCCAAAGTTGCCTCACTGATTCGGTTTGTTCCCAAACCAACTGTACACCGCAACATTTTGAGATGAGACGCTTTTCTCACTTCTGTGTTCTGGGGTTTATGTCCAAAAACATCAATAATCTTCGAGTTCAGACTGCTCAGGTTTTCTGGTGCTGGTCTGATTTCTGCCCCCGAGAGTCAGAACCAAATATAGAGAAGCAACGTTTGGAGTTTATGCTCCAAATCTCTGAAATAAACTACCAGAAGACGTCCAGTTTGCAAACAAAGTTGAAGACTCACTCGTTTACAGCAGTCAGTCCCTATTTTTCCCATTTAATTTCCAAGATACAGGTTTTATACTTCTATTTTTAAACTGTCATAATTAAACCGTCTGCCTTTACTATCTTGCTTTGATTTTTAACAGCTTGTTTTAATGATTTTAAGCACTTTGAACTAAATTGTATCTTCACAGTGCGGCTAAATGTGATTTGACTTAGGATGACGAGGTCTGAGCAAACTTTGGGCCGTGACTCGACGCAGAAAAAAACAAATCTGCAAGTTTGAAGATTTGGGAAGAAGATGTTCTGGGGCGAATGTAATACAAATTCATTTTGGCGTTGAAGTAGCATGTAATCAGCAGCAGGTAAGCAAAAAACAGCTTCATGTTCTGGGGAGGATAAGTCTGAACAAAGCGGCGAGTATTTAATATTTTATGGTAAGTATCATCCCCTCCCTGTCATTTGCTCATGGTGAGTTTAGGTGAAATGTTTCTGCTCTGGGATTTGAACCATTTGTTTGCTCGTGTTCACACACAAAAAAAAATTGATATTTTTCCGAACTTTACAGCATTTGTGATCGCAGCTTAAGAGTAAATAATAAAAGTATATTCTGCATTTTTCAAAGGCTCACTGGAATATGACTTTGCATTTATCAAATGATATATAACCCTTCGTATTTGACATTATTTGAGCCTTACAAATTTTGTGAGAGCGACAAGTATTCTGTATTTTACAGCAAGTGTCATCCCTCCCTTTTACTTGATCATGGTGAGTTTAGGTGAAATGTTTCTGCTCAGTACTGAAATCTGCTCACCATGACCCCGTGTGAACATTAGCGCTCGTGTTCACACATGCCATATTTGACATTATTTGAGCCTTACAAATTTTGAGCAACAAAAAAAAAGGTTTTGAAATAAACAGGTGAGAAGAGCTTTTTGCTGAATCTTTTGCTCTTTCGCTCCAATAACTGTAGTTAAATGTTCTGCTGCAAGTATGAATTTGAACTGAATAAATCCAGTCATGATAAGAATTGATCTAAACACACGCCAGTCCACCTGCTGAGACTACAAATTACTTCCAGCGACATTAACAGGCCACTTCATGCCAAGACAAATGTCTGACAAGTCATTTTACACACCCAGGTGCCCTCAGGTCCAGGTGTGTCAAGAACCAGTCTGATCCAATATTTCTGGAGAGAGAAATCAATGTGTGGTCCAGTACAGTGAGAAAAAGGGTTGAAAGAGAGTCGTCTGAGTGTGTGTGGAACAGTCCTGCAGCTCCAATCCAGCTCTGATAATGAAGCTTTCACATCTTCATCTCTCCCAGCCAGCCCTGCTTTAACTCGACATATTTGCTCCCTGCCCCCTGTCGCCAATGAGATCAGGACTTGAACACCCTTTCAAAATAAAAGACTTAGCAACAAGGGTTACTTTACATCATTTCTGGTATTTGGAGATGCTGCAGCTATCAGAGTAATCCAGGTAGCCCTTCACATTATCAAATTCGATCCAAATTGCTTTAAAGAGACCCAGGGATCACTCTTTTTGGGTACAGCCTTAAAGGGACATTCCGGCATAAAATTAAGTTATCATTTCTTCATGGAAATGCAATCAGACCGAGACGCTAAGGCAGAGGAACTACCGCGTCTGCAGTGCAAAATGATTAATATGATGATTATTACTTCAAGGAAATTATAAAGAAATGATCATAAATGTTCTTCCTTGAGTTGCGTCACCCCATTTGCAGTCTCAAAATCGATTTTTTTTAACAAAAACTTTAGTAAAAATTTAAAAAATCCAACAAAAAAATAAAAAATCCCGACACTTATGTGAATCGATTTTTCTCCCACCCCTAGTATTTATAGAGGATTTGAAAAATGGTTATCCTTTTACAGCTTCAGTATGTGTTGTGCTTTTTGTGCATGAAATGATTACACTTTATAGAGTTGGCATTTAATCAAGAGTGCAGAACAGAGCAGTACTGCAATGTTACACACACTCCATTTAAGGATGTACACTTCAGCTGATAATGCGTCACACACTCGAACAGTCATCTATGTGGAGGGTCGTGCTAGAGGCTGCAGGGCGCTAAAAAAACTTTTTTTTTTTAGGTCGAACAATTGAAAGGTTGCGGCTGCTGAAGGACAGCTTTGCCGTTCATAAATCCGATATGCCCCTCTCAGAGATACGCATCATGGCAATATGTATGTGCAAAACTGGCACTGAGAATTTTTAAAAATCCTCTTTGTGACTTTCTATAACGGGCAGTTTACACATGATGCTGCTGTGCTTTTTATACTCGCCAAACAAGAAAACCGCCCCTTTAATCATGGCTGTTTCATCTTCTCCACCCTCATTACTCTCCTGGATATCAGCAAACACTGCTCCTAATTAAGGCTCCCATTTAAAAAAATGTCACGGGAATCATTTCCTGTCGCGCACATCTATTCCCGGCCCTGCCTTTACTGCTGCTCAGCACTGAAAAGATGCGACGACACTACTACTCCTATCTGGGCAATTTCCCCCTGACATTTGCACTGTCAGTCATAATTGGTTCATGACAGGTCACTTGAGGGGATTCTACTTACTATAGAGCCGAGTCGTTCAGTTCAAACTCGTAACCTCTGGATGCGGCTGCTCGCACGCCTTGGTCGGACCACAGCGCGCAGAAAGCGTGAGCCACAAAGGGAAGCAGCTCGTGGTCGTCTCCCAGACACTGACTGCAGGACAGGACGGAGCGGGCGTGTTTCTGCAGACGAAAATGTAAAAAGTGCAAATTTAACTCACTTTTCACTTAAAGTAACATAATGCAGATTGTGCTGCCTGCCAAAACAAAAATGATGGACCTTCTGGAGTAAGAATAATCAACTATCTGAATTTATGACCTCCCAGCCAAAGATGAAGGCTGACACCTAGTGGTGTAATGAGGGGCTGCAATAAAATACAGCATTCATGGACTTTTTCATCACTACTAATACTTATTTTTCAGGCATGTAAGAAAATTATGATATTAACTGGTGACTTTTTCACTTCAAGACAGATGGACAAAGAAATATATGCATTTTTTTGCATCTCACCCCTCATACCTTACATTTTCCTCCAGACTAGGGCTGGGCGATATGGACCAAAAGTCATATCCCAATATATTTAGGCTGAATATCGATATACGATATATATCCTGATATTGTTTTTGCAAAGTGAAAGCAAATGTTTAGTCACGGTCAAAGCCAAATATGACATGTCACCGGAAACAGGCTATTAGACTTAAAAAGACGAAAAAATAATAAAATAAAATAAAATAAAATAGAAATACATAAAATAAAATAAAAACAAATAAAATAAATAATAAAAAATAAATAAATAAATAAAATAAAAGGCCTAAAATGTTAAATAAGAAAAGATTATAAGTAAAACAAAGGCTAAAAGGACAATAAGTCTAAATAAGAAGGAGGTAAAAGAGATAAAAGAAAAAAGAAAAGACAGTCCAATTACAAATATCTCATTTAAAAATATATCGATATTTCTTATATTGATACATCGTCCAGTCCTACTCCAGACTAATACTCATCTTGTCTTACCTTGTTGTTCTTGTTTGCGAGGTTAATCCTCAGTATCCCCATTCCTTGCAGGACAAACTTCATGGAGATCAGCAGGTTGTCCAGGACTGCAGGCTGGAGAGGAAATGAGACATTTATCCTGTTTGTATGCAAGAAATATAGTAGTAGTCTTAATGTGTCAAGATTCCTAAAAATACCTTGAAACTGATGAGCTCCTGTTTAGAGAAGCCACTGTAGATGATCTTTATCTGTTTGATCAGGGTGCTCTTCCCGCTCTCTGCAGCCCCTATAACACAAACCAAGTGAAAGTTTCCCTTCAAAGGGTCAAAACTGAATTGACATGATAAGGTGTTCATACTGTTGCACTTTAACCTACCAAGCAGGAGGATTTTCACCACATTCATCTCAGTCTTGGCATGTTCACAGAGGTCTTGCTCTATCCTGGAGCTCTGCAGTTTGGCCTTTTTACTCTCTTCTGTGATATCCTGGTGAAGGCACATTCCCATGCAGATCTAAAAAGGAACATGTTTGGCTGATTTTCACTTCACTTCCAAGAACTGAGTGAAAAGCCCCTTAAAAAAGAAGAAATTTGCACTAAATAACTATAATTGTGTCTCCCACATTAACCTCAAGGCGACATCCACGTGACCAAACCCTGCTCCATTTCTGTTTTCAGTTATTAGGAGAAAATAACTCGATATCTAAGCTGAACAAAGTCGTTAGTTTACTACCTGTAGAGGGACTGGTAATTTATTTAAACAGCAAAACATGGCTCTGTTCGCTCTGTACGTCTACGTCGTTGAATTCACCTTCTGAACTACAAGCAAACGACAAGTAGCATCGATTTGGCTTAATTAGGAGCACGCTGCACGTGCGGACGACCTGACACAGAGTAAGTCTCCTTCAAAATAAAAGTTCATTTTTTTATGTCACAAGTTTCACAAGCCAAGAATAATTGATAAAACAAAATTTAAAATAGGTACCGATTGTGTTTCACTATATTCAATGTCACAATGGTATCTATCGGTTAAAAATACTCAATTATTATAATTATTTTTTTGTAGGTACAACTTTGATTAAGTGTATTTTATTTTGAAACAAAAACATTTCGGCTACACGTATTTTATTTCCAGGTGTCATTAAAGGGTCTTGCTGGTGTTTTTTTCTTTAAATCAGCCTTTAAAATCGACTGACAAATTATGAAATTGTGATTGTGTGCCATGAAATTAGCCATTTTGAGTGAGCGCTTTTAATTTGTAACTTTTTTGATCATGTAATTTGCTGTAGTTTGATGATAACATGAGCAATAAAAGCACCCTAATTTAAGAATAAATCTTAAAAACTGACTGACAAGTGGTTCCTGTAATAGCCAGTAGACAATCATAATCATTCAACTGTTTCACTGGTGTTAAAAATGCAGACTAAAAATCGAGAAAATCTACATTATCGTAGAATCGCAATTTAAATTGAATCGGCATCCAAAAAATCGTTGAAGAATCCAGTCGGGAGAAAAGCAAATCATCCCAGCCCTAATATAGATAGTGAGGACGGATATTGAACATTTTTCGATTGACATATCGAGACACTATAGCACATTTCTCAGACTTGTTTTCTCTGATTTCCATGTCTGTCTTGACTTACCTTAGATTACACAAACTCCCTTTTCAACACTTTCTTTTAAAACGACAAAAACAAGCAGGACGTAAAATGACATACTTAGGGCCCGAGCGTAGCTGCTAAGCAGCTGCGAGAGCCCTCTTGTTCCTGATGGATTCTTCTTTTGTTATTAGGGCCCGAGCGTAGCTGCTAAGCAGCTGCGAGAGCCCTCTTGTTCCTGCATGTTTCCTTCTTTTGTTATTAGGGCCCGAGCGTAGCTGCTAAGCAGCTGCGAGAGCCCTCTTGTTCCTGCATGTTTCCTTCTTTTGTTGTTATTAGGGCCCGAGCCAGCTGCAGAGCAGCCGGGCGTAGGCCCTGTTGTTCCTCAAGTGGTTTTTCTTTGTTTCTTTCTTTAGGGCCCGAGCCAGCTGCAGAGCAGCCGGGCGTAGGCCCTGTTGTTCCTCAAGTGGTTTTTCTTTGTTTGTTTGTTTCTTTCTTTCTTTCTTAGGGCCCGAGCCAGCTGCAGAGCAGCCGGGCGTAGAGCCCTATTATTCCCCAAGTGGTTTTTCTTTGTTTCTTTCTTTCTTTCTTTCTTTCTTTCTTAGGGCCCGAGCGTAGCTGCTAAGCAGCTGCGAGAGCCCTCTTGTTCCTGCATGTTTCCTTCTTTCGTTATTAGGGCCCGAGCCAGCTGCAGAGCAGCCGGGCGTAGAGCCCTATTATTCCTGTAAAGGTTTTTCTTTCTTCTTTCTTTCTTTCTTTCTTTAGGGCCCGAGCGTAGCTGCTAAGCAGCTGCGAGAGCCCTCTTGTTCCTGCATGTTTCCTTCTTTCGTTATTATTTTTCCTCCGCTTTAAACTGGAAAATGGCCCACTTCCCACTGGCGAAAACTCAGGAAATTTGGCAGGACGACCGGGCCTGGTGAAAAATTCGATATATTGAAGTCGCCCAAACAATAAAATGCAAAATGGCTCCATAGCGCCCCCTAAGGTGAAAATTCACATGACGGCTGTACGCTTTGTCATATTGACACAAAAATTGACACACACATGTATCTCAATAAGATCTACAAAAAAGTCAGTGCGGGCGTATCTGTCAAATGTACGGTTAATGGGTTATTTTGCATTTTTTGCAGATCTGCACACATTGGAATTTCGCTAACTCCTCCGAAGGCTTTCGTTCGACCGGCACCACATTTGCGCAGGCCAATCTACCCCCCATGGCCATTAAAAGTTGTACAAATCATGACGCTGCACCCCACGGTTTACGTTCTAGGGGGCGCCAAAGATAACCCAAAATCCACATTCTTAAAAGTCTTATAACTTTTTATTTTTGTCCTCACTGCCCTCCAAGTTTTCTAGGATGATGCAATGTCCAGCCATCAACACATTTGTGAAGGAATTTTTACTCCCCAAAAGAGCGCCCCCCCCATGGCAGGAGAAAAAAGTCAATTTTTTCTTGTCCCCTTACATGAAAATACACATTGTTGAGTGTCATGCCTGAACGCTTTGTCATATTGACACAAAAATTGACAATCATGTGTATCTCAATTAGATCTACGAAAAAGTCAAAAAGCGCGTATCTGTATAATGTACGGTTAAAGGGCTATTTCGCATTTTTTGCCGATTCGCACACATTGGAATGTGGCTATCTCCTCCTAAGGCTTTCGTCCCACCGATACCAAATTTGCTCAGGGCAATCTACACCCCATGCCCATTCAAAGTTGTAAAAATCATGACGCTGCACCCCACGGTTTACGTTCTAGGGGGCGCCAAAGATGACCCAAAAATCCACATTCTTAAAAGTCATTTTGGCCACTGCAGGAGTACAGAGTACTGCAGTTCTAGGGGGCGCCAAAGATGACCCAAAAATCCACATTCTTAAAAGTCTTTTTGGCCACTGCAGGAGTACAGAGTACTGCAGGATACACACACATATACACACACACACACACACACACACACACACACACACACACTCAGAGTCTGTTTTTTAGCACCTGCAAAAACATGCTGTTTACATATTTGACAAGAATGCAGAGGCTTCCTTTTGCCCCTGAAAAAAATCAGATTTCAAACACAACTTGACTGTTCATTTCTCCAAAAGACAACCATGAAGCTCCATCCAAACCTGAAGCAGATAGTTGGTGCATGTGTACAGTAACCTGAGGGGAGTGAGGTGACTATTTCTGAGGAGAACATGAGCAGTGAAGATTCACCTTGGAGCTAGAACAGGGACGTGCACATGATTATACAGGGGCAGGGGCTCAAGTTTTTTCCAGTCATTTATACAATATGGAAATTAATGTGAAATTAAACCACAAATATGTGTGATGAACTGTTTTTAAAACTTAAACTTCAAATAAAAATTGTAAACTTCAAAACATATGCAAATTTTTAACAAAGAACATAGTGATTTACCTCTATTTACATCAAACTGCAGGCAATGGCCCAGGCGTTCTTTGTAAAATTATTTACAAAACACTGTATAGTCTCACAAATGTCACTTTTTATTTATGCCACTACAAAAAAACATGATGTAAATGATGCATGATGTAAAACATGATGTAAAAAACTTGTGTAGATCCTCCTCTATGTCAGTCCATGTGTAATTTTTCCATAATTCTTTGTTTTTTGCAGCATTTTTGTTAGTGTAACTGCAGATTGTGCTGACAGTGTCTATGGCACAAAAAAAAAAAAAATTCAAAATGCCTCAACATGAACCCCTGGTGGTCTCTGAGGGTGAAACCTGCTAACTGCTGCAGCTCTGTCAGCTTCAGTCTCCCATGCAGAGCTCTGAGCGCATGTGTGGCTCTGCACCCTTAGCAGCGTTGCTAACTCCTCAGTAAGGAAAGCCTGCTTCATGTCAGAGTCTCTAAACTCCAGAAGAAGTCGATAAAAGTCCCTTTCTTTCTAAAAAAAAGTCGTTAGGGGGTCTGAAAAGTCATTGAATCTAACAACAAAGTCGCTAGGTTTGCAACTACGTGTCCCAGACTGCATCCCTGCTGAGAGTCCCTCCCTCCCTTCTCATGTTGCAGGAAGAACGTAAGCGCCCGCCCCTTGTCAATCAGTCACCATATAATTTTGGATTGGTTGTTGTGGTGAAGTTTTCCACCAATAGGAGAGATGTTGTGGTGTGTTTTTTTTCTTTTGGCAAGCCTTTTCCGCCTGTAAGACCTGTCGCTAATGTCTGCATGCTATGTTTTCCTGTCTCATACAGCGCGATCGAGCGCCAAACGTGATCAAAATAAGCAGAAAAAAAGTATCGCGGACATAATTTATCATAACTCTGGTTTTATTTGGCCTATCAACACAATTAAAAAACTGGTATATAGGTTGAGGTCCTCACTTTTGAGATAAGTTGAAACGGAGAGTCAACGAGGCTCCGTCTTGCAGCTACATCCGGTTAAATATGTCATGTGACTTTAACGCACACACAGACACACACACACGCACACACACACACACACACACACACACACACACACACTCAGAGTCTGGTTTTTAGCACCTGCAAAAACATGCTATTTACATATTTGACAAGAATGCAGAGGCTCCTTTTGCCCCTGAAAAAAAAATCAAATTTCAAACACAACTTGACTGGTCATTTCTCCAAAAGACAACCATGAAGCTCCATCCAAACCTGAAGCAGGCAGTTGGTGCATGTGTACAGTAACCTGAGGGGAGTGAGGTGACTGCTTCTGAGGAGAACATGAGCAGTGAAGATTCACCTTGGAGCTAGAACAGGGACGTGCACATGATTATACAGGGGCAGGGGCTCAAGTTTTTTCCAGTCATTTATACAATATGGAAATTAATGTGAAATTAAAAAACAAAGTACTAATAGAAAGGTAATGACTGTCCTGTGTAGATGACAGTGATATCCAATAGGCTAGGCACTCACGAGGCTGGCTGTGGCAAGTGTAAGTGAAAGCAACACGCACTGGCAGGAAGAACAGCAAACGCCGATGAAGGAAAAGGGTCTTTGCAGTGATGGGCGTTACCAGAGAGGGCGATGGCCAGAGGACACGAATGGGACGGGGAGGCAGCGCGTTGGGGGGAGGCAGCGCGTTGGGGGGGGGGGGGGGGGGGCGCGACATGGCTCGGGCCCGCCAGTGCCCCAACGGGGCCCTAGTTAGGGCCCGAGCGTAGCTGCTAAGCAGCTGCGAGAGCCCTCTTGTTCCTGCATGTTTCCTTCTTTTGTTATTATTAGGGCCCGAGCGTAGCTGCTAAGCAGCTGCGAGAGCCCTATTATTCCTGATGGATTCTTCTTTCTTCTTCTTCTTCTTATTAGGGCCCGAGCGTAGCTGCTAAGCAGCTGCGAGAGCCCTATTATTCCTGATGGATTCTTCTTTAGGGCCCGAGCGTAGCTGCTAAGCAGCTGCGAGAGCCCTCTTGTTCCTGTAGTTTCCTTCTTTTGTTATTATTATTATTATTATTTTTCCTCCCCTTTGAACTGGAAAATGGCCCACTTCCCACTGGCGAAAACTCATGAAATTTGGCAGGACGACCGGGCCTGGTGAAAAATTTGATATTCCGAAGTCGCCCAAACAAGAAAATGCAAAATGGCTCCATAGCGCCCCCTAAGGTGAAAATTCACACTATTCACTGTCACGCCTGTACGCTTTGTCAAAATGACACAAAAATTGACACACACATGTATCTCAATAAGATCTACAAAAAAGTCAGTGCGGGCGTATCTGTCAAATGTACGGTTAAAGGGTTATTTCGCATTTTTTGCCGATCCGCACACATTGGAATTTCGCTAACTCCTCCGAAGGCTTTCGTTCCACCGGCACCACATTTGCTCAGGCCAATCTACACCCCATGGCCATTAAAAGTTATTCAAATCATGACGCTGCACCCCACGGTTTAGGTTCTAGGGGGCGCCAAAGATAACCCTAAGATCCACATATTTAAAAGTCTTATAACTTTTTATTTTTGCCCTCACTGGCCTCCAAGTTTTCTAGGATGATGCAATGTCCAGCCATCAACACATTTGTGAAGGAATTTTTACTCCCCAAAAGAGCGCCCCCCCATGGCAGGAGAAAAAAGTCCATTTTTTCTTGTCCCCTAAGGTGAAAATACACATTGTTGAGTGTAACACCTGTACGCTTTGGCAAAATGACACAAAAATTGACACACACATGTATCTCAATAAGATCTACAAAAAAGTCAATGCGCGCGTATCTGTCAAATGTACGGTTAAAGGGCTATTTTGCATTTTTTGCCGATTCGCACACATTGGAATGTGGCTAACTCCTCCTAAGGCTTTCGTCCCACTGACACCAAATTTGCTCAGGCCAATCTACACCCCATGGCCATTCAAAGTTGTAAAAATCATGACGCTGCACCCCACGGTTTACGTTCTAGGGGGCGCCAAAGATGACCCAAAAATCCACATTCTTAAAGGAATCCACATCCCCCCCAAGGCAGGAGAAAAAGTCAAGTTAACCCTGCCCATCGCTCAATGGCTCAATCGCATCGCTCTCCAGGCAACACCGTAAGGAGGAGCAACCTGCCATTTCGATATATCATAGCTGTGTTTGTGCCCTCACTCATGGTCCAGACTTTTTTCAAATAGGACATGAAGTTTGTCTGCAGCGAGTGTTTTGGTAGAAACTGCGCCTCCCATTCATTATAATGGGAAATGACCACAGACAAGTGCACACACCATCTTTGGACCTTGAGTGTGACGCGATCGGGAGGGGGAGGCGGTCGCGCTAGGGGCGGCGCGACGCGGCTCGGGCCCGACAGTGCCCCACCGGGGCCCTAGTTCTTCTTCTTATTATTATTTTTCTGCCCCTTTGAACTGGAAAATGGCCCACTTCCCACTGGTGAAAACTCATGAAATTTGGCAGGACGACCGGGCCTGGTGAAAAATTCGATATTCTGAAGTCATCCAAACAATCAAATGCAAAATGGCTCCATAGCGCCCCCTAAGGTGAAAAATTCACATGATTGAGTGTCACGCCTATACGCTTTGTCAAAATGACACAAAATTTGACACACACGTGTATCTCAATAAGATCTACAAAAAAGTCAGTGCGGGCGTATCTGTCAAATGTACGGTTAAAGGGCTATTTCGCATTTTTTGCCGATCCACACACATTGGAATTTCGCTAACTCCTCCGAAGGCTTTCGTTCCAAAGGCACCACATTTGCTCAGGCCAATCTACACCCCATGGCCATTAAAAGTTGTACAAATCATGACGCTGCACCCCACGGTTTACGTTCTAGGGGGCGCCAAAGATAACCCAAAAATCCACAGTCTTAAAAGTCTTATAACTTTTTATTTTTGTCCTCACTGGCCTCCAAGTTCTCTAGGATGATGCAATGTCCAGCCATCAACACATTTGTGAAGGAATTTTTACTCGCCAAAGAGCGCCCCCCCATGGCAGGAGAAAAAAGTCCATTTTTTCTTGTCTCCTAAGGCGAAAATTCACACTATTGAGTGTCACGCCTATACGCTTTGTCATATTGACACAAAAATTGACACACACATGTATCTCAATAAGATCTACAAAAAAGTCAGTGCGGGCGTATCTGTCAAATGTACGGTTAAAGGGCTATTTCGCATTTTTTGCCGATCCGCACACATTGGAATTTCGCTAACTCCTCCGAAGGCTTTCGTTCCAAAGGCACCACATTTGCTCAGGCCAATCTACACCCCATGGCCATTAAAAGTTGTACAAATCATGACGCTGCACCCCACGGTTTACGTTCTAGGGGGCGCCAAAGATAACCCAAAAATCCACAGTCTTAAAAGTCTTATAACTTTTTATTTTTGTCCTCACTGGCCTCCAAGTTCTCTAGGATGATGCAATGTCCAGCCATCAACACATTTGTGAAGGAATTTTTACTCGCCAAAAGAGCGCCCCCCCATGGCAGGAGAAAAAAGTCCATTTTTTCTTGTCTCCTAAGGCGAAAATACACATTGTTGACTGTCACGCCTTTACGCTTTGTCAAAATGACACAAAATTTGACAAACACATGTATCTCAATAAGATCTACGAAAAAGTCAATGTGAGCGTATCTGTTCAATGTACGGTTAAAGGGCTATTTCGCATTTTTGGCCGATTCGCACACATTGGAATGTGGCTAACTCCTCCTAAATCTTTTGTCCCATCGGCTTCAAATTTGCTCAGGTCAATCTACACCCCATGGCCATTCAAAGTTGTACAAATCATGACACTGCACCCCACAGTTTACGTTCTAGGGGGCGCCAAAGAGGACCCAAATATCCACATTTTTAAAAGTCTTATAACTTTTTATTTTTGTCCTCACTGGCCTCCAAGTTTTCTAGGATGATGCAATGTCCAGCCATCAACACATTTGTGAAGGAATTTTTACTCCCCAAAAGAGCGCCCCCCCATGGCAGGAGAAAAAGTCAAGTTTTCCTGCCCATCGCTCAATGGCTCAAACGCATCGCTCTCTCGGCAAAACCGAAAGGAGGAGCAACTTGCCATTTGGATATATACTAGCTGTGTTTGTGCCCTCACTCATGGTCCAGACTTTTTTCAAAAAGGACATGGAGTTTGTCTGCAGCGAGCGTTTTGGTAGAAACTGCGCCTCCCATTCATTATAATGGTAAATGACCACAGACAAGTGCGCACACCATCTTTGGACCTTGAGTGTGACGCGATCGGGAGGGGTAGGCGGTCGCGCTGGGGGCGGCACGACACGGCTCGGGCCCGCCAGTGCCCCAACGGGGCCCTAGTTATTTTTCTGCCCCTTTGAACTGGAAAATGGCCCACTTCCCACTGGTGAAAAGTCATGAAATTTGGCAGGACGACCGGGCCTGGTGAAAAATTCGATATTCTGAAGTCGCCCAAAAAATCAAATGCAAAATGGCTCCATAGCGCCCCCTAAGGTGAAAAATTCACATGATTGAGTGTCACGCCTGTACGCTTTGTCAAAATGACACAAAATTTGACACACACGTGTATCTCAATAAGATCTACAAAAAAGTCAGTGCGGGCGTATCTGTCAAATGTACGGTTAAAGGGCTATTTAGCATTTTTTGCCGATCCGCACACATTGGAATTTCGCTAACTCCTCCGAAGGCTTTCGTTCCACCGGCACCAAATTTGCTCAGGCCAATCTACACCCCATGGCCATTAAAAGTTGTACAAATCATGACGCTGCATCCCACGGTTTACGTTCTAGGGGGCGCCAAAGATAACCCAGAAATCCACATTCTTAAAAGTCGTATAACTTTTTATTTTTGTCCTCACTGGCCTCCAAGTTTTCTAGGATGATGCAATGTCCAGCCATCAACACATTTGTGAAGGAATTTTTACTCCCCAAAAGAGCGCCCCCCCATGGCAGGAGAAAAAAGTCCATTTTTTCTTGTCTCCTAAGGCGAAAATTCACACTATTGACTGTCACGCCTTTACGCTTTGTCATATTGACACAAAAATTGACACACACATGTATCTCAATAAGATCTACAAAAAAGTCAGTGCGGGCGTATCTGTCAAATGTACGGTGAAAGGGCTATTTCGCATTTTTTGCCGATCCGCACACATTGGAATTTCGCTAACTCCTCCGAAGGCTTTCGTTCCAAAGGCACCACATTTGCTGAGGCCAATCTACACCCCATGGCCATTAAAAGTTGTACAAATCATGACGCTGCACCCCACGGTTTACGTTCTAGGGGGCGCCAAAGATAACCCAAAAATCCACATATTTAAAAGTCTTATAACTTTTTATTTTTGTCCTCACTGGCCTCCAAGTTCTCTAGGATGATGCAATGTCCAGCCATCAACACATTTGTGAAGGAATTTTTACTCGCCAAAAGAGCGCCCCCCCATGGCAGGAGAAAAAAGTCCATTTTTTCTTGTCTCCTAAGGCGAAAATACACATTGTTGACTGTCACGCCTTTACGCTTTGTCAAAATGACACAAAATTTGACACACACATGTATCTCAATAAGATCTACAAAAAAGTCAGTGCGGGCGTATCTGTCAAATGTACGGTTAAAGGGTTATTTCGCATTTTTTGCCGATCCGCACACATTGGAATTTCGCTAACTCCTCCTAAATCTTTTGTCCCATCGGCTTCAAATTTGCTCAGGTCAATCTACACCCCATGGCCATTCAAAGTTGTACAAATCATGACGCTGCACCCCACAGTTTACGTTCTAGGGGGCGCCAAAGAGGACCCAAATATCCACATTTTTAAAAGTCTTATAACTTTTTATTTTTGTCCTCACTGGCCTCCAAGTTTTCTAGGATGATGCAATGTCCAGCCATCAACACATTTGTGAAGGAATTTTTTCTCCCCAAAAGAGCGCCCCCCCATGGCAGGAGAAAAAGTCAAGTTTTTCCTGCCCATCGCTCAATGGCTCAAACGCATCGCTCTCTCTGCAAAACCGAAAGGAGGAGCAACTTGCCATTTGGATATATACTAGCTGTGTTTGTGCCCTCACTCATGGTCCAGACTTTTTTCAAATAGGACATGTAGTTTGTCTGCAGCGAGCGTTTTGGTAGAAACTGCGCCTCCCATTCATTATAATGGGAAATGACCACAGACAAGTGCGCACACCATCTTTGGACCTTGAGTGTGACGCGATCGGGAGGGGGAGGCGGTCGCGCTGGGGGCGGCGCGACGCGGCTCGGGCCCGACAGTGCCCCACCGGGGCCCTAGTTATTATTTTTCCTCCCCTTTGAACTGGAAAATGGCCCACTTCCCACTGGCGAAAACTCATGAAATTTGGCAGGACGACCGGGCCTGGTGAAAAATTTGATATTCTGAGGTCGCCCAAACAATAAAATGCAAAATGGCTCCATAGCGCCCCCTAAGATGAAAATGCACACTATTGACTGTCACGGCTGTACGCTTTGTCATAGTGACACAAAAATTGACACACACATGTATCTCAATAAGATCTACAAAAAAGTCAGTGCGGGCATATCTGTCAAATTTACGGTTAAAGGGTTATTTCGCATTTTTTGCCGATCCGCACACATCGGAATTTCGCTATCTCCTCTGAAGACTTTCGTTCCATCGGCACAACATTTGCTCAGGTCAATCTACACCCCATGGCCATTAAAAGTTATTCAAATCATGACGCTGCACCCCACGGTTTAGGTTCTAGGGGGCGCCAAAGATAACCCTAAGATCCACATATTTAAAAGTCTTATAACTTTTTATTTTTGTCCTCACTGGCCTCCAAGTTTTCTAGGATGATGCAATGTCCAGCCATCAACACATTTGTGAAGGAATTTTTACTCCCCAAAAGAGCGCCCCCCCATGGCAGGAGAAAAAAGTCCATTTTTTCTTGTCCCCTAAGGTGAAAATACACATTGTTGAGTGTAACACCTGTACGCTTTGGCAAAATGACACCAAAATTGAGACACTCATGTATCTCAATAAGATCTACAAAAAAGTCAATGCGCACGTATCTGTCAAATGTACGGTTAAAGGGTTATTCCGCATTTTTTGCCGATCCGCACACATTGGAATTTCGCTAACTCCTCCGAAGGCTTTCGTTCCACCGGCACCACATTTTCTCAGGCCAATCTACACCCCATGGCCATTAAAAGTTATTCAAATCATGACGCTGCACCCCACGGTTTAGGTTCTAGGGGGCGCCAAAGATAACCGTAAAATCCACATATTTAAAAGTCTTATAACTTTTTATTTTTGTCCCCACTGGCCTCCAAGTTTTCTAGGATGATGCAATGTCCAGCCATCAACACATTTGTGAAGGAATTTTTACTCGCCAAAAGAGCGCCCCCCCATGGCAGGAGAAAAAAGTCCATTTTTTCTTGTCCACTAAGGTGAAAATACACATTGTTGAGTGCTACGCCTGTATGTTTTGTCGTATTGACACAAAATTTTACATACACGTGTCTTTCAATAAGATCTTCGAAAAAGTCAATGGCCACGTATCTGTAAAATGTACGGTTAAAGGGTTATTTCGCATTTTTTGCAGATTCGCACACATTGGAATTTCGCTAACTCCTCCGAAGGCTTTCGTTCCACCGGCACCACATTTTCTCAGGCCAATCTACACCCCATGGCCATTAAAAGTTATTCAAATCATGACGCTGCACCCCACGGTTTAGGTTCTAGGGGGCGCCAAAGATAACCCTAAAATCCACATATTTAAAAGTCTTATAACTTTTTATTTTTGTCCTCACTGGCCTCCATGTTTTCTAGGATGATGCAATGTCCAGCCATCAACACATTTGTGAAGGAGTTTTTTCTCGTTAAAAGAGCGCCCCCCATGGCAGGAGAATAAAGTCAAGTTTTTCCTGTTCATCATTCAATGGCTCAAACGCACTGCTCTCTCGGCAAAAGCGAAAGGAGGAGCAACTTGCCATTTGGATATATCTTAGCTGTGTTTGTGCCCTCACTCATGGTCCAGACTTTTTTCAAATAGGACATGGAGTTTTTCTGCAGCGAGCGTTTTGGTAGAAACTGCGCCTCCCGTTCATTATAATGGTAAATGACCACAAACAAGTGCGCATACCATCTTTGGACCTTGAGTGTGACGCGATCGGGTGGGGGAGGCGGTCGTGCTGGGGGCGGCGTGACACGGCTCGGGCCCGCCAGTGCCCCAACGGGGCCCTAGTTCTTTCTTTCTTCTTATTTTTCCTCCCCTTTGAAGGGGAAAATGGCCCACTTCCCACTGGCGAAAACTCATGAAATTTGGCAGGACGAATGGGCCTGGTGAAAAATTCGATATTCTGAAGTCGCCCAAACAATAAAATGCAAAATGGCTCCATAGCGCCCCCTAAGGTGAAAATTCACACTATTGACTGTCACGCCTTTACGCTTTGTCATATTGACACAAAAATTGACACACACATGTATCTCAATAAGATCTACAAAAAAGTCAGTGCGGGCGTATCTGTCAAATGTACGGTTAGAGGGTTATTTCGCATTTTTTGCCGATCCGCACACATTGGAATTTCGCTAACTCCTCCGAAGGCTTTCGTTCCACCGGCACCACATTTGCTCAGGCCAATCTACACCCCATGGCCATTAAAAGTTGTACAAATCATGACGCTGCACCCCACGGTTTACGTTCTAGGGGGCGCCAAAGATAACCCAAAAATCCACAGTCTTAAAAGTCTTATAACTTTTTATTTTTGTCCTCACTGGCCTCCAAGTTCTCTAGGATGATGCAATGTCCAGCCATCAACACATTTGTGAAGGAATTTTTACTCGCCAAAAGAGCGCCCCCCCATGGTAGGAGAAAAAAGTCCATTTTTTCTTGTCTCCTAAGGCGAAAATTCACACTATTGACTGTCACGCCTTTACGCTTTGTCATATTGACACAAAAATTGACACACACATGTATCTCAATAAGATCTACAAAAAAGTCATTGCGGGCGTATCTGTCAAATGTACGGTTAAAGGGCTATTTCGCATTTTTTGCCGATCCGCACACATTGGAATTTCGCTAACTCCTCCGAAGGCTTTCGTTCCAAAGGCACCACATTTGCTCAGGCCAATCTACACCCCATGGCCATTAAAAGTTGTACAAATCATGACGCTGCACCCCACGGTTTACGTTCTAGGGGGCGCCAAAGATAACCCAAAAATCCACAGTCTTAAAAGTCTTATAACTTTTTACTTTTGTCCTCACTGGCCTCCAAGTTCTCTAGGATGATGCAATGTCCAGCCATCAACACATTTGTGAAGGAATTTTTACTCGCCAAAAGAGCGCCCCCCCATGGCAGGAGAAAAAAGTCCATTTTTTCTTGTCTCCTAAGGCGAAAATACACATTGTTGACTGTCACGCCTTTACGCTTTGTCAAAATGACACAAAATTTGACACACACATGTATCTCAATAAGATCTACGAAAAAGTCAATGCGAGCGTATCTGTTCAATGTACGGTTAAAGGGCTATTTCGCATTTTTTGCCGATTCGCACACATTGGAATGTGGCTAAATCCTCCTAAATCTTTTGTCCCATCGGCTTTAAATTTGCTCAGGTCAATCTACACCCCATGGCCATTCAAAGTTGTACAAATCAAGACGCTGCACCCCACAGTTTACGTTCTAGGGGGCGCCAAAGAGGACCCAAATATCCACATTTTTAAAAGTCTTATAACTTTTTATTTTTGTCCTCACTGGCCTCCAAGTTTTCTAGGATGATGCAATGTCCAGCCATCAACACATTTGTGAAGGAATTTTTTCTCCCCAAAAGAGCGCCCCCCCATGGCAGGAGAAAAAGTCAAGTTTTTCCTGCCCATCGCTCAATGGCTCAAACGCATCGCTCTCTCGGCAAAACCGAAGGGAGGAGCAACTTGCCATTTGGATATATACTAGCTGTGTTTGTGCCCTCACTCATGGTCCAGACTTTTTTCAAAAAGGACATGGAGTTTGTCTGCAGCGAGCGTTTTGGTAGAAACTGCGCCTCCCATTCATTATAATGGTAAATGACCACAGACAAGTGCGCACACCATCTTTGGACCTTGAGTGTGACGCGATCGGGAGGGGTAGGCGGTCGCGCTGGGGGCGGCGCGACACGGCTCGGGCCCGCCAGTGCCCCAACGGGGCCCTAGTTATTTTTCCTCCGCTTTAAACTGGAAAATGGCCCACTTCCCACTGGCGAAAACTCATGAAATTTGGCAGGACGACCGGGCCTGGTGAAAAATTCGATATTCTGAAGTCGCCCAAACAATAAATTGCAAAATGGCTCCATAGCGCCCCCTAAGGTGAAAATTCACACTATTGACTGTCACGCCTTTACGCTTTGTCATATTGACACAAAAATTGACACACACATGTATCTCAATAAGATCTACAAAAAAGTCAGTGCGGGCGTATCTGTCAAATGTACGGTTAATGGGTTATTTTGCATTTTTTGCAGATCTGCACACATTGGAATTTCGCTAACTCCTCCGAAGGCTTTCGTTCGACCGGCACCACATTTGCGCAGGCCAATCTACCCCCCATGGCCATTAAAAGTTGTACAAATCATGACGCTGCACCCCACGGTTTACGTTCTAGGGGGCGCCAAAGATAACCCAAAAATCCACATTCTTAAAAGTCTTATAACTTTTTACTTTTGTCCTCACTGGCCTCCAAGTTTTCTAGGATGATGCAATGTCCAGCCATCAACACATTTGTGAAGGAATTTTTACTCCCCAAAAGAGCGCCCCCCAATGGCAGGAGAAAAAGGTCCATTTTTTCTTGTCTCCTAAGGTGAAAATACACATTGTCGAGTGTCACGCCTGTATGCTTTGTCATATTGACACAAAATTTAACAATCACGTGTATCTCAATAAGATCTACAAAAAAGTCAATGCGCACGTATCTGTAAAATGTACGGCTAAAGGGCTATTTTGCATTTTTTGCCGATTCGCACACATTGGAATGTGGCTAACTCCTCCGAAGGCTTTCGTCCCACTGACACCAAATTTGCTCAGGCCAATCTACACCCCATGGCCATTCAAAGTTGTAAAATTCATGCCGCTGCACCCCACGGTTTACGTTCTAGGGGGCGCCAAAGATAACCCAAATATCCACAGTCTTAAAAGTCTTATAACTTTTTATTTTTGACCTCACTGGCCTCCAAGTTCTCTAGGATGATGCAATGTCCAGCCATCAACACATTTGTGAAGGAATTTTTACTCGCCAAAAGAGCGCCCCCCCATGGCAGGAGAAAAAAGTCCATTTTTTCTTGTCTCCTAAGGCGAAAATACACATTGTTGACTGTCACGCCTTTACGCTTTGTCAAAATGACACAAAATTTGACACACACATGTATCTCAATAAGATCTACAAAAAAGTCAGTGCGGGCGTATCTGTCAAATGTACGGTTAAAGGGTTATTTCGCATTTTTTGCCGATCCGCACACATTGGAATTTCGCTAACTCCTCCGAAGGCTTTCGTTCCAACGGCACCACATTTGCTCAGGCCAATCTACACCCCATGGCCATTAAAAGTTGTACAAATCATGATGCTGCACCCCACGGTTTACGTTCTAGGGGGCGCCAAAGATAACCCAAAAATCCACAGTCTTAAAAGTCTTATAACTTTTTATTTTTGTCCTCACTGGCCTCCAAGTTCTCTAGGATGATGCAATGTCCAGCCGTCAACACATTTGTGAAGGAATTTTTACTCGCCAAAAGAGCGCCCCCCCCATGGCAGGAGAAAAAGTCAAGTTTTTCCTGCCCATCGCTCAATGGCTCAAACGCATCGCTCTCTCGGCAAAACCGAAAGGAGGAGCAACTTGCCATTTGGATATATACTAGCTGTGTTTGTGCCCTCACTCATGGTCCAGACTTTTTTCAAAAAGGACATGGAGTTTGTCTGCAGCGAGCGTTTTGGTAGAAACTGCGCCTCCCATTCATTATAATGGTAAATGACCACAGACAAGTGCGCACACCATCTTTGGACCTTGAGTGTGACGCGATCGGGAGGGGTAGGCGGTCGCACTGGGGGTGGCGCGACACGGCTCGGGCCCGCCAGTGCCCCAACGGGGCCCTAGTTTCTTCTTTTTCCTCCCCTTTGAACTGGAAAATGGCCCACTTCCCACTGGCGAAAACTCATGAAATTTGGCAGGACGACCGGGCCTGGTGAAAAATTTGATATTCTGAAGTCGCCAAAACAATAAAATGCAAAATGGCTCCATAGCGCCCCCTAAGGTGAAAATACACATTGTTGAGTGTCACGCCTTTACGCTTTGTCAAAATGACACAAAAATTGACACACACATGTATCTCAATAAGATCTACAAAAAAGTCAACGCGCGCGTATCTGTCAAATGTACGGTTAAAGGGTTATTCCGCATTTTTTGCTGAGCCGCACACATTGGAATGTGGCTAACTCCTCCTAAGGCTTTCGTTCCACCGGCACCACATTTGCTCAGGCCAATCTACACCCCATGGCCATTAAAAGTTATTCAAATCATGACGCTGCACCCCACGGTTTACGTTCTAGGGGGCGCCAAAGAGGACCCAAATATCCACATTTTTAAAAGTCTTATAACTTTATTTTTGTCCTCACTGGCCTCCAAGTTTTCTAGGATGATGCAATGTTCAGCCATCAACACATTTGTGAAGGAATTTTTTCTCCCCAAATGAGCGCCCCCCCATGGCAGGAGAAAAAGTCAAGTTTTTCCTGCCCATCGATCAATGGCTCAAACGCATCGCTCTCTCGGCAAAACCGAAAGGATGAGCACCTTGCCATTTGGATATATACTAGCTGTGTTTGTGCCCTCACTCATGGTCCAGACTTTTTTCAAAAAGGACATGAAGTTTGTCTGCAGCGAGTGTTTTGGTAGAAACTGCGCCTCCCATTCATTATAATGGGAAATGACCACAGACAAGTGCGCACACCATCTTTGGACCTTGAGTGTGACGCGATCGGGAGGGGGAGGCGGTCGCGCTGGGGGCGGCGCGACGCGGCTCGGGCCCGACAGTGCCCCACCGGGGCCCTAGTTATCATATTGTATCTTGTCATATCATATTTTATTGTATCATTTTTGGTTTAATCTTACATCTGAGGGATTTGAAATGGTACTTAAACATACAGAATAGTATTTTGTTGCATTATACAAAATATTTAATCGCACTTCTGTTTTAATTAAGTCAGACAGAAGTGTTTTGAAAGTTTTTTTTGCAGTTTTATGAATTTCTGAACATTATCATGGTACAAACTATCCAACAGGAAATATGTAAATTAATTTAGGGTTAGTTAGTTTTTAAGATGATACCCTGACAGTTCATTTTATTTAATCCTCCTCGAGAATATTCTGCAAACAAAGAGATAGACGGACAAAATTCCAGCTCATATCGGTGACCTTGTCACGCCTCTGATTCAAACTGGTGCTCATAGGTCAGAATACATATTAACTTTTCTACTCTCTCTGGGGACAAATCTGCTGGTGGAATAATCTGCTCCTAATGGTCTGACATTTAACGAACTTTCTGTGTGAGCCACCCGTGTGCTGTAAAATTTAGATCATTTCTTCCGATCAAAGGCCATTTCTGTGTCCAAATCATGACCTTAACCTTTTCTAACGTGACTCATGCACAGTTTGCTCATTTTCAGAGGGAATCATGATGATCCTCCTACACACAGATGTTTTCAGGAAAGACGACCAGCAGCCTTTTCAACTGAAATGTTATAATTATCAGCAACAGAACCGTAGTCCAGTCATTTTCTACAGTATTTATCATGAACACAGACTATAGCCTACACTTAATACATTCCATTTACATACAGATATATTACTATGCTTTTTAACCATATGAAACCATCTATACAGTTGTTAATGCAGAGGAGGTGAGTAAAATATACATCTACAAAAAATATATATTATATAATCCCATTTCATACAGAGACAGAGGTTAATTGTTCAAGGCTCAATGACAGTAAGAGGTCTATTTCATGAGTAAGAGGTCTATTTCATGACCGAGTCAACAACAATGAGCATCTGTCATTATTTTCGTGTTAAATTAACAAAACGTAATGATAAAAGTAGACCGTTAAAACTCTGTAGTCTTCTCTATAGCGGTACAGATCTGAGAGGTGTCGCTTAAAAAGTGAATTTGCACTAAAAGGCCAGGCGTGCAGGTCCCTTCAGTGTGCACCGTCAGAGTTAAAAATCTGCTCTAACAGTAAAACAGAACAGTACCGATGATTTCCGAGCACTCAGTGCGGACTGATATGTACATGAGGTCCAGCCAGGGTCCGTCAACACCTCAGGAAAACCAAAGTTAGCTGTGGAGAAGCAGGGAAAATGCTCTCCCCTGGTTCTCGAGTGTTTTTAGCATCCAGCAGAAAGACTGTAATCACGTTATAATACATACATACATACAGTACATACAGTATGTACAAAGATTGATCAGATGACGGGGAGCGATTGCTGGACAGAAAGCAGCAACACTCTCGAACAGAAATGACAAATCAAACCACTTCCTTTAAAAGTTCAACACCTGATCCGTCTCCACACCGAAAAGTAAAATTTTAGTTTAAAGGCAAAAAACTTAAAGATTTAAAACGTCCGACGACACAAAATAGAAATCTGAGCTCTCTCGTGCTCCCAGCTGTCTGTTTGTGTGAGTGCTGACTGAGACGAACATGTAGTTGCATATGTAGGATAGATGATCCTCACACACGTATACACACACACACACACACACACACACACACGCACACACACTGTATACCTGATACCCACAGCAGACAATGCCACACTGGCTGTAAATGAGCTGCTGTAAAGACTGCTGTCGTTATCCAGGTGTGTGGAAGGTGTCACCGCGGTTATAAAAGAGTTGATTTTACTGTACATGAGTTTGGATTAATAGTCAGTGTTAGAGGATGTTCACACTCAGTTGACGGTGCTCGTTTTGGGGCCTTTCTGCAGCACAGGCTGGGGTCTTTCTTTCGTCTTCTCCTCCTCTTTTCTCTTCATGGCCTGGATCACGGCGATCTCTTTGGCCTCTTTTTTCTGGTTCCTGGCTTCAAACAGCAACCTGTATCACACCAAGGAGATTTGAAAAGGATTACCAAACCCATAGACAACACTTTTTCGTCACTTTTTACACTTTTTTTATTTTATACTGGGAAACACTATTTTGTTTATTTATAGATATTACAGTATAAAGTAGTATTAGAGCCACTTTTAACCCTTAGGCCCTCCTGTGTACACTTTTTGTTATTTCAGATGGGTTCTTCTGCTGTCATTTTGGAAACGAGGGCCTGAGGGCTACGGGAAAATACATCAGAGCTTCTAAGAATTTAGATGTAATATCATGAGAATAAAGCAATTTTAGGAGAATAAAAGCTGTATGATTACTTGTGTCACTATGAAAAGGAAAGAGAAAGAAAACAGAGAGACGAGTGTCAAACTCAAAATCTGGCCTGTGGAACAATTATATCTGGCCCACAAGATCATATTATATTTATAATTATTGGCCCACCAGTATGAGGTCTGCAGATTTCCTCCAGTATAATAATGTGAACTTTAGCACCATTATTTAAAATGTCCTTAATAAGCCACAAAAATCTGGGAAATTAAAGGGTAAGAAAGATTTGATAAACAGTCAAGAATGTGGGGGAAGAAATGTTAATTTCATGTTTTCAATTTTGCATTTCAAGATGACAAGTCAAACATGATTGGATTTTTTATTTAATGCTTTGATTTTGTTCAACTCAGTATTTAGACTTGTGTCATTTTTATACTTTAGATTCCAATTTTAAATTTTAAGACATATTTTGACCTTTTAAACCTGATTTCAACGTTCTTCAACGCTCTTTACGGTTACGAAAACATAACCTCCTTGGCGGAGGTAAAAAGCGGATTGGATTGGATTATTTGTGGAACTGATATTTAAATTTAATTTTGCATCCCGTGCCTTCTTTTGGCACAGACTGATAACTGGTTTTCTGATATTCCTCGATAAAACTGAAATTCAGACATTTTATGCCTAAAATTCTGACTAAATTCTTGTAATATTACAGTTTTATTTGTGGCCTTATCCGATTATTTTCATTCTTTAATGTGGCTCTAATACTTTGCTATTGTTTCTGAGATCATGTCTCTTATTTCACCTGTTCTTGATTATCCTCTGCACGATGGCATCTGTAGTGAGGCTGTTTCCACTATCAACTGTGCGCAGGATTCCTTTCCTCCGAGGCTCCTGGATGTGAAGAAGTACAAAACAACATGATTGTGACTCATCGTCTCTGCGGATTACAAAGTTAGCTCTTCGTGAGTTTGCAAACTTACAGCGTAGGGGTCGGATCCATCCTTGCCGGGGTATATTTCTGTCTTTCCATGGCATACAAGATCCACCTGAGGAGACGAGTTTTTATATTTTATCGATTTTTGTATCGAAGAGTTGAAATATCAGCTCGTGTGGGATCAATAATGATCTTGAACTTACTTTAAAATGGTCCAGCAAGTCTTTAGTGACTGCAAACGGCGCACCGATCACCACTTCTGAGACATACTGCAAATGAAAGTGGATCACAAAATCAGGAACATGCCTATCACTGTGAGGATAGATTCAATGAGCGGGGACTTACTCGACAAGCCAGGACGCTGAGTGTTCGCTCATGGACATTCATGATGGGGTAGTTTTTCCCTTTGTATCGATTCACCTCCTGAAAGGTTCAAATAAAAGACGTGTCGTAAACTGCTAATACTCCACTCATAAAGGTGATGAGAGGATAAAAGGAGGCACACCTGATCGAAGTGTAACCCCACTATGATGTATGGCTTGTCTGCAAGCTTATGCACCGCTTCCAGGAAGTCCACGTGGCCGATGTCTGACGGGAGACGGGTCAAGGATGTCCTTTTAACTCGCAACTTTTAAACACAATCGTAAAATCTAAATGACTCAAAAGGATACGGAAGAGGTCGAAGGCTCCCGCCACATAGATGATGGTGTCTCCAGGTTGAGGCTCCTGTCCCGAAGCAAACTGGATAATCTTCTGTGACGTTTGCAGGAACTGAGACACCCCCGTCCAGGGACTGTGGCCCTTCTGCCCATGTGACCCCCATAATCCAGAAACACACCAAATGAGTACAAAGTGCAGCAACAGAATGAGTACACTACTGTGTCACGCCACTTGTATCCTTGTAAAATGCATCACTGCCCCCTTGTGGTGTAAACGGTAAAATCACCTTCGGCTAACTGAGAGCTGTCCCGCACAGCCCCTGGGCGCATTTATTCAACGCACGCCAAATTCACAGCGTTCCAGTCTCAACTGTTGCAATTGTGAGGAGAGCCTCTGCGGCTTTCACACTATTTAAAACCCCAGCATGTTGACTCTGGGTTACTTTCCCCGTCCAGGAACAGAGGTGGCATTCACTATTTACTGGCAGGGCCTGCAGCTTGATTATAAAGTGGCTCCACAGTAAAGGCCTTTGTGTAATAATGGCTGACATCTGCCCCACTTAGCAACTCTAAGTACTTGAACAGCAAAACAATACACAGAGAGGAGGCTAAATTTGGGTTGAAACATGCCCCAGTGAACTGGTAGGAAGGTGAAGATTTATTATGATGATCAGGTGATGAATATGTTTGGTACCTACCTTTCCGAAGTTGTCTGTGTGCTGCTGATAGTCTGAACTATCCTGAAAGAGAAGAGAAGATTGAGTAGAAGCTGAATTTAGTTCAAAGGGGATTTACTCAGAAATTAAAAAGAGTCCAACTAAAAGTATCAGCTACTTGGATTCAATCGATATCAGTCTGATGTGAATTAACAGCATGACATTGCACACGATGCGGTTCTTCTAGCTTTGTCGAGCAGTGACCCTCAGCTCTTCGCGGCCTAGTGTGAAGCGGCTGGGGTGCGAATCATCACCTCCAAGTCCGAGGCCATGGTCCTTAGTCGGAAAAAGGTAGATTGCCTTCTCTGAGTCGGAGGGGAGGTCCTGCTTCAAGTGGAGGAGTTCAAGTATCTCGAGATCTTGTTCACGAGTGAGGGTACGATGGAGCGGGAGATCGACAGACGGGTCGGAATGGCGTCAGCGAGACTCTTGATTTACCGGCCGATCCTCACGTATGGTCATGAACTTTGCATAATGACCGAAAGAACAAGATCGCGGATACAAGCGGCCGAGATGGGTTTCCTTCGCAGGGTGGCCGGGCTCAGCCTTAGAGACAGGGTTAGGAGCTCAAACACTCGGGAGGTGCTCAGAGTAGAACCACTGCTCCTCCACGTCGAGAGGAGTCAGCTGAGGTGGCTTGGGCATCTGGTTAGGATGCCTTCTGGACGCCTCCCGTTAGAGGTGTTCCGGACATGTCCCAACGGGAGGAGACCTCGTGGCCGTCCCAGGACCAGGTGGAGGGATTATATCTCTCACCTGGCCTGGGAGCGCCTGGGAATCCCCCCAGAGGAGCGGGTGGAAGTGGCCGGGGTGAGGGCCGCCTGGGCTTCCCTCCTGAAGCTGCTGCCCCCGCGACCCGAACCCGGATGAAGCGGAAGAAAACGACAACGATGACGACACTGTAGCACATATTTGGACCAGTAAAATATCATCACAAGGGACTTTTCGAGCTCTGCCTAGCCATCTAAAACTGTTATATAATAATATATGTGGTTATCTAAGGCAGTAACATGTTTTAAATGTAGTTTTGAATGAATCAGTGACTCGGACTCTGTGGGCTGTGGGAATATAAAGAAGAGTACTTACAATGTTGCTGTGGTGTGCTTTGGTCATGAGTAGCATCCGGCCAACCAGGTCTGTGGTTGAAACTCCCTGGGTTCTCTTACACTCTCTGTAAAACCACAATACAGCGAGTGACGCTCACACAACAGCACATCACTCTGAGTGTTTACTCTCTGCATATTCAGATGAATCTCACCTGTATCTCCCCGACTTCTTCACCTCTTCATACGTGTCCTTCCCGTCTACTGTTAGTGTGATATCATCTGAAACAACAGCACATTTGATGTACAGCTTATAAAAAAATGAAAAAAAGTGTATTAAATTTGGAACTGCATTGTTTATGTCTATTTATTGTTGTGCAGTGATTTCCCAAGTGTTTGCCCCCTGCTGGGCTGAGAAGGTACTGCAGGTAGGCCGCGAGAGGCTACAACAAGAAGTTAAAGGTGGGGTAGGAAGGGATCCGTTAAATAAGCCTCTTTTTTGTGGTGTCTTTACAAAAAAGCTTTTAATATCAGTCAATAGCTATTAGTTATTGATTTTGATTGAGTTATTTATCTGCATTATATCTGAATTTAATCGGAACGAAACGAGCGAGCAGGAGCATCTGTTTGTGGGCGGGAGAGGATGAGCTGAGGGGAAAACTGGTTGGGAGGGGTAGAGTTTACATTCAAGATTTCTCCCAAAAACTGTCACTTTCTCAGATCCTGCCTACCCCACCTTTAAGAGACAAGATCATGGTTTCATGTTTACTCCTATTATTATGTTTTCATCAATTTTTCAACATTACTGAAAACACATTTAAAATCAAGATAAATATAAACCCCATGTTCAGGCTCTGTTTGGCAGTGACCTATTATTCTGAATTAAAGCTCCTATAGAGAGTTTTTACCTGGTTGTGAAACTGGTTGAATACAGCCTGTATCGTTAGTGTCAGAAATATCAATTAAGCATCAATGAGACTGATTCAGCAGGAAAAGTGTACTTCTAAAGGAGAGCCAAAATGAACATAAACCAAAAGTTCCCCACAGGAGCTTTAACCTATGATGCCCAGTGTTTCCCCCACACAGGCCGGAAACAGCAACACTTAAAGGTCACAGACCAAAGTCCTCTGAGGGGACGATTTTCTCTTCGATGGACTGCCCGCTGCTTTGCTGCTGTGTTGTATTTGTTTACTTTGTACTGAAAGACCATCTTTCTCTGCTTCACCAGTGGCTGTATAACTGGAATGTGTATACTTTTCAATTTTTCATTAAGTAACTCACCTCTGAAATAATATCACTCAGTTATTGTACATTACTGGTACATTATGCATTATTTATGAGGCTTTTAATATCTAAAAAGTGACATTTTAAAGTGCAGGTAACTGTGAAAATGGTTGCATCCTTTCATGCATGTAAATGTATTATTTGCACAGCCCACCATATTGCACATTTGCGCAATCCTCCATAATCTGCACAACTTATTGCACAAGTTGAGGATCAATCTGGGAGTGACACTTCCAGCTTTCGCATAAGGTCATGACATGTATATACTCTGTACCTCCGTGCACGCAGAAGTCACTGTTGTACTTGTCGAGGGTCTCCAGGGTGGTGACGTAAGGTGCTCCTTCTACCACCTCATCCACCCACTTTATGGCCCGCACCATCTTGTATCTTTCTGCCTGAGTGAAGACTGGTGGACCCTTGTGCTTTGCAATCTCAGCTTAAAGACACAACAAGATAAAGACAATTTTTAGATACAGCGAACACGCGTAAATAACGTCAAATAGATAAAACAGAGAGACAAATACATCCAACTGTCTGTTGTTTGGAGAATGATTTTGCATTGCATTTGTCCTTGGGATATTTCCTTATCAGAAAACTTGATATCTGTGTATATCTCGGTTATCTTAATTTTGGTGCGCAAAGTCAAAGTGAAAGAAGGACTCCATGTGTATCAGGGACTGTCTGTGATTCTTACTGTCAGTGTGCACTCCTACGATGAGGTAATCTCCCATGGCCTTCGCCTGCCGAAGCTGGTTGGAGTGCCCATAGTGGACCATGTCATAGCTGGGAAGAGAAAAGATAAGAAAAAGCAACATGATTAGTCAAAGAGCAGCGTTATCAGGGACACAACCGACTTTACAACTCAAGAATAACAAACTGAGTGGAAATGTGTAAGAGTGCATGTACAAAATACTCATAAAAGTTGCATCCGTTTAATTTCCTTAAACCAGAGATTGCCACTTGGGAAGTCTAACTATGGTGTGCCAAAAAGGACAAAACAGGCTGCATATTGACTTCAGAAAGAATCAGGATTAATGTCTGATTAAAGACCGCTCTGGCAGTGAGGTTTGAGAACGTGAATGCAGTTTTCTCATGGTTCGAAACAGCTGAGGTGTCTGATTTTTTTGCTTGGAAGAAAAAGTTTTAATAGTAAGTAAAAAGAAATGACATGTGGGTAAAATATAAGCAACAAACTTTCTTTTTTTGTTCGATAAAATACAAAAAACTATGTGTATGATCTGTCGAATATAACAGAGTTTCTCATACTCATACTTTCTCACTTTAATCCACACAGCTGATGTGATTTTCCTTGTATCTGATCCAAGTACAGCATGTTCTCCCTCCTTCTTCACTCCACCCCAGCTATGATACCATCTGCAGATCATTAGATTAGTGCAGATTGCAGACTGAGATTGTAACATAGTAATCTGGCATAGTAATGGTGGACAGACGGGTGTTAAACGCCTATCACTGCACCCAGCGACCATCAGTCTTGTCATCATTCCCTCTTATAGAGATGTTTTGTATTCACAGCGAAGAACAGAACACACAGAGTGGCATCTGTGTCCTCTTTAGCTTATTATATCCCACGTTGGCACCCTCGGGAGTCAGGTGTAAAACAGCACTATAAATAGCATCCTCAGAAATCGATAAGAAAACAGATGAGACTCGCCAGAACTACAGTATGTACACAGCAGCAGTTGTAACATAATAACGTGTTGTTTTCTATGCTAATGAAAAACAGCATCTGCACCTTCCTGCGTGCAGTGTCACTACAAAGCAGGCTGGTCTGCACCTGGGGGCATTGTAACACACAAACAACTGGTACTAGACTGCAGGGCTTTTCCGCGATTCAGATGGATGCATGAAGGGAACAAAATGTGCGAGAAAAGTAATGGATTTCGGTCAAGGAAGCTCATCAGGAGACTTTTCTGTGTCATGTGCTGCCAGTTTTGTTGAAATGGGATCCACATGTGCAGACTCCGAGGCAATAGTGCAAGGCCGGAGGAATCTAGTGACAGGGAAGGAGGAGGAGGAGGAGGAGGAGGAGGAGGGGGCATTTGGAGGTCAATGAATAGCGAAGAAAACTCTGAGACTCAGACGGCGTTACATAAGACCAAGAGGGCTGCTTTTGGGGCGTTATACTAGCTGTTTGACCGATATGTGTTACCGTATTCCTGTTGTATTTTTTAGCAGGGATGGATCATGACAGTATCAGTGTAGGACGATGAATTATTGACTAGAGTTGCCTGTTAGCCGACACCCTGACAGCACCTTAGCTTTAGAGGAGCGAAAACAGGCAGAAGACAATCGGACACATGTAGCAGGGAAGAAAGGGAGAACAAAAACTTCATATTTGGTGAAATTTGATCCTTCTTTTAAGTTATCCAGAGATGTAAAATCAATTACTGTGTTTGTTTCCTTCATTGAACGCTTCACGGTTAGTTCCCAGGGCACCAGTAGTCTCAGATAAGCCTGAGCTGAATGGGAAACACTCTGTTACGTCACTGAGGCTTTTAAATAGCCGAGTTTATAGTCTTGTGTGGACGCACTGCCTCAGCACTTACACAGTGGAGGTGGACTTTACTCTCTCACTCGATCTTTAACCTCTGTCACCTTTCTGCAGAATGACAAATAAGAAAAAGAGGAGAGAGGGAAGAGTCGTGACTGAGCTATTTCCTCTGAGTCGTCCTCCCGTACTGCTGACTCTGCAAGATGCTGATGATGATGATGATGATGATGATGTCCTGTAAGGCTTCAGAGGGGGAACAATATGCTCAGTGACAAGCAGCGGCGGCCAGAGCAGGTGTGGGCAGGAGGGGGTTAGGGGGGTTAATGAAATGAGCACTGTTGACATTGGCTCTTCTTTGCGTGCTCAGCCCACCGGTTAATATTCTGGCATCCCAAATATTCCGCAACATTCCATCAAACCACGGACACGCAGCCACACCTAAATGGCTGGAATTCTACGAGAGAAAGCCGCCGTAATCCTGGCCTTCGTACACAGAAAGTCAAAACATTTAAAGTGCCGCTGCCCCATGGAGAGCCAGGATTTGACCGCCAGGTTAGATGTTTCCACCACGAAGGGCGATCAGGCATCTTCAACGCAACTTGTGATTGTTTTGATGATGCAAAAAAGTACTCAAAAAAAAAAAATAACATACTTTGGCTGTGATCAGTCATTTCCGTCAATTCAGCCACATTTTTGACATTTCTGCTGCAGATAAATTTGCTTCCGACTGAACACAGCAGAGGTGGACTTCAGGAATGTGATGTTTACTTTTGATAAACCAAAAACCTCGATGCTAGTACTTTTTCTTTTTCATTCTGCAGGGTATTATCCTTTGCAAATCCCACTTAACAGTCCGGAAAACGATGATTTTGATTTAGATGTAGTTAAGCGGCTCTGCAGACTTCTGTGTCAATAAGATGTGACATTTTTGCTTTCCATAGTTTGGCTAATCCCTCTGAAATAAGGCGCTGTTTGACTTTATTATCCTGATTTTGACATTTTCTATGTATAACAGATGACTCTGACACTCTTGGTAGCTTCATTATGGGTGTTTTTGGAAAAGCCTTAGCCTGAAGGGCAGTCAGTCAGGACGCATCACTGAGATGACACTTGAAAATATGATCAGACGTCGCAGATTTATCATGGCTGATACAGTAAACAAGCAGTACACTGTTGCTCTGTGGCACTAAGTATACAAGGGCGTTGTTTGTCTTTTTTTGTGCTTCATGTTTGTCGATTGTACCGATTAATAATTCATTCATTCATTAAAAAAAAACAGTTCCTATGAAGTTGGAGAAGCAAAGTCAACAAATCCATTTTGGTTGGGGTAAACTGATTATCAGGCTTGGCTGATTATTGGGCCGATATTTGGCTGATTACCTGTAAAGGTGCCTTTAAAGGTGCTACATAAATAAAGTTATTATTATTATTATAATCCAAACAAAAGTAAAGCAACACAAAGTGGTCAGCTACATGATGAGGACTAATGACAGCTCATGATAATGAGGTGTCACAGTACCGGCATGTGCAATACCTGAACCCTGAAACTCAATCATGTGTGTGCTGTTTGTGTGCTGAACGTGTCAGTGGCAGCTGGAGTCGCATGTATGACATATGAGATATACAGCATTAAAAAAGGAGAACACTATGTATCTGTTTACGAAATCTATACTGGTTATTGATTTGGAAAGTTTTTTTAATAAAATTTAGAAAAAAAGATGCGACAGAAGTTGTAGATTTCACTTTGAACATTACCGATTAAAGCTCCAGTGAATAACTCTTTGTTTATGTCGACTTTGGCACCCCTTGTGGACAAGCATTCTTCATCCTTGGGTAAAACTTACATGAATCTTTGTCATAAAATTTAAAAAAATAAAGGCTGACGCCATAGACTGTATATACTATGGACATCTTGGTTCCGCCTCCGGCCAGTATACAGATTTGAAGCCAAAATCTCTCAGTATTTCTGCGATTTTTCGTCATTTCCTGAAACCAGCTCTGCGCAGTAGCATTGTACGCATTCGGTTGGAGAGCCAACGAGAGTCGCTGCGGTGACGCTCGACTCAAACAGCGTATCCCCTGGGAGAGCTAAGCAATCCCTGAACGCCTCTAGGCTGTTTTAGGTGTCAATCAAAGAAAACATGAACCTCCTGATAACTTTTACATACGGAGCTGTACAGAAAAAAGAGGACTTGAGCACAAACAAGTCTTACAATAACTACATGTCAACATCGCAACCAGGGGGGAGAAAAATGTACGTTCTGTGTAAGGAGTTTCTAAAGTTTGTCCACAGCTCCATAAGCTTTGCTGGCGGAGGCCGGATTTATGTTCAATACTGCAGCCTGTCACCAGAGGGTGCTGTTCTCGGAGTGGCTTCACCCAGCGAGGAGGCAGACGCCGTCCAGTCTATATACAGTCTATGGCTGACACAAACACCCCCGCAGCAGTTTCCGATATTAGAAAGAACAGTGAAGACACAGCACGTCTTTATAGTAATGATCTTATTTGCTTTTGTCGGTCATACAGAGATGTTATTATTAATTTTAGTCTGTTTCATGACCATTATAAAACTGCTGACAGGAGCTTTAATAACATTTTAGTAATTTGCTTCATTAATTCTCATTAAAAAACGTAAAGGCTATACTGACACAGATCCAAAGCTCTGAAAATGATGTGAATTTTAGCAACAAAGCCTAATGTTATTATGTAATTGTGTGTCTACTGAGATGGAAAATGAGTCTAGGATGTCCCAATCATGATGCCAAGTAAGAGTAATGTAGTGTACTGAGCCCTGAATTGGAGTGGATAAGTGTTTGCCATTAAGACTCTCATGGAGCATAAAATAAGAGAGTATTTGAGTAAAAGTTAGTGCATGTATCTGTGGAGGATGCAGCAGCAGCAGCAGGAGCAGCAGTAGTCCTGGAGGAGCTCTGCAGCAGGCCTGTCCCAGTGGTAGGTGACAGGCTGACACATTCATTCAAACGGGGTCTACGGTGCACACGATTGGTAGTATTGGTAGTTGTAGTATCTCCACCATCCCATCACACATCCAACCACTCTGAAAGTTACTCACCAGCCGTCGCACCACACCCGGATCCTCCGCCTCCTCTTCTCGGGACTGCACGCTGCAGCGCTGGGGGTCGGTCCTGCGTCTTTCCCGGCTGATGCTGCTGTGCTCACTTGGTGGTGGTGATGTCCGTTCTTGATCATGTTGATTTTAAAGCTGGTGAGTTATCTTATTCTTTAAAAAAGTGCAACTGGAGGAAAGCAGAACCAGAAAGAATCCCTGTAATTGAGATTGTGAGCCGACTGTGTTGGTCGTGTATCCCCTTTCGGAACAGGACAGCCGGTTTCTGTGTCTCTATCAGCAGCAGCAGCAGCAGGAGCACTGCGATGCGCCAACGCCTCCTCGACCGGCGACGCAGCCACGCACGACGCAAGGGTACGTCAAGTCGGCTAAAGGACGCAGACAGCATAGAGGAAAGACGCTCTGTTCAATAGAATTCAACATGACCCTTTTAGGAGTCGGTGGTTTTATTTTGAAAAGATCAAACCGGAAGTAAAGTATTAAGCATGCGCAATTGACACAGGTTGAATCGTACGATGAAGTGCCGGTGCAGGCAGCCGACATGTTGTTACATAATCGCAGCGTTTTCCTCTGTCATGTGACAATATCTGAATTCCCACAGAAATAGCAGGCGATGTGCCAAAGCTGCCCTCTGATGAATGCCAACGGAGCAATATTGAAACATTAACCTCTTAAAAAAACGACCAAAATGAAGATAAGACTTGAGTTTAGTTCAGGTTTTTAATAAACACAATCAGCAAACAACTAAGAATATGTCTTATTGTTTCTTTCTTATCAATAGAAGAATGTTAAAGGTCATGATAGGCTACATGATCTAGAAATAAATCTAACAAGTTGTAACTTTAAGAAACGCTTAATCAGAATTATGAACAGGGGTGCATCTAGACTTTATTTGTAGCTACTTGGGTGGCCCAGGGGGCGTTCTGGCCATAGACTGCATATAGAATGTACAGCGTCTGCCTCCTCGCTGGGTGAAGCCACTCCTAGAACAGCACCCTCTAGCGACAGGCTGCAGTATAGGTCATAAATCCCCAAAATTAGAAATTGAATACACAGAACATACTTTTTTTTTACCCCTGCTTGCGATGACACTGGTTTGTGATCAATTCCTCTTTTTTCTGTACAGCGCCATTTTTACAAACCTAATCTTCGTACGCCCATAAGCCTATGGGCGTACAAAGATTGTGTAGCTCACCCGGAAGGTACACTGTTCAAGCCGAGTGTCATCACAGCGACTCTCGGCAACTCTCCCGCCGAATGCGCACAATGCTACTGCGCAATGTTGGTTTCAGGATATGGAGAGCAAATGCGGAATAAACGGGAGCTTTTCGGCTTTGAATCCGTATACTGGAGGAAGGCAGAACCAAGTTGTCCATAGTATATACAGTCTATGGTACTGACTTAATAAGGGGTGGCATGAGGAATTCGTGCTCACGAGCTCATTAAAAGTATTTTTTAATCTTCTTTTACCAGCTTATCACATCTAATCAAGTCAAGCCAATTTAACTTTACACATTTTAAACAAACACAACTGACCAAAGTGATTTACAAAGTTATATTTATGTAAAATGGGAAGAGTGATATTCTTGTCTTAAAAGCAAATCTTAATAGAAAGGTTTTAATTTTGATTTGAAGAGCTGGGGCTGATCTTCTTTGAAGCGGTAAGCTGCTCCATCAAAGTTTAGGAGCAGCGACTAAGTCTGAGTTGCATCTGGATCTCAGCCCAGTTTTAGGCACTTCAAGGGGCGGCTGATTCGTTGACTTCAGAGCTCTAGCTGAGGTATGTGCAGGAGTTAAGTGAAGTAAGGCAGTGCCAATTCATTAAGAGTCTTAAAGGTTTAAAATCAATCCATAAGATTCACTTTTCCCTGGCACAACAGAGTGGTAACTTATGAATCTTCTGAGCTTGAATAAAGGAAAATACAAGTCCACAATCACAACTTGAAATACTTCTAAAAAGACGATACACACTGAAATGTCCCGCCTCTAACAGAGCAATAGCCAATGACATATTACGATTTTTGAGTATGACCTGGGATGGCCGATTACGTTTAAAGAGGAGCCCATCTCTGACCACTGGCCAGACTTTCCTCTGGTTTTGGAAACAGGATGTTCAGAACCATAGGCAGACATCTGTCGTTTGTGTTCAAGCTTGACAAAAAAAGAAACAAAAAATCATAAAGGGATATTCTGTAATCTTGTATTTCACTCATAGATAATTCAAATACTACTCAAAGGAATAGTAACTTGCATCTCTGTGTGTTTTTTTCCCCTCCAGAGTAAAGCAGTGCTCTGAGAGGGAAATCCTTCTGTGAAGAGATGTGGCGTCATCTTGTGGAAAAACCCTGTTAGCTCACACAGAGTCTTTACGCTGAAGAGCCAGCAGAGGGAAACACAGACCCACACATCCCTGAGCTGGGACAAGGTTATCTCCTCACAAAGGCAGTTATATTTAACACCTCTGGTATCCGTCGGCTTGGCTCTCCTGTTGAGTTCAGTCTGTTATTTAAGAAGAGTGCACAAGTTTACCATCATCATATCTGATATGAGGATGAGGATGCATACTGACCCTGTTTTTTTTATGTATTTAATAGTCGATTCATACAAGAATGAAAGCCTGAGCCCTCTTTGTGTTGTATCTCCTCTGAACAGGCATGTACTCGGCCACGGTGACATTTGCAGAGAGGAGCCCCATGCCAAGCTTTGGCAGCACGGGCGAGCTAAATGAGCGGCCTCGCTGATGGGGATGGCAACATTAATTGTACAGCAGGGCTGTGCTGGGAGAACTGGGGCAGGCACCTGCTGCAGAAGTGGGTGAAGATGAAGAATGCTGTCCTAGATCGGCCACCAGCTCACCTTAACCCAACCTGCCAAATTAATCAACCCTTCAGGGGCCACCGGGCTGTCTGGGGCAGGCATCTGAGGAGTGAGAGAGGAGCCTGTTTTAAGGCACAGGTCACTTAGACCTGTAGGAGCCTCCTCTGCTTAAAAGAGAACAATGCCAGGCTGCGTGGTGCAGAGGCACTGGGGTTTAGACTTGCCCTGCAGGATGGAGCGGTAAGACGCAGCTTGTCTTCCGCCATCTGTCTCTGTGTCTCTGCATGTGCTCTCAGGAGATGTGTTTAGAGTGTGCTGGGGTTGAAACGCTGCTGAGGAGGGTGATGTTTGATGAGGTACGCTGAGACAGAGGGGGTTTAGGAGGCCCACAGGGAGCACAGATGACTAACTCACTACTCCTCCTAATCTAGGACAAGCACACCTAGACATCCTTCATGACTCTAATGTTTTACTCGTGTCGGGCCAAAAATATGTCCACTGAGGTTAGCCAAAGTGGGTCGCCCAACGGCTTTTTTTGGATCATAGAAAAAGAAATCGTGCCATCTAAATGATCGCTGTCTTCTCAAACCCACCCTGGACGGCAGAAAGCCTTCCCCGCCAGTTTATTTTTACAAGTATCAAACTGGGTCAATGACGCCACAGAATATGACAAAAACCTAATTTCAACAGGCTTTAAACGCCTCCAAAGACAGAGCAGCAGGGCTCCGGGTCCTTTTTCAAAACATTTTATTGGTCTTATAGAAAATAAAGTAAGCTGTATCAACAAACATACATTATATACATCAATAACTTAGACACCTCAGAGAATCACGTTTAAATCCACAGTTGTTACTGTATATATGAATACATAGTACTTATCTACAGATTGCAAAAAGTACAATAATTTAATTTATAAATAGTTACAATTAACTATTGTCTGTTTTCATACAAAGTACTGCAATATTTTATTACAACCCATACAGAAAAATAACAAAACAGATTATTTACTTTGTATTACTCGCTTTAGTCAGATTTTTATACCTTTGAAACACAGACCCACTCCATGGAGCAAGAGGGAAAAAAACCTGCACAGTCAACTGTTTACAAAGCATATTTTCATGAAAAAAAGCCAATGTCTGGAGAGCTAATAAATTCACACAAGTGCTGTTATATATCCTCTCTTACACAACGCTTTGAAAACAAACAAGAAAATCATTTAAAAAAAAGAAGAGAAACTAACAAACAAACAAACAGACGTTACCAATTAAAATTGAAATCTGCAGAACAAATTACAGTGTTAAGATCAATTTTTCAAATACGCACTCGACACATAATGAGAACAGAACGGCTGTGGATGATGCTACAGCGAACGACGAGCATTAATGACTGGTGTAGCAGCAGAGGAACCTCGAATGTACAAAAAACACACGCACAAACACACGCATACCGAGGAAATTAAACAAAATATTGCAAGTGGCCCTTGTGATAAAATCCTATGTCGCATCCTTTTCCTCCCAGTGCACAAACATTTACATGATAGCAATGTCTCTCAGTCGCTTATCCGAGTCCAATTTATTAATCCGGTGGTTAATTTACTCGAAGACCAGAGTTATTAGTGAGTAAGGCTGCGTGCAACTGTCCCGTGAATCCTTAGAAAAAACAGCTTTAACATGTTAGCTACTAGAAACAAGGGCCAATTGCTCTTCCGTGAAAGGATCTGACATGTGAGGGCAAAATAAAAAAAACACAGTTTACAAAAATAACTACAAAAACAGCAAGAGATATTAAAGAACAGACCATAGTCACTTTGACAATATTGATTACTCGTACATCTACTCTTTCACACCTTTTCCACTGAGTTGCATATTAAGGGTCACTTTTTCACAATGGTCATTAATACCTACTGTAGCTACATATTATACACCTGTACGTGTGAGAGAGAGTGAGTGAGAGAAAGAGAGAGAGAAAGAGATAGAAAGAGAGAGAGAGAGAGACTCGCCGTCTCTAGCCGAGATCGAGAGATTGGTCGACGGTCGGTGCCACTCAAAACACCTTAAAGACACTTGACACCAAAAAAGATTCACTCCACAAGACTGCCACAGCAATAAGAACGCCAACATCAATACTGGGCTATGTCAAGAGTCGGATATATATTTTCCCACAGTTAACCAGTCATTGAAGATAGCTAAGCATGTTGACAAAGTGAGGATAGAGATACTTGCGCGCACAGATCTCCGGCATGGAGTTTTGTAGATTAACACCTCGCCGACACTGTAAGACATTCTGACCAGCAGGAGAGAGAGAGAGAGATCCGGATGAAGTGCGTTCTGTTAATGTCGTTAAACTACTGTCACCTTGAGGTGTTAAACTCCTTCACTGTTAGATTCCTTCGTAGAGGAGCAGGAGAGTGATGTGACACTTGGCACGGAGGGAGCGCTGCTGGCAGCTGTTGTTGATTGTAATTCTACATGCTCGTGCTGTGTCTTTTTCTTAATGTGGATTGAAGCCCTTTCATGACATGTTTGATAGAAAAAAAAGAAGGAAACGAAATATGATCAGAGCTGCCATCCCTGCCTCCCTTCTTCACGCCTTGACTGGTTTGTTCATTTCTTTTTTTTAGAGTGACCTGTTTTGTCCTGAGCAAAACAAACAGGAGTTTAGTGCATACAAACCCTCAGTCAAACCAAACCCTACCGCTTTTTTATTCTGAGGAGAATTAGGTCAACTTGCACAAAAGTGATGCTGCACCATTCGGCCGTTACCCTCAGAGTCCTTCGCTGCATCCTTCTGGTTTATAACTTGAGAAACTGGAAAGAACCGTTTGGTAGAAAAGTGTATAACTTGACTTTGTTTGGGTGAAATTTGAAGGGTAGTTCGTTTTTACTTTTCATTAAGAAGCTGGAACATTAAAAAATCGAGAGGTCAAATATCTCTAAGCCCAGGAAATTATTACAGCTGGTGAAGAGGAACTTTTTTTAACCTTGTCTGAATTGTTTCAAGACCAACACAGATGATGTTTGACACAGTTGACTTTTAGGAACCCAGTTTTTGCACTTGTATATCTTTTAAGTCTTATATTTAAAGCTCCTGTAAGGAACTTTAGGTTTGAATCTGGCGCCCCTTGTGGACAAAGCAGTCTTTGCTTCTGATTAAAAAGGTCATCCTGCTGACTTTTCACAGTCAAATCTATTATTTATTTTGAATATTTTATGTGAAAATCTAAATAAACAGGCTGTTTTTCAGTGCCTTGGCTGACACCTACCCGCTCCAAACCAGTTTCAGGCTTTAAAAATAACGATATAATAACCATCAGTCAGGTCTCTGATGATGTTTATCCTTCTGAATGTCCGAAAAATCCAATAATATTAATTTCAGCCTATTCCTCAAATCTCAAAAATATCATTACAGGAGCTTTAACAGATTTTGTTACTCACTGTTTTGATCTTATGTGTTGGTCAAGTCACAATTTAACATACTTCTCACCCACCATTGACTACAGTAAGTATCCTTCTTGGGGTCCACCAATCAGAGGGCCTTTCCTCTTTGTAAGGTCATTTACTTCCGGGTCCTAGAAGGTGTGTTTAGAGTTCATCCATCAGTCAGATTCTGCAACGTCAGTATCACTTTAAATTTCAGGTAAAGTCTTTTGCGTTGATTTTCACTGAACCCCCTTTTTTTCACCTGATTCTGTCTTACATGGCTCAACGTGGTAAACTTTTGATGACAGTATGATTTGTAACTAACACCGAGGAAGCGGAGGATATCACAGATGCCAATACGCACACAGACAATTGACCTTGTTTACACCACCTAGTTTAGCTCTACAGATTTGTTTTAAATAGCACAGCATTGACATCTATACAGTGAACGACACTGCCAACTTGTCACTTACACATCACAGCACGCGCTACCCCACAGTACGCGCCTAGTCACTAGAAAAAAGCTATCAGACTTCAATAGTAAGCCACTGTCGGTACAATTGCAAAAAAGATGTCACAGGATTTTTTTTTTTTCACGTTTTCCTCATCTGTATTTATATAAACAATGGAAGTTATTCTACCTAGTAATAAAAACCAAGAACTCAACATTAGACAAAGTTTTCTACACCTTAACATTTCAAACAGTAAAGCTTGTGTAAAGATTTTTCTTTTGGAAATATCTGACGGCCCCTGTCGACAAGTAATTACAAAAAATCCAATATATACTTTTCAAAACAAAACAACTCGAACATATTTTCTCTATGAGCAAAAATTATGTTTCAAAACGTTTGTGGATTTCACCGTTTCCCCACAAAACACGAGGATATTACTGTTATAACATTCAGGTTTTCAGATATTGTCGAAGAATCTTGTCATACTGGAATGGCACTCGGCTCCAGAACAATATCATTTAAGAACTGCTGATCTTTTTTTTTTTTTTTTATGTTTCCACTTTACCATAAATATGCAAGACCTCTTTGTATTTTCAGTGCATACATATATTATTGCATCTACCAGTCATATTGATAATGACAAGTTTGTTAAAGCCTGTCACAGACGCATAAACAGAAATGAATGCTAGATTTGGGAGCATTATTTCAAGCTTATTTTCTCTTGACAGACGACCAACAGAAATCGCAAAATTGGGCTGATTAACTGGTTTTAGGTTAGTCAGGCTGCTTTGAAGACATCTGTAGCATCCCAGTTTCAGTCAGTGCATTATAACAAGGAAAGGGGTTTTAAATCACATTTATGCTTTTTCTTTCTTTCTTTCATGAGACTCTAAAAAAAGACGATTCTAAGGACGGAAGAAATTTTAAGAGCTCTGTTTTGTTTGTTATTTTCCAAGTGAATGTATCCGCAATGCATAAATGTTTCAAATCTCAAATTACCAGCTACTAACTTGGTACAGATTTAACTTTAAGAGGTGCAGTTGGGCAGAGCACTGTTAGTGTTAGTGACCAAGAGTAAAACTGAGATCTTTTGCTGGTCATCCTTTGCCTTGTTATAACACACTGACTAGTTTTGCCTTTAATCTTCCCTCCACCCTTTCTGCTACTACGACCTAGCCTCCGTTTTGGATTTGACGATGGTGATGACGCTGGTGGCACCTACTTTACCAGGGATGACGGGCCCTATGACGGAGGACATAGGTCCCCTCGCTGACATGACGGGGTTGCGGGCCACAGTCCTGGCAAAGCTCTGGAGGGCCTCGTACTTTGAACGCAGAGCGTCCAGCTCCACCTTCATGCTGGCGTTTTCTGTGGCCAGCTTGTCTACCTCCTGCTGCAGCTGAGCCTTCTGCTTCTCCAGCTCCTCTTTCTGGGTGACGCGCTTCACCCGGCAGCTGGCAGCGTAGCCCCGGTTCTTCAGGGTACGCCGCCGCTGCTTCAGCTGGAGGATTTCCTCCTTGGTCAGGCCCCGTAGATGCTGGTTCAGCTCCCGCACTGACATGGTCACCAACTCATCGTCTGTTAAGCTGGTGCCATTTTCCCCTGGCTCCCGCTTCACCTGGAGGTAAAAACTAGTCAGTGGGGGTCTTTTTTTTAATCTGCATTTAAAACATTCAATTATTCACTGAACTCTTAGAGGACGATTACCTTCAAAGCTTTGTTTCCCTTGTTTGTGGTAGTCATGCCACAGGAGCCGCGTCCACTTGTACTGCTGGTTGATCTGTTGGTAAGAAAAGTTACCATCAGTGTGGAGAACAATACCACCTATTCATGCACTGATTAAAACCCCCACAATCCACCTGTAGAGTGAGCCAAACAGCTGATCCATTATTATCTTGCAAAGCAAAAAATTGATTGTACCGGCACAGAGAAACTGTTAATCTTGGTTATTCTCCAAAGAAAGCAACGTTCAGGGCCTGTGCCAGGAGCAACATGACATAATGTTCAAAACACGGGCACTTAACGGCAAGCTGCAAAAACATGACCTGAACCCTGATCTAGTGCCCCTAACTCTACCTGCACAATCCAGTATAAGGGTTTTAATCTACTTTAAATGTTAAATGTTCTTCCTTGAGCTGCGGCACCCCGCTGTAGTCTGTAATGGACTGGCCTGAGGTCTCGCTACAAACAAGCGGCTGCTGGAAGAGAGTAGGTGAGTTGTGTTTAGTCTCTTTGCTAAAGAAATTAGGCAAGCTAAAAAGATGGAATTGTACAATACAATCACTGTATTGTATCACTAAATGTGCATCATGAAACTTAAAGGGGTATTCCGGCGTAAAATTAATTTGTGTCAAATGCACCGAGTTAGAAAACCCCCTCGAGAGATTAATGTTGCAGACTGCTTGATTCTTTAGTTATACCTACTTTAGGAACGACTGAAGGATAGCAATACACAGCGGTCTGAGGAGCTATAAACAAACCTCAACTAAAACGCCACTCTATAGCCACAAATAATGCTCAGAACTGCACCTAACTACATCAGCAGTTCAAATAGAGTCCTCGCCAAAGTACTAGCCACTAAACATCTTTTTAACTTTGCCTAATTTCTTTAACAAAGAGACTAAACACAACTCACCTACTCTCTTCCAGCAGCCGCTTATTTGTAGCCAGACCTCAGGAAGGTCCATTATGGACTACAGCGGGGTGACGCAGCTCAAGGAAGAACATTTATGATCATTTCTTCATGGAAATGCAATCAGACTGAGATGCTAAGGCAGAAGAACTACCACGTCTGCAGTGCAAAATTATCAACATGGGGATTATTACTTCAAGGAAATGATAAAGTAATGATCATAAATGTTCTTCCTTGAACTGTGGCACCCCGCAGCAGTCCTTAAAGGACTGGCCTGAGGTCTCGCTACAAACAAGCGGCTGCTGGAAGAGAGTAGGTGAGTTGTGTTTAGTCTCTTTGCTAAAGAAATTAGGCAAAGCTAAAAAGATGTTTAGTGGCTAGTACTATGGCCGGGACCCTATATATCCTGTTGATGAAGTTAGGTGCTGTTCTGAGCCTTATTTGTGGCAATAGAGTGGCGTTTTGGTTGAGGTTTGTTTATGGCTCCTCAGACCGCTGTGTATTGCTATCGTGCGGTTGTTACTAAAGTTGGTATAACTAAAAAAGCAAGCGGTTGGCAACATTCATCTCTGGAGGGGTTGTCTAACTCGCTGTTACGGTGTGTTTGACCCTAAATTCATTTTACGCCGGAATATCCCTTGAATCATACTGCTTCACATTGTTCTCCAGTATCAGCGTATCATATCACCAAATGTGTATGTATGGTGGTTAAAATCTATCATTGCATCTCTAATACTGATACACTGCGATATACATAGCAGAGTTTTCTCCTGGCTACAGTATGACTCAAGTACACAAGTCCATCAAATACACAAGGGGGAAGAAGTGGGTCAAGGACTTAACACTTTACAGTAAGTGATGCCAAGTCTGTTCAGAGAGATACCTGGGCCGTTACTTCCCCTGTCAATACGACCAAAGAAAGCGTTTGTGGTATGCATTTCCCCCTTCGACACACTCACACACACATCTTCCAAATAGCAATATGTTGAGTCATAAGGAGGATCACATTCAGTTAGGCTGGCAGCGGCTCACAATGATTTCTTGGAAAACAAAACTCGAGTTAAATGCAGCCTCTCTTGGAAAGCAGACACAGCAGAGGACGTGGATGGACTGAGCCGAGAAACTTCCACAAACACCCTGAAAGGAGGAGGACACGGGGCAGGCTTTCATCTACTGTACCAGCTATCCAGTCTAGACAGTAAATGTCTAGATTTGCTGATGCGCGCCTATAATCCCATAAATCAATGAAAAAGGGATATGCTGTAACTACTGCAGAGCCTCAGCTATCATCCAGAATAAACGAGCTGCACTGCAGTTAATTCACGTCAGGACTGAGGGAACACCGAAAGAAGCTGCATGGGCGAGAAATCTAACCCACTGGTGTCAAGACAGGCAGAAGGTTGGGTGCCTTGCACCGTGTGAGCCCTGTCACAGGATAAGTATGTACGCACACACAAACACACGCACACACACACACTCATGGTTGTGGCCCTGGGTGCTTTACACTACACACGGTAAATGCTGTGTCAGCGACACGGGCACCAACCACAGTCAGCCCAGCCAGCACATTGCCTCTGTAAGCTGATTTACACAGCCCAGCAGTGTGAGTTTGTGCTGAGCACATAAACAAATGCATGTGGGCTTTTACAACTTCTCAGCATCAGAAACAGGAAACAAAAGATCCAAAAAAACAGACGCCTCAAAAGAATTTCTGTTCTTGTGTTTATGGCTAACAGGATTACTAAGCTCATCATCATGTATATGTATGATGCGGGCAGAGACTCGCAGAGAGGGAAGGGAAAAAAAAGGAGATGAGTCGTAGCTCAGAAGTGCACTAAGATGGCCAGGATATTTCCATGGCAACAAAGGAGTGCTACAGGTGGACTGGTCACCTGAGCCAAACAGGGAGAGACAGGCGCTTGTTAAAAATGACCTGAATACGACACTATCACACAGGCTGGGGACATAACATGGGGTCAGACTGTGACTTGCATTCTTGATGCTTTCACTTCAAAAAGTCCTCTGGCTTGTCGTAAAATGGCAACGTTTCCCTGTGCTGCAGATGCCAATATAAAAAGCCTTTCACATTCTGCGGAGGACTTTTAAAATGTGATACTTTCATCCCTTTTGGACCGGCTATGAATAGCTGACTGATAGTAACACCTACCTTTCACCGGCCTTTGTGGTGACTCATTTCCAGTAAGCATTTGGACCACAGATGCAAAACATAATGGGATAATGGTCTGCCTGATGATGCACAGATAATGGACAAATAGACAGGAAAGTACTCCACTAATAGCTGCTGGGATGAGAGGAGGAGGAAAAAAAAAAAGGCTGCTTCTTCCAAATTTCATATAAGCCTATCATTTTCCTCTCAGCCGCCTAGACCCAACATTGTTCAAAAAAAAAAAAAAAATCTCAAAAACATAGAAAGATGGCACGTTGTCCAGGTTGAGGAGGCATTTTCTGTCACACAGCTGTGTAGGGTAACACAGTGGGCAAGGCTTGGCACGCTCAAAGCTCACCATATGACACTGTGGAAGGATTGCGCCCAGGCTGCAACCCTCCAGCACAGGCTGCTGCCAACAGACGGCTACCAATGACAGGGCATGGCAGCACAACACAGACAAGGTCCAATGCACAGCTGCTCCCCTCCACTACCAGGCATGTCATACCTCCTGGAGACAAAGAGGCATCGCTCGCACAGACACAGAGAGGGGAAGAAAGGAAAAACACACCTGTAATTTTCACAATATTAAAACACCGACTGGGTAATTTCGATTCAAACTAGCTTTCCCTTAGATGATTGTAAAAAAATGCCCTTGTGTTTGACAAGTTCATTGAACAGCCTCTCTCTCGCACGAATCTATTACCTCATGTTGGTAATTTCAGCTTTGATTTGTGTGCCCAGGCAAAAAGGAGCACAAGGAGAAAGCTGCAAAAAGCTTGGAGCGCCAGGGCAGCGGAGGTAGGGGGCGAGCGCAGGGACACACAAGTCTTTTGTAGGTGCTTGCTGAATTTTTATGAATCGCCTGAAAGAACGCTGACAAATCAGAGCTGATTGCTTGTGTAGGAGAGACATCACACCCACAGGAAACAGAAATCGCTGAGTGTGGTCACCCAGAGAAAGAGAAGGAGGGGATGGTGAGAGAGAGAGAGAGGGTGAGAAGAGAAAAAAAAAGAGAGAGAGAGCAAACAGCCTTGTGAAAAATGCACGCTCGACACATTTAGAGGAGCCTGAGAAGAACAGGTTGAGTGAAAAAAAAAAAAATTACTGATCTCAGCAAGGACCCAAACCAAGGTGCCAATTAGGAAGTTGTGAAGTTGAACTAACACGACGCAAGCAACCCGGCCAACCTTCAGAAGCTGTCTGTGTTCATCTGAATCTATAGAGGGCGGCTCGCAAGGTGGGGTCGGCTTAGGTTGAGACTCAAGAGGGGTGAAGAAAAAAAAACAAAAACACTGGTGGGATAAATGCTGATGTGACATGATAGGTCCGGCCTTGAGCCCGTGTCATGCTTTAATGATCTCATCCCCTCCACAGGATCTCTCCAGGGGGGCTGCCAAGGATGGACACCATTAGCCAGGGGACCCTTTGTTGAGGGGGAACCGAGGCTCCGGCATCCATGCGCTGCGTCCCCTGATGAATATTTATCACTGTCGCTCACCCGCCTAAGGTGGGGGTGGGAGACAGGGGCGGGGGCGGGAGGCTGAATAAAGATGCTCAGGAGGTGATTCTTCAAGGATACATCCAAGGCTCTTCCATCAACGGCCGTCTCAAAATGGCGGTATAGGCTGGTGGGGGGCTGTGTGTGGGGGGGGAGGAGGAAGGAGGATGGGGGTGGATTTCTGGTGCTTGAGGTGGCACGCATGGTGGTTCAGGGCTGCAGGGAGAGCCAGCTCCACTTGACAGCAGTGTAACAAGATTATCAGGGCCATAAGAGCAAACAAAAACCCCAGCAACCTGCCTCAGAATCCAGATTACGACAGCGCCTGCTCTCTGAATACTAAACATGGCTGGGGAGGACTAACAGGGTGCAGGCTCTTCCTGAGACATGACAGTGTATTTCATATCAGGCAACTAATCACGTGCACGTGTATCCATGCGGACAATTTACCAAAAACCACACAAGCACATATAAATTGAACTTGTCATGATCAATTCCTGAAA